GGGGCGTCTGCGCGTGGCATTTTTTTTGGCGGGCTCGGCGCGCGCGCGCGGGGCGCGGACGGGTGGTACGGCGCGGTGATGTGCGCGAGCGAGAGCGAGGCGCGGCGCGAGGGCGGGCCGGGCTCCGCGGGCGGCGGGGCGGGGGCGGCGGGGGGTGGCGAGGGTGCGGCGCGGTAGGGCGAGGGCGAGGGCGGCATGTGTGCGGGGCGGCTGCTGGCGCCGTGCGCGGTGGACGGGCGGGAGAGGGAGGGGCTGTTGGGCGCGACTAGTTTGGGGATGTGGTTGTACGAGCCGGGCGGCTCGCCACGGTTGGGCGGCGGGGGCGGGGGCGGCGTGACGCCGTAGTATGAAGAGGGCCCGGAGGCGGAGAGGCCTGGGTGATACGGCCTGATGGGGGCGGCGTGGAGGGGGTCGGGATACGGAGCAGGTGCGAGCGACGGGGCGGACGGGGTGTGTGCGGGTCGGGCGGGGATGAGGCGATGCACGAGGGTTTCAAGTTCGGCCACCTTGGCCTTGAGCTCGTCATACTCGGTACGAGTGACATATTTCTCCCTGGCGCGGGAGTGTGCGTCGGTGAGGTGCTCATACGGGGCGGTGCACAATGCGGCTTACATCGGCTCGATGATGTGCCATTGGCACTTGTGATGCTCGCCGCGGCGGACGCAGGGGCCGCATGGCTGGGCTCTGGAAGCGACGATGGTATCGTGTATCAGATGCAGCCGGGCGCGATATGAAATGGATCACGGACCTATCACACTTGATCTTGCGCCTCTTGCATTCTGGGTTATACCGAATCGGACGGAGTAAGGTTTGCGGGGGGGGGGTGTTTCGTTAGTACGGTGCGATGGGGGAGGGGGGACACGAGACATGCGGAGGGCGCGCAGCGCGCGTCAGCCGTGGAGTACAGCCTGGGGAAAGAAGGGAGCCGCACCGGTGCAGCTGAGTGCCTGGCGACGCCGCTTCTTCTTGGGGGGCTCCTGCTGCTCGCCGTCGCCGTCGGAGTCGTCGGGCATGGGCCGCGAGCCTGGAGGCGGAGGCGAAGAGTGATCAGCCACGCATGGCTGGGCTAGCAGGGGACGGGCGTACCGAGGGTGCTTCCAGAAGCCACGGGATAATCTGCACTTTGTGGGTGGCTGTATACCGGGCCCGCTGTGGGCGCGGCGCCCTGCATGGCGGCGGGCGGCAGATCGGGATGGAGGTGTCGTATGGGGGGCAGCGCGGTGTGGGAGTGGGGATAGCCCGGGGTGGACGGACGCGAGGGGTCATGCTCGCCGGTGTAGGACACGGGGGCGCGATGTGCTCTGGGGCGGTCGGAGGGAGGGTGAGGGGATCTCGCAGGGTCCATTGCGGGGTAGGACGGATGGCGCGTTCATGAAAGGGAGGGGTTTAAAGGCATGGGGAGGCGAGGATGTGGCGGTCTCGTGTTCAGACGGGTCCCACTTTAGCTGCAGACGATCTAAAGGAGGATATATGTCAGGAAAGCTGATAAGATGTTATCGAGGCGGGCGGGGGTGACATGATGGGCTGGTTGGTGTGTGTGCCAGTGATCCGGGACGATGACATCGGTGCACTTTGCTTGACAACGATGCACCCGTGATCGCAGCCACCGCCACTCAAGGTGCGCCGCCGTGCCCCCCGGATCCTGGCTGCGACGGACGGACGCGGGCCGCGGAGACGGACGCGGAAGAATAAACTTTTGAGTGGAAGACGTGCTCGGCTGCGACCGGGGCGTGCGCGTCATCCGTGCAATCTCCGTTCACAGATCAGCCCGCTGCGACGCTCCCCACGGACACAGCACACTGCCCCCTGACGCCACCAGCGCCACCCACAACGCCCTCCATCATCATCCGCATATCTCCGTCCCATGAACGCAAATCACCCATCAGGCAGGTCCGCGTCCCTCTTTTGGCCCCCCCGCGCGACGTCTTGCAGTCCCCTCGCGTACGCAGCCAAACGCGCACACGTGATACGTCCCCCGCGGCGCGCGCTCACACGGCGACGTGCCACCTCTCCCATGCCTCCTGATAGAGTTTCCTCCGTGCCAATACGTCTCTCGCTGCACGTACCTGTCCCCACATTTCTCCCGCACCCACCCTCTCATGTGATCCCGCACCGTGACCGTGTTGACAGCACCGATCCAAATCTCTCCCTACTGCATCCTGCCGCTTCCCCGACTGAACCAAAGGCATCTTCCGTCCCATTCATTTAGTATATCCCCTCCGGCCAACAATCGATATCGTCTCTCCCCATCCCCCGCGGCCTCTTGCCTTTCCCAGTCCATTCCAGGCTCTCCCTCCATCCTCATCCGATCCATCGCTGCACACCTGCTGCCCCTGCCGTACCCACCTCACGTACGTCCTCTCCGTCTCTGCGCAATCACCACCCACCAGATTGACTCGGCGCACTTTCCCGGCCGCGCCGCTCCCCAATCACACATTAGGCGCAGCGCGGAAGCATCGATGACGGACATTATACACTGCAGCTCTGCGCTAAACTGATCGCGGATGCCCACCCACTCGGCTGCCCCGTATGGCCCTGCCACGCCGTCATCGCTCCCCACGCGGCGGGAACCACGCGGCGACGCACACACGGGCGAGCGTGCGTGTCACAGAAGTGCCTGTGCTCGCCGGCGTGCGCCCGCGGGCTTGGCCCACCCCCATCCCCGTCCCTGCCGAAACTCTCCTCCCCGTCCCTGCATGACGCTATCCTTCCCATGACGACATCGCGAAGCAGCTGCCCGTACACGCCCCGATCACGCCCACGCCCGTGCTTCCTGCACTTCGCCCGCGCCCGCGCACGCCCCTGCCCTGGCCCGTCCCGTCGCTCTATGGTCGCGCACCTCTTATCGCAGCCCACCACTCCTCGCCCGTCCTCCCAGCCCACGCCCAATCGCGCGCGCCTTCTCCTCGCGTCAGCCCCGGAAGGCCCCCGGCACTGCCCATGCTCCTTCCGCCTCTTGTGCAGCGGCCGTGCGCGGGCCCGCACGACACACGCGCAGCGCCCCCCGTCTGTCACCGGCCGTCGCCAGATCGCCACTTCGCCATCGCCCCTGGTACGTACGGCGCTCTGCCCCACCGCCCAGCGACGCCCAGCCACAAAGTCCGACGCGCGCTGCGCCGGCGAAGCCCTGGCGACAGCAGCCATGACGCGGGTCATGTCCGCCTTTTATGTCCGTCTCATGAGCCTGCGACATCTTTCCGCTACTGGGGCCGGCGCGCGTAACGCCGCGGGCTGCCCCCGGGCGTGCTTCCTGTGGAGGGGATAGTGCGACACCGGAGACAGCATGCGTAAGCTCCGGGGCCTTCGATGCCGTGTCTTGTCCAGGCTTCGCCGTGACAACGTCGAGGCGCCGGCGAGAGGGCGGGGCGGATGTACGAGCTATGTTATACACGGATATCCAGTATGTCATACACGGATATCCAGAGCCTGCGCAAATCGAGAGACGTGTGTCACGTCCTGCCCACAGGAGGCTGCCGGCTCTATCCGCCTGCCATGACGCGCACTCTGCGCATCCCTCCGTGCGCCAATGCCGCACATGTTCGTGTTCGTGTTCCCTGCTTGGCTATTCTAGCTTATCATTTCTGTCGTTGATCGCATCGCCTCTCCCGCTACGCGGCGACGACGGTGTGTCCCCCTCCCCTCTGCCACTGGCAGCTGCCGCGATGCCCATCGATTGTCCCATGGATTGCCTTGACAGGCTCGGTCGCCGCGGAAGCGCAAGCCTGCCAAGGCGATCTGTCAGGCATTTCACATGGTGCGATGCGGGCGCGCCTGCGCCTGCTCCTTCTCTTGGCCTTTTTTGCCTTTTTTGCTTTTTGGCCTGTGCGCAAGGAGCAGGGAGATGAGCCGGTGGCGCAGTTCGGGCGCGACGTGCGGCTGCGAGCCTCGTGGTGCCCGTCCCAGATCCGTCCGCGGTGTGTGTATGTGTGTGTGTGTGCGCGCGCGCGTCTCTCCTCTCTCCGCGGCAGCCGTACGTCGACCCGCGGGCAAGGGCTGCGATGCGCGCGAGCCGGGGTGTGCGATGCGCTCGAGCAGGGTGTGCGGCGCGCTCCCGGGGCCGGTGGGGACACCCGGCGCAGCGGCGAGGACGCCAGGGACGCGGTTCTCCCGTCTTCCGTGTCCGCGGTGTCCTGGTGTCCTGGTGTCCCGCAACATGCGCGCAGGCGAGCGGTGGACGCGGCGCCACATGGCGTCCGTGCTGACCGCCGGGCGGGTCTGTGTCAGACCTGAAGGGTCCGTGCACACCTCGCCTTCGCCACCGGTGCGTCCAGGCAGATTGCGTCCGTGGTGACCGCCGGGAGAATTTGTGTCAGACCTGAAGGGTCCCCTTGACGCTCTGCGGATGCGGATGCGGATGCGGATGCGGATGCAGGGCAAGCGGCGTGTCTTCGTCAAGGCTCACGCATTCGCCACCGGTTCACCCAGGATCTACCCCCCCTCCCCCTCCCCCCGAGCACACTCTCGTGCAGGCGATCTCCCAGCTCAGCACGACGTTGGCATTGCGTTTTTTTCTACCGCGCGAAAATTGCTGATCGGAGGGTGTTCCCATCGATGTCCCCGAAAACCGTCTGTAGCATACCGGCGCTCAGCAGTACAGGATGCGCCGTCTTCTGCACTTCTCACAATGTATCCTAAAACGATGAACGCAGCGCGCCTTAGCCCTCACCCCCACCCTCTCAGCGAGCGCCGCAACGTTAACGTTAACGGTGCTTGTAAAGATTTCAGAGTGCAGATTTCGCGCGGCGGCGACCGCGTTCTAGCATTCTAGCGGCGTGCTGGTGATGCATTCATTGTACGGCCCCGGGGGCGCCTCTTTCCCTGTACCTATACCGGAATGTGCCCGCTCAGACGCCTGCATGCGGCCTTGAAAATCCTGGCGCAGTACCCCCCTGGAATGAATTGCAGCGCCTCGAAACGGCCATCTGTCATGAATTCCGCATTCCCGCATTCCCGGCAGGCGGCGCAAAGCACGCCTTCAGCATGGAACGAGATAGCGGATACAGCTGGCCCTTGTCGCGTGCGATGAGCCCGCAACGTGTGTCTGTCCCCGCGTCCAACTCAGTTGCCAGGCACCCTCCGAGTCTCTTCTGGTCCGAGCTACGCTGCCTGGGTGACCTCGACCTCAAGTCAGCCCGAGACGATGGGTGTTCCCGCAAGAGCAAGAGTCACTGCGTCATCCATGCTTCTTGCCGTACCAGGCACAAAAGCAGTGGCACATTCTCTGAACATAGTACTAGCTAGAATGCATCCCATGGTCCGCCTGTCAATCTAACTACGGACACCGACTGACTAGAGCTGTGTGATCGGACCGAACGCTACCGCCCGTGCTCCAAGTCTGATGATGTCCACGGGGCCGCACGCACCTAGTAGGAGTAGGTGTTGAGCGCCGTCGAGACGGCGTGCGCCAGGATGCTATGGCGGCGCAGCAAGCACACGGGTTAGCGAGCGGAGCCGCGGCGAAACAGGCACGCACTTGTGCACGGTGTACAGCGGGTGCAACGTGTTCAGCCAGCTGCGAATGCGCCCGTGTAAGCCACACAGGGGTCCCATGTCTCGGTCGGCGCTATGCGCGACTCACAAGTAGCTCGAGACAGGCTCGCAGGGCTCCGTCTGCGTGGTCATCTCCGGCGTGCCGTTCTCGTACGCCGCGCAGTACCCGGTGCTGTTGACGTACCCGAACGTGGCGTAATTGTCGAGGAGCGTGTTGAAGACGGGGCGCGTGTCGAAGAACGTCACGCCGTTCAGGCCCTCGTGGGTCGCCTCGAAGAGGTCGACGAAGCGCGCCAGCTGGTCGTTGTAGTCCGCGAGCGCCGCGGTGATCTGGTTGACGGCAGTGGGGCCCGCTTCGATCAGGAGGGGCGCGCGGTTCGTGGGCGGAACCGTCATGAACAGGAAGGAGCGGGCACCATCTTGGTACAGGATCTCGACCTATCACATCGGCCTCATTGAACACAGCGAGATCCGATATCGGGGATTAGAGGTACCTGGCTGAACAAGCGATCCATCAAGGTGGTGTGGAAGGCGGCTTGCGACGTGACGTTGGTCTGACGACGCACACGGACGCGTTCGGTTAGTAGTGAGAAGGACACGAGTAGTCGGGGACGCGATGTACCCAGCCATACGAGTTTCCCTGACGTCGCTAATTCAGACAGAATGGCTGGCGGAGGCGCGGACATCACGTACAACATCGTTGATTCCGATCCATATTGCGAACAGACTGTTGGAACTGTCCCACTCAGCCCCAGCTGGCTTTGATGCAAGATATTCCTGGAATTGAGACACTTGATCGACAATTGACCTGCCAATTGTAGGCAAGTTCAGCGCTCCTTTCAACGCAATTATATAGGCACGACGCACAACACCGTCGGCAAGTACGGCGCAACGAGTGCGGCGTCAATTGTTGCACCTCCGGATGCCAAGTTGAGAACCTAGCGATATTTTACGGCATTGATGGTGCGTGCTGATAACGTGAACGTACGTGGAGCACGTACCTTCGTATCAGTCACATTGTATGTTCCGCCTAAGGCTTTTCAGGACGGCGCTCCGTTTGGGTCAGACGTCGACACTCACTCAGATATTCTACCCAATTGGGTCCATTCGAAGACGTCTTGAAGGCAAGGCGTCAGATGATACATTGCGTCTTCTACCACCGCGTAAGTTATTCATATGGCACTCACGTAACCTGGATCCGGGGAATTCACTCCCGCGGAGATGTTGTAACCGTCGGTCGTGTACGAATCACCGAACGTGAACAAGAATTTTGTCTCGTTCCAGTATAGTTGGCCTGACACAAGCTTAGCCGCCGAGAGCACACAAGACGCCGCGAAGAGGAATGTGCGCATTGTGTAGTCGTTAGCAAATGCAAGCGGTCAACCGAGGAGAGCAATGCCGATTCCTAATAATTTGTTCACGCTCCCAGTGCTTTTATACACCATACGCAGGCCGCTGTGCACGAACGCGCCGAGGAATGACCGCGGGGTAGACAATTTCCCCAACACTGTCAGGAATACTTGCGGGGGAATCCTCGGGTGGGTAAGCAGCATTCTCAGGGAGAGGACGGCGACTCGCAGACGGTGATCGCTTGGCTGAAGGACGTTAAACGGTCAGCAGGTGACCACGCATTGGCAATGTGAATGCCCGTGGAACGCCCGATGACTGCCCTTGCCGATCTGAGGCTATAAAGTCAGACTGGCTTCGGAAATGTTGTTGTAAATAGGTCAGGAGCATATGCTTCAGCCGCGAATGAATAGTTCCGGGCCTGCTCGGTCCGCAAGTCAGGGCCGTAACACAGCAGAAAGACAAGTGAGCAAAACCGAAGACGCCTGAGACATCACTCAACTTGACACTCAGACAATGCGATGAGGTGAATACAAGGGCGTTCAGGCGGACATCGTCAGCTGACTGGTAAGAAGCGCATTAATCGAAGGTTACGGTGACCAGTATCGACTGTAACCAGCGGATTTGCCAGTGAAAGTGGTGTAAGCGCTTGTAATGATAATTGCAATTGGCCAATGGGAGCGTTCTTACGGCAATAACAAGCAAATATAAACGCGGACTTTATGTTTGTGATTTCCGATCAGGCGCGTGACGTCTTCACCACATGTCGCTTATTCCCCGATTGCTTCGACCGCGAGTTAGGTTAGCCACCCAAACGCCGCTCTACTCACCTTTCTTGAGATGATCTCGGTGAGTAGGCAGCAATGCGAGGTGACGCACTGCGACAAGTTCCTCACAATATCCTAGGCCTTCTTCATCTTCAATCAGAAGGGCGAGGTGAGCAGTTAGAGGCGTCCGCTCGTATGTGTCACCAAGTTGATATGGCACCTTTCTTAGGTCCTCATCTCACGTCTTTACCGAACAGACCTGAAGTAACGTATCCTGTCCTTGCTATGCTACTGCATCTTGGACCTCACATGAACACTTCAGGCGTTCGATTGCAGACGTCTTTCGGATACAGGTCGTCTCTAACAGTGATGTCCGCTCGCCTATCATCACGCTTGGGTCGACTAGTTTCTTTCACGTCAGAGTAAACAACCTCTACGTCGTGGCTGTTACCAAGTACGTGCCTCTGGCAGCATTACACAGCGATGCACATAACCATCGATCTTCACAACAGGTGCAATGCCAATGCTGCACTAGTGTTCGAGTTCTGCTACCGCTTCGTTTCCATCGCAAAGTCATACTTCGGTAAGGTGGACGAAGAGGCCATCAAGAACAACTTCGTGCTCATATATGAACTTATTGACGGTTCGTATGCATAATGTTGCTGCATACTCACACTGCTGATCCCGTACCTGGGTGGCGCAGAGATCAATGACTTTGGATACCCACAGAACAGCGAGACTGATACATTGAAGACTTACATCACGACAGAGAGCGTCATGTCGTCAAACTTTGCTGCCGTGCGCACCCGTAGTGTCCAGCCGTAAACCTCGGATCACACTGACAGGATGCTTGCAGGAAGAATCATCCAGGATCACGGTCCAAGCGACGGGCGCCACGAGCTGGCGGCGCGGCGATGTCAAATACAAGAAGAACGAGGCGTTTGTCGACGTGGTTGAGACTGTCAACCTGAGTATGAGCGCCAAAGGTCTGTCACTCCAGCTGCGCTAGTCGTTGCCGCAGGGCCGACCTGACCGGATGGGCTGTGCGATGCAGGAACCGTTCTGCGCGCAGACGTCGATGGACATATCATGATGCGCGCGTACCTCTCAGGGACGCCTGAATGCAAATTCGGCTTGAACGACAAGCTAGTCATCGATAAGAAAGACCAAGGCGGGGGCGATGCGGTCGAATTGGACGATTGTCGCTTCCATCAGTGTGTCCGTCTCAATGAGTTTGATTCAACGCGAACGATTAGCTTCATTCCGCCGGATGGAGAGTTTGAACTAATGCGGTAGGTGTGCCTTCGCAGAAATAATCTATTCGTGGCTCCAGACAATATGCTAATCGCAGCGCAGATATCGTGCCACCTCAAACATTAAGCTCCCGCTGAAGGTCATTCCCTCTGTTACGGAGGTTGGGACAACCCAGGTGCAATACGTCGTCACGGTCAAGACGAGTTTCAGTAATAAGCTGTCCGCAACGAATGTGGTTGTGCGGATACCAACACCGCTGAACACGACTAGTGTGGACTGCAAGGTGCATAGCGGCAAGGCTAAATATGTTCCGGCCGAGAACGTAGTTGTGTGGAAGTGCGTGTCCTGTTCCTGCGCTGTACGGCCGTATCTTATATATCGAACAGGATACCACGGATACAAGGAGGGCAGGAGGTCACACTTTCCGCCACCGGCGCCCTGACCAGTACAACAAATCGACAAGTGTGGGCACGGCCGCCGATCGACGTCGACTTCCAGGTACTCATGTTCACCGCGTCGGGCTTGATCGTGCGCTTCTTGAAGGTGTTCGAGAAGAGCGATTACCAAAGCGTCAAGTGGGTCCGCTACCTGACGAAGGCGAGCGGGTCATATCAGATTCGGGTACGTGGAACATACAGGCACCGTTCGCTGTGATGTTGCTCATCACGGAGGTATAGTTCTGAGTGCGCCGTACCTCATAAGCTCGGCTTGATCAAGATGACCATATTTCATTCGATCTTGGCCATCAGACCATAGGACACTCATACTGTACTGTTATGCTATATCACAGGACCATCACCTGGTCTCTGCTACGAGCTGGTTGCTCGCTGGACCTTCTTTGTGAATTGCCGATATACGAATTGCCCATGAAACTTTGACAACTGATTCCATTAGGCCTGTTGCACTCGATGTGTGCGTAAGCGGACCGGGCCCTGGAAACAACGGTTGCGATGATACTTCACTGGATCCAACCAGGCGGGTCGGGACCATGGGGGCGGGACTATGGTCCCGACCGTTGATTCCTGTTACCGAGCGTTAATTCCGAATTCCACATCAATCCCGCTAACGGACCAACATTCTCGGGTAGGTATATCGATATGGAATCAGCTGCTATGGACCTGCTATGGGCCGCAACGTCACTATCTGCCGAGCGTTACATTCTAAGTTTACATCTAATACATTTCGTCCTGCCGCCGGCATAGTATATCGATATCAACACTTGTTATCCCCCGTTGCTCAGTGGTACTGTGGCACCAAGATGACGATTACCGAAATTGCCACCCTCGAGCTACTGGTTCCTCACACATGGGACTCGCCCGACGCACGCACCTTCTTTAGGACCCTGAGCGACCGCCAGTCGGCCTGGTCCGGGCATTCTCTATTCTTCTTCAAGGGGGCAGACTCACCTGGGCAAATCTTCCTGATATCCGGATGGAAGAGTGTGCAAACACACAACGAGTGGATCGCGAGTGCACAGAACCAGGGGCTTTTAGAGATGACGAAGGGGCTGGTAGAGGTGCGAGGGCTAGTGCACGCAGATATCAATTTCGAAGACCTGCCGCGCGGTACTCGACGAATTGTAGTGGAGGTCATACAGAAGGGCGGGGGAGGCGAGGCGAGCACAAAGCTGCAGAAGACACGGAGTGTTGAAGAAGATGAGCGGCACGAATGGGCTGCGAGCGGAGAGGTGTTGGACGGGGGAGCCGGAGCTATTTGCCGCTTACGAGCGTATGCTATGGGCGAGACGGACCTTCTCAGCTACTAGAAATGGACGCGGTGCTGTACAATATTGAGCAGAGCAATAGCTCGAGAGAATGTTTGCATGCAGCCATTGGTCGGTGGCTGGAACGGCATGTGGTCACGTGGTGACACACGCGAAGTCGCGTTGTGGCTCGGAGTGCAGGTTGATCTCCAGCAACTAGCACAGAGATCTCCATGCCGGCACCTGCACGCAAGAGCAGCGTCGGGTCCCGACGCCCGCCCCAGAGATACATCCCATATCGCGCGGACGATTTCCAACATGGCAAGAAGACCGGAATCGCTGTTGCATATGTCGACCACAAGTCGGACGAGTTCGAGCCGTTCGACAAGGTGATGAGCCAGGCCGACGCGCGCACGCCGCCCAGAGTACAGAATGCGCGGAAGAAGCGCACTCCGAAGCCGAAAACCCCCATTATCGAGCAGTATGAAGATGACGAGAATGGGGAAATGTCCATGGAGCTCGAGGACAGTGAGTACTTGTTTGCAACACCACACATACGCCATCCTACTGATGTGATTACGCAACGTAGGCATTCCCAATAGTCCGTCTGCATACTTTGCGCATACACGCGTGAATACAATCACCTCAAGTGCTAGACGTGTTGGGTCGTCCTCACGCCCAGTAGCCCAGAGCTCTGATGTGGACTTCGACAAAGTACCTTCTCCCCGTGACTCCTCCCCAATCATAACCGGTCGTCGATCAATTGGACTACCCCGCTCCCCAGGCCCGTCTCGACTTTCACAGTCCTTCGCAGCTCGGGATGACCACGATAACGGCCCTGAGGACGATGGAGGCATGGACTACGACGGAGGTGGCCTGGACTTCGAAGCGGGAGGGTTTGACTCGGATGATGACGATGATGTTGCTCCCGCACACTCATCCCGGCAGGAGCAACAACACTCGAAGCGTCTCCACGGGCAGCCTGTGCGGCGTACCAGTTTCACTCAAATGGATCGAGAAGACGAAGAAGAGGAGGAGCAAGTTGAGGAGCTGGCAGCTGGACCACCCAGCGACAAATCCAGAGGGAAACAGCGAGCCAATGGCTTTGTTCCTTATCGAGATCCGGAGTTAGAGGATGAGATTGCTCAAGGTTTCGAGGAGGTCGATCAGGGGCCAGTCGACGAGCATATGGACGACGGCAAGGAGCAAGATGAAGAGCAAAGGCCGCGGAAACGAGGTGCCAAAGAAAGGGGCGATGACGACAGCGTCGACAAACACCAGCCGTCAAGCAAGAAAGCGCGCACCGAGAACGAGGGCGCTAAGAAACCACCAGGACGACCGCGAGGCAAGAAGAACAATGTCCTCCGCGAAGGTTCGTCGTCGATACCTTCGCATGCTATTGAATAGCCCGATCGGCATGCTAATCTACTCTGCAGTGACGCCCGACGAGAACACGGACGGGTTGCGTCGCGGGAAGCGCACGCGGTATAAGCCGCTGGAATGGTGGCGGTGCGAGAAGGTGGTGTATGGCCGGCGAGAGGGGGGGATATCGCTAGTACCGACGATCAAGGAGATCGTCCGTCTGCCAAAGGAGGAGCCTCAACCATTAGGCGCTAAACACCGACGGAAGCGTCCGCCACGAAGTAAGAGCAAAACACTGGAGGTCGAGGCCGAATTGGTGCTCAACCCAGAGGAGGGCTGGGACGATGAAACCGAGATAGAAGGCACGGTGATCAACATTGATAGCGGCGAGGAGCTGCGGAAACGTCCGTTGATTCATTCTTTCAACTATCCTAATGACTTAAATCGTTGTTGTGTCATCATGCACATATAGGCATAGCGTTCACGGCGAAGATGGTGTCGCCGCGAGCAGCCGCAAACAACGACTTCTTTTTCCAGAAAATCTTCGGGGAAGGCGATTTCATTGCGGCTGGGCAGCTCATGATCCCTCCTGGCGGGCAGAAGCCAACGAAATCCTCAAAGGACAATACCTACGTACGGGTGGTTGATTGGATGAGGTTGTGAGATCGCTGACAGCTACTTTCAGGTGTTCTACGTGATCGAGGGCGCAGTTAACTTCAAGCTTCACCGTAATAATTACGTGATTGCTACGGGAGGCATGTTCCTTGTCCCGCGAGGCATGCTATCATCTATCATTCCTTGCCAAGCTCCCTGCTCATCTACTCCGTCTTCAGGTAATTTCTACTTCATACAAAACATCTGCGAACGAGAAGCCAGACTCTTCTTCGCGCAAGCTCGCGAGATGCGTGAAGGCGAGGATGACGATGAGGAGGAAGGACGTCGCTCTAGCTCACGGAGGCTCTCTGCGGGTTTGTTAGGCCACTCATCCCGTAGTAAATCATAGCTGGCGCAAACGTTAAATCAAAGAGCCTCAACGAAAGCAGTCTGAAGCGGTTATTATTTTCCATGACCCTCATTATTATATGCTTATTTCATGCCCTAGCATACGCCCCGTAGATAGCCTCATGTATCGAATATGTTAATGTATGCTCCAGATTCTGAGACAACATCCACAATGCTTGGACCCGCTAAGTTGGAGGCAGGAACGATATAAAATTGTTGCACCTGAGAGACCCAAATGGAGCACTTAACCGTCCGGATGTGTAGCATACAGTACATTGACGAGGTGGATCAGGATTAGGACGAGAGCAGTGTGGATAACGAAGAACGAAGTGATTGAACCAAGCGGCCAGTAGGGTACCATATATAAGGTTAAGCGCGAAGACAAAGATGAAAAAGAAGTCGGTCAAATGCGATACCTAAATATATATGACCAGGGCGCAGGCCTCATAGGAACGAAGAATGCCCTTTCTGGTGGCTGGACTGCGCAGGCGGGCTCGACCATCTACTGTTAGCAGCCGGGGCGGAGGGGCCTGAATACCCTGCTGGAGACAAAGAGGACGGATGATCCGAGTACTGCGTATGCGCAGCAAATGCTGGTACGTCGCTGGGCACGGACGGAAACGCATCGAACAGCGCGCTGTCGAGCCCGCCGGAGCCTGTACTCGAGATCGACACCCACGAGGTAGGGCGATCTGCGCCCGCGGAGGGACCCTGTGGACGAGGCATAGGTGATAAATCAAGCTTGGGGACGGCCGGGGGCTGGGGAGGCGCGTGGCGAGGCACGGTGCCGGGGGACAGGTGGTTGTCGTCTTCTAGATACGCAGGATTCAGCGCCTCCTCCTGCGAGGGCCGGCCGACGTTCAGATGCTGCTTACCAGGAGAGGCAATGATGACAGTGTTGCGGTTGCCCTTCTTGTGCCACAGCCGGTCCGCGAAGGACGTCGCGCGCGAGAGCCCCTTCTTGGGCATCTTCCACGACTTGCTGGAGCTGCGCACGGAACTGGTGTCCGAGCCGACGGACTCGAAGCGTGGCGACGGCGGCGTCGCGACGAATACGGACTCTTCCGACATCTCCGAACACACGCTGTTGCGCGGATACGCACCGGGCATCGAGAGCATGCCGTTTGCCGCGCTCGGCTTGCGTGAGAGTAAAGTCGAGAAGTAGCGAGGCCTGGGGCTCTTTGGGGGGACAGGTGGAGGGGTATCGGAGACGATACGGCTTCTACGTCGATCTTGAGCGGGCGGGGTCACTGGCTCAGGAATTTGGAGCTCGGGGGTAGAAGGGAACTCCTGTGGCGAGTTGTACTGAGAGCTAGAGCTGTCTTCAGCGGTCTCTAGTACCTGCTGGATAGGCTCGGGCGAGGACAGCCGAATACTGAGCGGTCTCCTTTGTGGGGTCTTGGGCTCAGGTTCAGGCTCAGACTCAGGCTCGGGGGAAGGCTTGCGCTCAGGAGTCGATGGAGCCTCAACGACGTTCACTTCAAGTGCCTTTCGAGGAGAGCCAATGCCCGAGAGCTGTTGCTCCAAGCGAGCCGCGTCTGCTAGCAAATCCGCGAGGTCACTGAACCCCGGAGATTGCGGTGGTTCTGCAACCGACAGTTTGAGCGGCGGAGGGCGCGTGATCGGGCCCGTCGAATGATAATGAGGCTCACCGGAGGAACCTCCCGCAGCCTTGCGGTGAACGACGGCGCGGAAGGAGCCGGTGGTGGTCTTTGGTGTCAATGACGGCTCGACGTACTGAGCTGGAGACGGCTGAATCGGGCCAACTGGTCTGGCAGCGGGCACAGAGTTCGACGGTGAGGAGACCGGCGAGAGCCCCTGCGGTACGGGGATAAGCTTAGCACGGGTGACGATGGGCGACACGATACGCGCGGGCTCGGTAACGATAATGGCCTCGCTGGTGTCTAAGGCCAGTGACTGGTCTGCCACTTCGTCGCCTTCTGCGATCATTGCGGAGAAGCGCTTGGCTGGCTCGATGCTCGGGAAGACAGCAATATCGCTGGGGGTAGACACCTTGCTTGAGGTCGCTGAGGTGCGGTCTGTCATGGAGACCATGTCGCCTTCCAAGCTGGCATCGCCTCCGTCGTCTTCGCTGTCGTGTAAAGGTAACGATGGGCCAACAGATACTTCGCTTTGAACGGATGTGTCCTTTTTGAACACGACTGAGATCGTCTCTGTGCTGGGAGTTGACGGTAGTCGAGCCTGATTACCATCTTCCGAAGTCTGTTCCAGCTCAACTGGCGGTACTGATGCACTTCGGACATCCTTCGGAGCGGTCTGCAGTTGCAGTAGTTCATCCCCATCTGGATTGACCACGACTGGGCTTATAGCCAGTTGTTCCCCTATCACCTCGGTAGGCGTGTCGTCGACAGTGACACTAACACCAAACGAGGCATCAGCCGCAACAGACGGCGTTGCATCACCCAGATTGACAGATTCTGACCGGTTGGATACAACGATCGCGGGCGCGAGGGTGTCAGATCCTTCATCACTTTCGGGCAATGCCTCGGCAAATAAGTGGGTGCCGCCGGTTTGTGGAAGCACGTCAGACACACTGCGTCGCGTCGCATGAGCGTTGAGAGACGTGGAAGGATGCCTGGGTAAAGTCGACCCATTATCAGCGCCCAGCGGGGCAACGTCGTGCAGGAACGTGTCGTCGTCCTCGGTGAACGTGGGCGACAGAGGGCGGAATTGAGGAGATAATGTTTGGGGACCTGAAGCAGAGACAGAGCGCCTCCCGCCTGCGATTTCTGGACTAACAGCTCTGGACGGGTGCCCCGGGACGGGGGCCATGGGCCTCGAGAGTCCCGGGACGCGATTTCCCATCAATTCTCCTCGACGTCGTGACGAGCCATCATCTACCGGAGGCGCACCGAGGCCAAAGCTCCCTCGCGGTACCGGCACAGCACCCTGCTTCTCGAAGGAGGCGATCTTGTCTCGGAGGCTGCCTGTGGTGCGTTGTGTGTTCACGGTCGCAGACTGTTTGTTGTGCTCGAGGTTGCTTGAGCCTGCATTGCGCTGCTGTAAAGCGGCGATGCGGTCCTTCAAGTTCACTGGCGGAACTGGTGCTTTCGTAGCAGCCCTGTCATGCGATCCATACGGTTGTAGCTCTCATACCACGCTGCTTTGGAGAGTACTCACATTAGAAATGAACGAGAGTGAAGAGGACGGGAACCGCGGGCGACCAGCGACTGCAGTACTCTGGGTGTCCTGTTGGCTTCAGGCAGAAAACAACGGAGGTGATGGTTGATGAAGAGAGCGTAGTCGCATGCGCGCTACCACTCACCCGGCCCGCTTACTCGAATAGGTTTTGCTGTATCCTCGTCGGCAAGGTCAGCCCTCGTCAGCGTGTGGCAGCACGTCGGACACAGCACACACAAGTGGGCCTCGTAGGACACGGCACACAGGTGGACCTCGAAGGACAAGGACAAGGGCGAAATAAACATACAACACACTCGCACGGCACTGCCGCGTCCTCACGTTCAATCAACCGCACAAGATACGCGCTAGAACTCGATATCAAGATACGACACGCAAAGGCACCGAGGGAATAATGAAGCAGATTCATTCGCTATCGCTGGCCATGCCACCAGTGAAGCCCTTTGAGAGCCAGAAATCCCGCTTCCTCTTCGTGCCCTCTGCCACTCCATATCTCGTGTCCGCAGCTGAACCACCCGCGCCGTCCAGCACATCGTAGTGTGAGTACTCGTGAGATTCGTCGTACCCCTCGTCCTCGTTCACGTCTTCGCCATCTTCATCGTCACTTGTGAACACCAGTGGTACGTCTTTCGGCCGCTCGCGTTTCTGGCGCTTCTTCGACGACTGTCGACGGTCGTCGATTTGGTATCGGCTCTCTTCCTCGTCCACGCCTGCTTCTTTCACTCCATCGTCATCAGAGCCTTGTAAATCGACATCGGCCTCCTCCCACACTTTCTTCATCTTATCGTCTCGTGACGCCCGTGTCTTACCGTTCATGGCTTTGGGTCCAGCAGGTGCGCTAGAACGGGCTTGCGGTGTCACGCCGACCATGCGGTGTAAAATCCTGCGGTCGTATACTTCTTGGACTAACCGTCGATGATTTATGGTCTTTAGGTAGCGGCGTTAGTTTGATTGGACATGAACGCAAGTCCACACAAACCTCTTGAGTGACACCCATAACGCTCGCGAGGATGCTCATCTCTTCAAAATCATAGTTATCACGTAGGCGGGTATGACGGCCATTCCGCTTTGAGCTCATGATACCGGCCTGCATGTAGGCTGCCGCAGTCATGATCCCATGCGCACCGGCCAGGGTTGTGCGGACCTTCACGATCCCGTATGATCCGCGTGAAATGTCGTTCGCTAGTAATATCAGTCAATATAAGCTTATTGAACATATGAAAGTGCTCACTTGGGTCTCCAGGGTCTTCTATTGAAAGCAGCTTGGGTTGTCCATAGTCTAGCCATCCTCGTTCTGCCTTGTTGAAATAGGTGCCTCCATCGAGTAACGAAATTCCGACTTCATGATAGTTGAAGTAGCATCCATACAGCTCGAAGAACTCCATAACCAGGACACCGAGGTTCCTGGATGGATCGATTTCCCCTCTCCGGATCTTGGGATGCATCTGTAGAAAACTGATCGCTAGGCAAACGATGCTGTAGCTTCCCAAGCCGCCGGTATAGACCTCGTTCATACTTCGCTGGCTCAAGAACGACTTGATGACTAGGATGAGGCTGCGCAACGCCGGCAACTCTGCGAGGTAATGTTTGATCATCTTTCCCGCTGTGACACCATTCCCCTGGTTCACGCTAATATCGACTGAGAAGTGGCCATGCGTGGTAACGAACTTCACGATGGGCACCTTCGCTTTCGCGATAATCTTGACTCTGTCTGTGATCCCAGCACGTTTCACGGTATTGGCAAGGGCGTGCAATACTGACTCCTTGTTGCTGTACGCCATAGACGGCGAATGAATCACTAGATCAATGTCACTTAGGCATGGTCAGAGCGGGAAAGCTGGGACACGTTGAAAGTACATACCCTATTGGAAGGTATAGCTTGGTTTCGTAGCTTCCAAAAGGCAGTACTTGGGCGTCCGGAAACGCTCGCGTGACGGCTCGCGAAATCAGCGTGACGACCAACGAGCGCACTTCGTCCTCCTCTGGTGTCGGCGAGATGTACTTCACGAACGCTTCCACATCGCGATGGAGCCTGCACGTCAACTAATCAGCATGCGCGAAAAGCTAGCTAGGAAGTACCTTGAGCTAGTGGACCCACATCTCGGCGACGTTCGTGCAACTGTCCCAATCCACATTCGCAACCCATGGCGCTTTGCGCGACGCTGCTGCGATACGCTGCTGCTTGTTTGCATACCCGTCGTTCGGGTCGTATTCCTCCACTTTCCGCTTTCGCGCGCTGGAGTCGCGCTCGTAAGCCCTGCCCTTGCCCTTATCCCATTCCCTCACCGGGGTCTTGGGCTCCTTGGGCTCGTCGTCGTCAGAAAAGGTGAAGGGAATGAAGTCTGTCTCCTGAAACAGATTCTTCTGCTTCTCGCTGCTATAGCTTTCCGCGTCAGTCTTCCGATCCACAGACGTTTCCACCTCCTCTTTCGTGTTCGAATTTGACGGTCCTGCCTCGGCGTCTCGTCGTTCCTTCTCACGGCGCCGACGTGCGCGACGATTCTCGCTCGGGGTTGCCGGAGTCTGCGATTCTGGAGTATTCCTGCTAGATGGTGGCTTTAGAGAGCTAGGCATAGTTGCACGACAGATGCAGCAGCAAATGGCGTCGGCTTTGAGTGAAATGTGGCTTGAGTTAGAAACTCTGCGAGAGCCGCCGGCACAGTACCACATACCCGAAAAGGCAGCTTGTTGTTTGGCAGCACCCTGTGAACCAAACTCGTCTTACGAACTTTACGCGCATCATTCGCATGCAGGCATGGCCAGGGGCACTTCGGCGCTCTCTATCTCTTTTAAGAACAGATGTATCTAGACTAAGCCCACGCAAAGGCGACCGCGGTATGTGTGACACCAGCTGTCGCTGAGCCTTTCCCTCACTTTACAGTTTTGCAGTGGTCGCTGCCATGTCTGGCGGGGTGGATTCCTCAGTTGTAGCCAAGCTTTTAGCAGAACAGGTGCGTATCAAGCATAAGCTCATAGCACAACACTGACTGTATTACAGGACTACGACTTATCCGCTGTGTTCATGCGCAACTGGGACACTCGGGATGAGTCCGGTACCGACAAAGGTTGTGAGTGGGAAAAGGATTGGGAAGATGTACAGCGTGTCTGCAAGATGCTAGACATTCCATGCGAAATGGTGGGTGTATACTGTGGGCTGCATTCTCTCGGCCATGACCAAGGAAAGGGGTAGGTGGACTTGTCTCAGCAGTACTGGACGCGAGTGTTCGAGCCCTCGTTGCAGCTGTGGGAGAAGGGCCAGACTCCAAATCCGGATATATGGTGCAACAGGTACGTATACTGCACCACAGCCGTCAGCGAGCGCCATTCCTGAAACAGAGGGCCGCAGAGAAGTGAAGTTTGGGGCATTGATGGACCAATTGACTGGCGACGATGTCTGGGTTGCAACAGGTTCGCTTCAGCGCTATCTACCAGTGGGTCGGGTTCTAACGTCGTACAGGACATTATGCCGACAAGTCATGGTTTCCTTGCAAGTCGGTAGAAGTCCCCGTGCTGGGAGATGAGACACACCGTCCTCAGCTCAGACGTCCTCGGGATAGGACCAAAGACCAAACTTACTATCTTTCCGCCATCCCGGAGGCCAGCCTTGCTCGCACCATTTTCCCCCTTGCACCTTTTGCTAAAACTGAAGTACGTGCCATGGCGAAAAAGTGGGAACTACCTACGGCCCAGAGAGCGGAAAGCATGGGTATATGCTTCGTAGGCGAGAAGCGACGCTTTGACGGCTTTTTATGTAAGTGAAATGAAAAGTTGAATGATAGAGCGTCGCAGTAATCGTGTTGTTCCAGCACAGTATATCACCCCAAGGCAGGGCCCCATAATCGACTTGCAAACTGGCAAACAACTGGGTACTCACACTGGGCTTTGGACTTACACAATTGGTCAAAATGCGCGCTTGCCAGGCATGCCAGAAAGGATGTTTGTGGCTAAGAAGGACGCCGAGCGTAATGAAATTTATGTTGTGCCCAGCTCGTACGTGTTTCCAAAAAGGCACAGCATGTAGCAGCAACTGATGAAATAGATAGAACTCACCCCGCTCTCTATTCGCGATCCCTGATTGCGTCAGCTTGGCAATGGATCTGGAGAGACCATCCACCTGGGGGTATTGATGATGAGCTCGGGTTTCATGGCCGGGTTCAGTACAGACATCGCATGCTGGACGCCCCGGCAACGATCCAACGGTGTGTGAAGTTTCTACTGCCATACCCAACAGCCTTATTCACGACGAACAGACGGGGCCACACGATCCACATCACCTTCGAGGAGCCACAGCAGTCAGTCGCTCCTGGCCAGATTGCTGCAGTTTGGGATGGAGATTGGTGTCTAGGAAGTGGTATCATTACAGGCACTTCGGGACCATAAAGTCAATCTCCTCTCCGATCCGAGCATGAGTCCTCTTAATATCTTGGAGACACTGGCTCGACAATATCGATGCGGTGGCCGAGGCAGGGGATATTGACGAAGGTCTATCCATGTCCAGGCCTTCCAGCAAGTTATGAAGGTCTTTAGATACCTGGACCGAACATACAGCGTGTAGATAGAGAATTATTAAATGAATATGTGAACATAGCATTATGAGAAACTGGATCGAAGCACTTCGTCAATTTGATACGCGTCATCTTCAGAATAGGCAATCTGCGAGGGGCCACCGGTAGCGCAGACCTTACTCTCAGCCGTCAACCTCACTGGCATCTCTACTCTCCCACTTTATATTCTACGGCTGCTTGGCAGGCTAGGAGAAATAATACAAGCCTAGATAACGGCCAGCCTCGTTCCGCATGTTTTGGAGGTAATCCGCGCCATTGCTACTACGCATCACTCTTCACAAATCCCTGTGGCAGATTTGGTTTCCACAATGCGTCCACCATCGACAGCCTGCTGGACAAGGAGGACGTGTCGTTGGAAGCCATCCTGGACGAGGACGACCTGCTTCAGGAGTGCAAGGCCCAGAACTCCCGTCTCGTTAGTTACTTCCAGCGCGTCGACGTGCTGCAGCGCTTGCTAGGATATGTAACTGGTCAGATAGAAGGCGAAGATAAGGGCAGATTCAAGTGAGTGCTCCTTTCCATACTTCTAAGCACTCTGTTATGCTAAAACATGTCGCATTTGCGGCGTATCGTGTGGAAGGTACCCGTACGTTGCCACAGAGGTACTATGCAGCGAGATATGGACCATCGTGGAGACGTGTCTCAACAACTCAGGGAAATTGTTAATACCGTTTTGGGAGACGGTCCTCGACAGACCCCCCGAAGACATGAAAACCCAGATGATCATGGCGTCACATTTCGCAAAAATCAACGCCGTCTTTCTGAGCAAGAAGCCGGAGGAGGTAAACACATCGTGCTCTTTCATGCACATGTTGCAACGAAGCTTGAACCCCATTCCCAGATGCTTGCGTTCATCCAATCTCAACCTGCAGTGGTCGAACGACTGTTGCATCACATTGAGACACCTGCCTTCGCCGACCTACTGGTACGAATCATCCAGCTGGACGATCTCCCGGCTGGTGCTGCCGTTCTCGAAGTATGTTCTTCCTCACTTGCCATATGCTCTACCACGAACTCCTCTTACCCCAAGGCGTGCAGTGGCTATCCAAGGAAAACCTCATGTCTCGCCTAATTGACCTCCTGGCTCCCACATACAGCCCTGACATGCATACAGTGGTATCTGAACTCATTAAAGGCATTATTTCCATGGCAGCACCCTCTCCAGGCGCGGGCGTGGCTGACAGCAATGTGCCACCTTCAAACCGGTTTGCTCGAGAATTAGCCCATCGTGATAGTGTGACGAAGCTGGCGAGTTATATCCTCTGCGATTTCGGGCCGACATCATCAGGGGATGAGCCCACGGTGAACGACACCGCGGCCGCCGGTGGCAGCAATGCTTCCAGCACGCGATTGGTCCCTGAATATGCTGCGTCGTCCGTTGTGCAATCGATTTGTATCATCATCGAGCTAATTCGGCAAAATAATTCGGACTACTTCGAACCGTATTTGTTCCACACGCTGCGGAACCGTCTCATTCAAGTGCAGCAACATTTGCAGATGACCAAGGAGGGTGGGCGCGAGGAGCTGGAGACTGCCATGAAGGAAATGGTGAACCGCATGGGTGTCGTGCATCTTGGTCCCGTCCTGGAGATCATGTGCGACAAGCTGGATCAATTACAGCAATACCTCAGCAAACCAAGGTCTTTGGTCAGGCATATCGTGCTCAGCATGAGTTGTCAGGCTAACCGTCCCACTAATCACGTAGGATGGTCACGTCCTGACGACTGTTGGAGAGCTCACCCCGTTGACCTTCGAGCGGTACCGCATATGCGAACTTTACGCCGAGTTGTTGCACTGCTCAAATATGTCGCTCTTGAACCGGCCAAAGGAGTATGAATATCTATACGACTCGCAGGGTCGACTACAGGGTGGCCTCTCTGCTCTCGAAGAACTGGCGCAAGTGATCGCGATCGGTGCGGGCGGTGAGCGCGACCAGGGTGACATGGACGACGACGAAACCGACGACGTGGAGCCAGCCCATGACTTCCCAGTCCATGTGCAGGACTCGTCCTCTCTTCTGGATTCGGACGAGGATATGGACGACGAGCCAGGTAGTTCAGACGACGACGCAATGGAAGAGATTGCCATGTACGAAGAACCTCGCTCAATTATGGGTCGGGATTCGCTGTTGACCATGCCTCCTGCGGAGCAATCTTCTCCTGTTCAACCTCCGCTGAAGAGCCAGTCACCCAGTCTTTCCACAGCGTCGCCTTCGTCATCCCCGTCTTCCGATCTCGTTGCCTTCCCACAGCAACGGCAAAACTCATGGAGCGCCTCAGACGCAGAAACACACTCAAGACCACGGTCAAGTAGCTCGCGGCGGAGTTTACGTAGAATCAGTACAATTGAAACACTCTCAGGAGGACGGCTCGTCCTTGGGGAGCGTCTCAAGAGACGCTTCCTAGAGGCAAACGTAGTTGGAACGTTACTAGTAAGCCGGGTTCAAATCCATATCTCGTGTCTTCTCAGCAATTTGTAGGATCTCTTCTTTGATTTCCCCTGGAACAACTTCCTGCACAGCGTGGTGTATGACTTAATCCACCAAATACTCACGGGTCGTATAGACGGCGGCTACAACCGGGAACTGACTATTGCGCTCTTTCGAGATGCGCGGCTCATGCATCGCATCATCGAAGGCTCCAAAAGAAATGATCTGGAGAGGTTGAGCTTTTTAATTGCAGCGTCATCCAGACACTCATTTTTGCCACATCAGCACAAAGCCGAAAGGCGTCCGCCTAGGCTACATGGGGCATCTCACTCTCATCTCAGAGGATGTCATCGGTGCGCTGGAACATTTCCCGCCTGATCTTCGTCTCCTCGCGGCTCAGTATGCCCCGCAACCGGAATGGGATGAGTATGTTACTGGCCGCTACAAAGAGACGAAGAAGAAAGACACGAGTTTGCTGGGAGGAGGTAAGCCGGTGGTTGCCCCGGGCATGCGCAGCGGTCCCGGATCACAATGGAGAGTCGACGAGGCCGACACGGGCGGTGTCTCTGCGACCGCAGCTGCCGCCACCGTGCCTGGCGATGGGGGCAGTTCTCAAGGCATGAAGGGCGAGTTCAAGCGCACAGCCAAAATGCGCGAGAGTAGCGCTGACTTCGGCCGCGCAGGCGGGATGGACGATGACGACGAAGAATTTACCAGAGCCGGTCCTCCTCATGCAAGTCCATTTATCGCAGCTCATCGGGGGGCAGTGGCTGACGTGAGCATGGTGCTCAGTTTGCACACTACCTCGCACAGGAAATGCAGTCTGCCGAACACTTTGAATCCGCAGACGAGGCGTCTGATGACGAAGAGGAAGACGGTGGCTGGCTGGCTCATTCCACGTTTGAGCTGCGCCCGCCTCCAGTGTCTGCTCGCCAGCGCGAAGCCGACCGACGTCCATTAAGTTCCAGCGGCTTTGACGTGAGTGTCTGAAGCGCCCCCATCATCGAGCCTGCTCGATATCACTCACATATCAACAGGACTCGTTCACTCCTGCCAATGCGTCAAATAACGCGACCTTCGACGACCCATTCGACGATGTAAGTCAGCTAGCTGTTATCCTCGGACTCCCCCCCAAAGCGCACTACTGTTTCGCAGGACACGTTCGGCCCCTTCTCAGACGCAGCAGCGGCAAACGGCGCCGATCCGTTCACTTTCTCGACAGGATATACTGAAGAAGTGATCGAGGATGGCGCCTTCGACTCTTTTGGAGACTTTGGCGACTTCCAGAGCGCCGGGAGCGAAGCATCGCCGCCCACTGGCGCTGACAGCTGGAGTTTTGCCAGCGCGTCAAGTGCAGGCTCTTACGATGAGGGCGGCCGGGGCGCCGATACGGTCAAAGATCACGCAGAACGGACTGCTCAGAATTAGAATGTGTACAAATGACAGTTTCGACTGATGAAGTAGTATTGCACGTCGTGTTGTCTTCGTTTCTGTTTTGCTTTCTGCAACCCGTCACGCCTGTATGTACTCTTAATGATAGACCTCGAGGTGAGTATGTGTGATGCTTGGCATGCGGGGACTTCGGGGCAGCATGTTTCGTTTAGAGCTTGCGAGGTCGCATTGAGGGTAAACAACATTGTCTGCTTCTGGGCTCGTTCGGGCGGCCTTCATCGTTCGTGGTCCGGTGAGCTAGCTTAACACTGCCGCGAACGTTTAATTGTTGAGGGCGCCCGTGTGAGAGGCAGACGCCAATCGAACTCGATGAATCTAGGAAGCATGTGGGAGGTATATACAATGTTTATTCTATCTTCGTGACACCCTCGGATGAGTTCTCAGAGAGCGATATCCTTGCGCGACCGACGTACACATACACAGCAAGAAAGCGGTTGAGGAGGCACATAATAAGTTAGGTCATAACGGCATCAGCATCCGTCGTCCAAACATGTCCCAAGAGATCATGGAGGTCCGTGTGTGCGCGGGCAGCGCCATGCGCTCGCAGGCGCCATCGGTCCGCAGAGCGCAGAGCACAGGGCACGCGAGCTGGCCAGGTCATGGTGTCCGGGCGCCCGCCTTCAGGCCGCCCGGCGGCAGGCTGCTGCGTTCCGAGCCCGAGTCGCTCGGACTGCGCCGCCCCTTCTCGGACGTGACGGCGGGCACGGGCTGGGGCGTTCGGTCAGTCGCGCGCGGGGCGGGAGCGGGAGGCAGATGCACGCTGACTTACCTGCATGAGGACGGTGGCGTCCGAGAACGACGACGCCTGGGAGTCTGCGCGCCGGGGTTCTCGGCGGCGCCCGCCCCTTCTTCGGCCGCCGGACGTGCGCGCACGGGCGCGCTCCGCGCGTTCTCTGCGGCGGCGGCGCTGGCGGATGTTCACGTAACACACGGTCGCGAGCACGCTGGTGATCACGACGACTGTCGCCCGGGTGAGAAGAGGGGAATTTGCAATTATTGGCTGTGGGACCACCCACCGAGAATCACCACGACGGCAGCGACCCATGCGGAGCTCTGGGGCGCGTCGGACACGCCATCGTCCGGGTAGCTGTCGCTGCAGGGATAGTGAGTTGATGTGCGGCGGGAGTAGAAGTGGCGGTCACCTGACTTACTCTCGTGGAATGGGAAACAGCATGTGGAGCGGAGCGGCGGCCGCGAGGGTGGCGTGGAACGCCACAATGGCTGCGGAGAAGGCGAGTATTGGCATCGCCGAGGTCGTGCGGATACCGTGAGGGCGAGGACGCAACGCACTAGGGGAGCAGAAGGAGGCTGCAGCGAGCACAAGCGGCGAGGGCGAGAAGAGCATTATAAGATATGGAGGTGTGCCAAGGATGGGGGCCAGCGCCCCGGAGCGAGCTTGGCAGGCCAAGAGAGTTGCCTGCTCTCAGCTCAGAGTCTCCCGTCAGACGGCTGTCAGACGGGTCCCACTGCGCACACAAAGTCAAACGGATGCTTTTACTGCACACTTGCGGACATTGCCTCGCCGCCGCTTGTACGGGACAGACGGCGGGGGCTGGACACGGCAGTCGGGCCATAGAATTGGCTGTTGCGCGATGGCCGAGGGTCTGGGTCTGTTCGTCTTCTGCCTCGCCTCGGCGGGTGGGGCAGTCCCAACTTGGAGGTTGTCTTGCCAGAGTTGGCCTATCGCCTGAGCGCACGGGAATTTCTGCCATTCCTGCTCGACTGTGAGCCCTGAATTGCAAGAAGCAATGGATCCGTCAAATAAGTGAGTGCCAAGGCGCATGCTGGGCAGGCCGCCGAGCGTGTTCCGTACTTCGCGGCACTTCGCGGCCGTAGGATCGCGAAGGACCATCGATGTCATGCTGCCTGAGATGACAGAGTCGTTGATGGCTCTCGTCTGTGGATAAACGGCGAGAGTGGCCCGAGCAGTGAATTAAGAGCGCTGACAGACGAAGAAGCATGCCCAGGAGCAATATGGCTCGCCACGTGTCCGATCAGATCCCATCGCGAGCATTCGGGATCACGCCACCAGCCGCATGCCTTCCCTGCTTTAGCCCAGCCCACTCTAACAAACTCAATTCGCGTACTAGGTAATAACCAAGTCTCTTGGCCCGTCTGGGTGGAATGATAACAACGGTGACATAGGCATCTCCTCCGAGGCACATGTTCGCACTTCCTAGAGCCCGCCTCGCCGTCCTGCCACCAGCCAGGCTTGCCGCCCGTGGCTTTAGCCAAACGCACACGGCCAAGACGGTGGTGTCGAACTTTGCGCAGCAAGGCAAGAAGGTGTGCTGTCATCGACACGCCTGAGGATCGCCGCTAAGTCTACCAGATAGTCGCGATCGGCCGAAACTATTCGGCGCACATCAGGGAGCTCAGCAATGAGGCACCGGAAGAGCCCATGTTCTTCCTGAAGCCGACAACGAGCTACCTACAGTCCGGCGGCAACGTGGAGATCCCGCAGGGCGTCACCGCCCACTATGAAGGTAGATGCGACTCATTAGTTCGACGACGGCGCGTTGACACAAGGTACAACTTAGTGGAACTTGGTGTAGTCATTGGCAAGACTGGTCGCGATATTCCTCAGGATGAAGCAGAGTACCATATCGCGGGATACGGTAAGTCAAAGGACTATTCTGATATTGTTTCATTGGCCTACGGACCATGCTGTGTGCACTGCTTCGAGGGTCCATTGCATTCATGGGCAGCTATCGTCTTTTATAGCATCACGCGACAGCTTGATACAGCTCGGATAACCACCTAGGTATTCCCGCCCCTTTCGACCCGTGGTAGTGTTACACCGGGCTCCCCCTTGGTCGACGTCTTCGCTACTGCTTACAGCTAACTTCGTAAAACCCACCTTGGGGTTTCGCGGGTCGGCAGCCTCGGCGCTTGCTTTATAAACACGATCTTGACGACAGTGTTTATATGCCGATTTGACGCATTACCTCCGGACGCCCTCACGTTCCAGACGACCGGAGAGGGCAATTTCCCCCGAAATTATGTCTCATGGGCCATGATGGTCAGGCATACATCATGGATGATGTATTAAAATGCAAAGCCGGTGGCTCGCCGATTCATTTCATACCGCTCTGCATCGATCACATCGGAAGGGCGACCATCACTGGCGGGTCAATTCAAAATGTCTTCACTATAACTACAGTTCGAACCGTGTATATTTCAATTTAGATACGACGTATTGATATTTCCTCACGCACTGACCCCACTGTTTTTTCCAACAGCTCTCGCCGTCGACATGACCGCGCGAAATATGCAAGACGTTGTCAAAAGGAAGGGACATCCGTGGAGCGCCGTCAAGGGCTTCGACACATTCACACCCATCAGGTACAGACCCGCCTTCTTGCCCCTGCCACCCTCGGTCTCTCACTATCGGCCAGCGCCTTCATCCCCAAAGTCGCCGTGTCTGATCCGAACAGGCTGACCCTCACGCTCAAGGCAAGTCCGCAGCTGCGTCGGATCCGCGGGCGTGTCTGATGAATGCTGACACGGACATAAATCCCTGGACCTGAACGCGGACGTGCGCAGGTGAACGGCGTCACGCAGCAGGAGGACAGTACGGCCCATATGATGTTCAAGATCCCGCGGATGATTGAGCACATCTCGTCGATCATGACCCTGGAGGTGCGTGCGGCGCCTCTCGCCTCTGTGTGCCGTGTTGGTTGCGGGGCGCTGATCTGGGCGGCAGGAGGGCGACCTGGTCCTGACGGGGACGCCGCCTGGCGTCGGCCCGCTGGTCCCTGGCGACAAGGTGGAGTGCACGCTGACTGACCGCGACCGACGGGAGTTGGCGGCGCTCAGCTTTGGCGCGGTGCAGCGGCAGGGTGGGTACAAGTTTGCTCCGTGAGGGTGATTGTGGGTGCGGTGCGAGGCAGGTCGGGGGTGCTCGTGTGGAGTGCATGTCTCTGTATAGATTGGCGTGCTGATGGGCTGTTGAGAATGTTAATGGTCGTCTCGATCACATCGCATCATCCACTGGTACGTTGGTGCGTTGTCTAGCCGTGTGTTCCGAGGAGCTGTGTCAGAATACGCCTGGACCATTGCTATCTACGAGTCGCGGGAATGATGGGTACTGGGCGGATATTCACCTTTTGTCAAGGAATATAATTGATCATCGGTGGTATGTGCCTGCTCGTGCGTCGTCCGAGCAGCCTTTAAACTTTTCTGGCTCAATGAAATAATTGGTAGTCTTCGAACCAAGAATGCAATAAACGACACCCGTCTTTTGTACGTACTCCGGTTTACCTGGATGGAAAGCCCTCTCGTGCAACATAACATCTTGAGGCATCTGGGCCTGGCTATTGCCCCTTGCCCATTTTTTTCCTTTCGGGCGTAGTAGCCAACAAGACTGCGCGACTAGCAGTTTTATTTCATTTGATAGCAGCTCGTCCCGACGATATCGGCACTTGCTGCTCTGCAGACGGCATACTTATCCGCTGATACTACGGCGAAAGTGACTGATCCGCTCGTGTACGGCAACGTCTGAGATCTGATGCTGGCAGCTGCACGGACATCAACGACTGATGCGACGAGGCCAGTACTTGCATGCCGAAGGCTGAAGCCCCAGAGGAGTCGCCGGAGAGACGAATACAGGACCTTCCATAAGAGGCAGGCGGGGCGAGCAGGGTCATCTGACTCTGGGATGACTCGAGACAGACACCAGCAGCTATATCCACCGCCAGCCTTCTGCACCTCTTCCCTGCAAATTCCCCCCCGCTGCTCCCTCCCTCGTCGTCGTCGACGCCATGTCTCTCACTCATTCGACAATGCGCGTGTCTGCGGCCTCGCGGACTTCTTCGCCCATCACGCTCGTGCGCGCCCGCTCGACGGTAGCCAGCTCGGGCTCGTCCATGCTCGAGGCAAGGTCCAGGGTGCGGGAACATGCGCGGAATATCAGCAGGTCGTCTGCGCGGAATGCCACCACGACGGAGCATGTGTACGCATTCCCCGCTAGATACGCGTGCAGTACCAGAGCCCGCTGACATCTATGCAGGCGGCCAGAGCCTGCTCCTGGCTTCCAGCAGCTACCCCCCAAAATCAACGTTCCTTCCCCCTCGCCAGCCTTCGGTCCTAATGCAATCGGACCCCTCGATCATTCGTTTGTCGGCATGTCTGGCGGGCAGATCTTCCACGAGATGATGGTCCGACACGGCGTGAAGCACATCTTCGGGTACCCAGGGGGCGCCATCCTTCCTGTCTTCGATGCCATCTACAACTCGCCGCAGTTTGACTTCATCCTTCCGAGACATGAGCAGGGCGCCGGACACATGGCGGAGGGCTACGCGCGTGTCACCGGCAAGCCTGGTGTGGTCCTCGTCACCTCCGGCCCCGGTGCGACGAACGTCGTCACGCCCATGCAGGATGCCCTGAGCGACGGGATCCCGCTTGTCGTGTTCTGCGGACAGGTAGCGACGTCCGCCATTGGCTCGGACGCATTCCAGGAGGCCGACATGGTGGGCATCTCGCGGGCCTGCACCAAGTGGAACGTCATGGTCAAGGACGTCGCCGAGCTCCCTCGGAGGATCAACGAGGCGTTCAAGATCGCCACCTCGGGTCGACCAGGACCCGTCCTCGTTGACCTACCGAAGGACATCACAGCCGGCGTCCTGCGCACGCCTTTGCCGTACAAGGCGACAACGCCTGGGCGCCCCCTTGGCCTCCCGACAAACCCCCTGCAGACCTCCGAGCACCAGACGGACATGCTGCAGATCCAGCAAGCCGCGGAGTTGATCAATCAGGCGCAGCGCCCGATCATCTACGCAGGCGCCGGCGTCCTGTCCTCGTCTCTGGGCCCGAAGCTGCTCAAGCAGCTCGCACAGCAAGGGAACATCCCCGTGACGACGACGCTGCAGGGCCTCGGTGCGTTCGACGAGCTCGACGAGAAGAGCTTGCACATGCTCGGCATGCACGGCTCCGCGTACGCGAACCTTGCCATGCAGCAGGCCGATGTCATCATCGCCCTCGGTGCGCGCTTTGACGACCGTGTAACGGGCCGTGTAGACAAGTTCGCGCCTGCTGCACGCGCGGCCGCGGCCGCGGGCAAGGGCGGTATCATTCACTTTGAGATCCAGCCAAAGAACATCAACAAGGTCGTCGAGGCGTCGATCGCGGTGCTCGGCGATGTCACGAACAACATGGCTGCGCTCGTGCCTCTCATCCGTCCCGCACCGCGCACGCAGTGGTTTGAGGACGTCAAACGGTGGAAGGCGCAGTACCCGTTCACATACGAGAAGAGCACGTCTGCGCCTGGCTCGATGTTGAAGCCCCAGGAGGTCATCGAGGAGCTCGACCGCCAGACCGCGCACCGCAAAGAGGAAGTGGTTGTCACGACGGGTGTAGGCCAGCACCAGATGTGGGCCGCGCAGCACTACCGATGGCGGCACCCACGGTCCTTGGTCACTTCCGGAGGTCTCGGCGTAAGTCATTTCGCATGTTGAGAGTCGTTTGTAGTACTCATTTAACGTGCAGACTATGGGCTATGGTCTTCCCTCGGCCATTGGCGCCAAGGTCGGTGCGCCTCATAAAACCGTCGTCGATATCGACGGCGATGCATCATTCAGCATGACGGCTATGGAGCTGCAGACTGCTTCGCAGTTTAACATTGGCGTCAAGGTTCTCGTGCTTAACAACGAGTTCCAGGGCATGGTCCTGCAATGGCAAGGTCTGTTCTCGTAGTCGTTCGGTGCGAGAGATCCCGCAGCTGATCAGACCGTCTGATAGATCTCTTCTACGACGCACGGTACTCCCACACGCGGATGTCGAACCCGGATTTCGTCGCCCTCGCAAAAGCAATGCGCGTACACGCTATCCGCTGCACGAGCGCCGACGAGCTCCCAGAGAAGATGAAGGAGTTCCTCGAGTATGACGAGTCGAGGCCTGTGCTCCTGGAGTGCGTGGTTGAGACAAAGGAGCACGTGTTCCCGATGGTGAGCATCTCCACTACCGCCATCGTGCGCGATCTGACATCTCAACTCCGACAGGTCCCGGCTGGGAAGGCTCTCCACGAGCAGATCCTCCATGCGAGCTTGCGGGACTCGTATGATCCCACTGGGGCTACGAAGAAGGCGTGAAGCTTCCCATCCTCGCGTGCCTCCTACCCACCTCGTGCTACGCTGTGATTGACCTCCGCATTGCATGGGAGTTGAACCTCCCCATTCACGCGCCTATATCTTATCTGCATAGTCCTTTATTATGTCCGCGGCATGATGGCGACGGTCTACGAAGAAGAAAAGTCCCTCTGCGGGACAGCTTATGTATAGTACTTTAGAGTCTGGATCGGTATTTCGCCGCGGCTTTACGCCAGCATGGCGGCCTCATTCTGTGCTTGCGTGAAGTTCGATACGTGTGAGGTAAGATCACAAACGCGTTGGCAGTCGGAGCATGGTCAGTGAGTTATAGTAAGTAGCTACAGTAGAGCAATAGGCACAGGCGCTCCAAGACGCGACAAGGATGAATGAGACATAATTCAGGTATACTATAGTGGTACATGGAGAAATCTATACACGGCACATATGGAGCTCATGCCAGCGAACTGTCGCTGATGGCTTGCAGCATTGCAGTACCAAGCTTGGTCGCGTCCTCGAATCGAGACTCGAAGAACGCGGCGGTCTCCATAAATCGCTTCTGGTATAGCTCGAAGCTGCCGAACGAGATGCACTGGCTCCATCCGCGCGCCGCGATGACGAACTCCAGGTCGTTCGCCCTGTACGTGGTGTCGTACAGCGCGGCGTGGATGGCGTCGTCCAGCCGCTCCTGCGAGCGGAACAGGTACTCCGAGACGCCGAGCAGCATCCGGAAGAGCGGCGTCGCGGCGAGGTCGAGGTGCACGAACGGCTGGATGCCGAGGCGCGCCCAGCAGTCGACCATCGCGAGCAGGGAGAGGTGCGAGTTCGCCATGTGCCTGCGCGGCGACGAGCCGCCGTTGGTGGAGACGGACGGGCGGCGGCCGAGGCTGAAGCGGTCGAGGACGTCCTCGGAGAGGAGGATGGGTGCGCGCGCGGCGACGGGGCCGTCCTCGCTCTTCCCGCCGAACACGCGGTCGCGCGCCTCGTAGATGCGCTGGCGCATCGCGGCGTCGTTGCCGGCGAGCATGAGCTTGAAGATCTCGCTCGCGGAGCGCGCGTACTGGTCGATCTGGATGCGCGCGGAGGGGTTGAGGATCGCGAGCCCGGCGTAGACGTGCCACTTGTTCGAGTAGATGCGCAGCATGATGTTCACCTTGACGGTCTCGATGCCGCCGACGTAGTGCCCGGTCTCCCAAGGGTACTCGAGCTCATTCGCCCACGCGGTGCCCATGCTGGGAAGAGTGAGGAGTGAGAAAAGGGCTTGGTGTGAGCGACAGGCGTTCTCACCTGAGGAAGGCAGCGTGGGTGACTGCCTGTGTGTTTGCGGTTACGATGTCATGCTCCTCGAAGGATAGGTAGACGTAGCGTGACTTGAGGGGTCGTAGAATGTTTTCGACGAGGCGGAGGGACTCGTCTGTTGCGCGATGTTTAATGAGCACCTGAAACTCCAATATCAAATAAGGCAAGGGTAGCAAGCATCAGAGGCTAATTACTAGAGGTTGACCAACTGGTGAGACAGTCGGTCCGTGGAGCGAATGACAGGACAGAATTTCCACGTCTGGGGGCAGGTATTTTTCAAATGCGGCCTTCTCCGGAGCTTTTACCGATGTTTGCCCTGAGACTATGGCGCCAACCCTTGTGGCTGTGGGCAAAGTGTAAGAATTGGGGACGGATGAGGGGTATCATCGACTTACAGGGTCCGTATGTCGCGACAACTGAGTCAATGTACTCCGCTTCAACCGAGTACATTATAAAATCAGATATCCGCGACACGAGGTGACCATCGCGCAGGACTGTGACGTTGGGATGCCCTAGGTGGGATCCAATATGAGAAACGTTCTGTACATTGTCCCACCGTAAATGATAACATACCCTCGTACGTCGCTTTTAGGCTCTCGTATTTACTTGGCTGGTCACAGACGTAGATTCTAGACGGGGCGAGCGTGTGAGCACATCAGTCAATTTGGGTGATGCAGACACACTTGCCTTTTCCATCCGCCCGCCTCAAGGTGCTTCACATACAATGTGCCCATAGAGCCCATGCCGATTACGCCAAGGGCGGGCTGCTCTTCAATGGGCGAGTCTGGGGTAACATCAGGGTGGATCATGGCAGTAGTAGCGTCTGAAAATTCTGCAGCAGGTCAGTGGCCGACGCATACTAAAGTACCCTTCGAGGGCGACTCGGACAAGAAGCTCACCTCGGACACAGGACCCTAAGTAGGTAAGCGGTGCGTGTGCGCGATTTTGCGAGCACAACGTAACTATCTAGACGCGCTATCACGCCGCAATGTATTTGCAAAGAACGCGGCTCCAAGGGTGCAGCGCTGAGCGGGAAGGGGCACAGTTGAATGTCCTCGGGCGCACCGAATGCGAGTCAAGCGGATTTATACTATCTATGGCACCGAGTGCGATCGCGATCTCTGATGGCTACCAATGAGTATTATGATCTCTGAGATTCTCCCAGGCAGAAGCGGTTCTCTCGGAATCGCCTCACGATGGAGGGAACGAGCACAGGCCATGACTTCCCGCCCAAGTGGCACACGGCGACGAAGGGTGCTCAGCCCAATCGTAGCGGGAGCGCAGGTCGCACGTCAGCCGTGCGCTTTCAGACAGTCATGGGAGAGCGGCAGCGGTGTGGCAGGCGTTACTTCATCCTTCGATCTGCGCGGCTACTCCGCATTCTCAAGGGGAGCAGAGCCTCAGCCCGGTGATACTTATCAAATAAGTGTCAGGAAGCAGGCATCGGTGAGATGATTCATAAAGCTACTGCCTAATACAGAAAGAGTATGTTCAGCGGCTCCGTTGTCCGTCGGGACCATCTAGTGATCGAATCATGGAGATACGAGCTTAATTATATGATATAGATGATGGTGCACAGCAAGACAGTGGTACGTTACAGAGGCGTGATTAAGATAGCATAACACAGCACATGTGATACGTCCATGAAACATAGCTTGCATCCCTCGTCAACAGGAGAGCCGGGTATTGCAGAGCTCATTTTAATTAGCGTGTATCTTATGTCGCCAATGCCTGGTTGGCGCATGTGAAGGGACCTGGGAAGGTTCCTGCACGGTAACCTGCGAGAGAATATCAGAATCAGAAGGATTGCAGTTCCCCTTGGGTACGAGACTAGTTTACCTTCCACGATGCTGTCTATGCTAGAGTACAGTCCTGCGACCATGATGAAAGCACCCATCTGAAAATTTCATCATCAGTAAACGGGCAGGAAGAATAATTCTAGGGTTAGGATCTGTAGCGCCCGAGTCTCACCAGGATGATGCCGGACCAGAAAATGGTCTTTAGCTTCTGTCGTCTTGTCGTCCATCTTTCTGAGCGTGGCGTCAAATGAAACCAGAATATTCCCTATTCCCACGTTAATTGCCACACCAACCCTACATAGGCGCCGAACGTACCGAGATTCCATACGTGAACCAGCTGGCGGACAAATGAGCATGGCGATCGTTATCATGACGTAGTTGGTCCCACTTACCTAGCGAAAAGGGCACTAATGACGCCCAAGAGATCATTGAAGAATGGAATACTGCAAGGTGTCATGGGTGAGACGTGGCGTGAATGCAAATTCTGAGCGTACGTACACTTCCGCAATAATGAATGCCATGGTCCAGATCGCGAAGCAAATGCCAATCCACGTCAGCCAGCCCACCCACGAATGCGTCGTCATATGCCGCGACTTAACACCGTTGCGCCGGAATCTGAAGTCGGAAGCGCAGTCAGCATCGCGTCGTCATCTAGATATCAGATATCAAGGACTTGTGTCTTATGCTTACATCCTGATGAACACCTGTGCACGGAACACCGCTTCGAGTTAGCACAGTATGACAGCCCGGTCCCTGCTTCAACTCACCAGCTTCGCACAGACATGACCGTTGATTACTCCCGCTATCATGATAGTGGGCAGTGCCATGCCATACGCGATCTTGCGCAGGGTCGTGCCCGTATTCCCCAGAGCAGGGGATACCGTGTTGGGTCCCGCGAACGCGTACACCACGATGCCAACGACAAGGTACAAAGTAGTGTCCGCAACTTGCAGGCAATATAAGGCTTTCGAGAAGTCCTACAACACGACAGGGGTGAGCGCGCAATCCAGCAAATAACCCGATGCTAGCTACTTCGGGTTTGCGCATCTCGGCTATGAAGGTGAAAAAGCCAACGTGCCCTGTCAGACGCATGAGTGTCATCCATACGCAATATTAACTGCAAGCGGCGGAGCTAGCCTACCAGCATAAGCAAAGATCTAGGTGCGTTGCAGTCAGAATTTGTGTCTTGGACATCGTACGGCCACTCACGATGTCCGTCACAGCAAGAAAACCGCTTGCGAAGCTCAGGTTTGCAGTAACAGTGACACCGCCCTGATGTCCCGCGACGCCAACACCGATCATAGTAATGAACACGGCAGCTGGAAATACAAGAGCATTAGTGCTAAGCGCTCGCCCGGAAGCTTGTTCGTCACACACACCGAGAATAGATATGAACGACGCGACACTCAGATACGAAATACCGTCCAACGTCCTTGGTATGGTAAGCACCAAACAGATAATGGCAGATACGCCGGCCCAGAGTACGGAGCACGACGCCCCAGAGGTAACTGACAATACGGCATGAGCGTTGGAGTAATGCATGTCAAAATCGATAGAAGCTTACTTGTGTCGAACGCAATCAATCCGGTCAGGACATGACTTCCACATATGAAGACCATGAAAATGACCTGTGCGGCGCCAAGGACCTCGCGACCGACGGGTCCCCAGAGGATCATGCCCGCATCCGCCATATTGTGTACATGGGGATATCGCAGCTTGAACAGGCCTATCATGTATCCGGTAGCGGTCGCGATTGCTCCTAGGCCCTGATGTCACAGTTAACTAATGATAACAAACCCCTAGAGGAAAGGAACATACGATCACAAGGATACATCCTGCAACCATGCCTAGGGTAGCGAAGACGGACGGTATTGACAGGATCTAGTCGATAAAACGTATGCCAATCATGAGACAGGCGAAGCGGAAGACATACGAGTACTTACACCCAACGACACCGTTTCGGCAAGCATCAGTGCTGCGGCTTTCCACCACACCATCGTGCGGTACTTGACTGCGAGTTGACGACACGATCAGCACTGACGGTGGCACGATGGAGAGACCAAATACTCACTGTCTGCCGTTTCCTCATTGCCATACACATCGAACTCGTTCTGCGTCACGCCCGCGGCTGGTTCCTTCTTGGCCGCTTTTTCCAAAGCATTGCTGTCCACGGAGGAGTCGAGCGAACCACGCTGTTCGCCCGCAGGCAGGGGCTGCGAAGTGGGTGCCATATGTTCGAGGTGATCGCCAACCGGTTGACTTTTCACTTGGACCTCGTTGCAATTCAGTCCGGGTCACACAAGTCGGGAGGGCGTAGGGTGGATGTGGTCGCAGCGCACAAGGCCTATATCGTAGCCATTTTCGACGCTCTGTAATAGGAGCGTTGAATCCCCAGAATGAGATCACCCGGGGCAGTGCTCCCCGCACCGCACAAACGATAGCCGAGACGTTCGTTACTCCACTCACCCGTGGAGAACCGAAGCCCAAGCCCATCCACGTGACCGCGCACCACGACGCAAAACGCCCGCTTAAAATTTGCGGGCGGTGCTTGACGGTTTTGCCCGCACTCGCGAAGTGTCCGCCAAGCACACTACTGGCTCACTCAGCAGAGAATTTTCGCCACCGACCCGACTTCGACGCAGCGACTGGACATCGAGGGAAGAAGAAACGACCGAGAGCAGATCCAGAGCGTGACGGGTGTTTCAGAGGACTCACCTCCTGAGGCCGCTGGGCTCGATCGCGACTGATCAAGACCGCGGAGCCTAAGCATACCGATCGCGGCTAATCGGAGATTGCATAATTGAAAGCATTCGTACATGTGATATTGTCATACCATGGGACAGTCCGTTACTGTACATCGTCTTCCTGAAGCTTGGAGGTGTCAGTCTTCATATCTCGTGCCATTCTCGCTCATGCACCACCAGATTCGAGCGCATGGTGGATATAATCCCTCCGGCTCATCCCCGGCGTCCCGCAAGAGAAGGGCGACGACACCATGTGCAGGAACGCCACGCGCAGTGAAATTCCGAATGGCGGTTCCGTTGTCCGTATGCGTCCACAGGTCCTGCGGTAAAGAGCCTTAAAATTGCACCCAACTGATCCGGCGGGTGACTCACGCGGACCGAATACTGCCGACCCGCTCTAATCCATGGGGATTCTGTTAGGTTGAAGAACATATCGGCCGGTTCGTCCAATGTATTCAGCTGCAATTATTTGCAGGCTGATGAGCAGGTAGTCGACCAAGGATATGGAACTCTTACGAGCATGAAGACCGTCCCGTTCTCGCTCTCGCCACTCCAGTATTGCGCTGGGTGCGTCGAGTTACTCGTCCAGTCGGGCTTGAATGCGGGTTAATCATGTAACCACAGCTTATGCGACTAGAATACCCACATTGATTCCCCACCTAAATGGACTGATACTCGTACCGACCACTGGGTCTTGGTTTATTGCAATCATCTCCGTGTTAGTCAGTATTTCCAAAGTCTCATCGGTGATCGTTGGAAGCTGGACAGAGTTATCAGTATAGACCAAGCCATGCGGAAGTAGAAACTGACATCTGTGCTGATGAGGAGTGGTGATTTGAGAAGAGCCCACGCAATGAAATGAGACTTGGCTTCCTCATATGTGAGTTCCCCGTTGCCGCTGCACAATGAAAAGTGAGATCTTGATGTCAGTGTAAGACGACGCTTGATTAGCCCCTACACTTCCAGCTACACATAGCGCACGGACATGAAATTCAAACACTAGTACGGTGAGTAGCAGAAAACGTACGATATCCAGGTCGTTGTGGCCGTAGAAATCAGACGCCCAAGTGATGAATGAGTTTCTAGCGCATGTCAGGACGAGGAGGAATAGCTAGATAGGGATTCATACTGGTTGAGAATATCCATTACAGATTTCCAGTTTGCCCCTACATCGGGCTGTTATTATCCATAGTGGGGAGCATACGGGAGAGGCGCACCAATGTCACCCGTCGTCTGCGATACCGTCGTATATGAATCCAGTGTAATCACGCGCAAACATAGCGTCACTTACGCGCCAGCTCTGACCAAACTTCCTTGCCCACAACCATGGTTGCTCCTTTATTCACAGGACAATAAGGCGATTATGGTACACCATTACTGAAGACTCACCTCTCCCCATTCACACAGAGAAAACACAAGGGGCGGTTTGCCAGATGTTTTGGCGAGTTCCTCGATAGCATCGGTCATGCGCTTGTACTCTGGGAGCAATGTAAGGTGTGGAGTGTATGTAGAAGATGCCAGTTGTACCGACTTCCTATGATGCCTTCTCGGAGCAATTCATCGAAGGGGACTACTCTGGACTGAGCTGACCATATGCTGAGGGCGTCAGAAAACATACCTGCACAGTTGTCATACCTTGCGGAGCGATCAGGACACACATCGACACGACAGTATCATGGCTAATGACATACTTGAGAAGATCGAAACCCCATTCTACTTGGAAGAGCTTGGCATCTCTAAATACCGGTAAGTACACATCTCAGGAGCATAGAACGATCGTTTAGTGACCTCGCCTCATTTTGGAACGAACCAGGATAGAGTTGGCAAGTGAACCATCCCGAATCACTATACTGAAGATTCCCTTTAAGAAGATGATACAGGTACTATGCACAAGCACTCACTATGCCTGCTTTGCTAAATCCGTGTCCTGATTACACAACTTTGACGAGAATTTAACTGCGGGAACTTACAAGCCCATGTCGTGGATCTGGTCTGTCAGATCCTTCATTCCAGAGGGGAAGCGGACGCGATCTAAGACCGATGTCACGGTAAGAGGAAATAAGCGCACGAGAACAAGCACACCTGCGACGATGTCACCAGACTCGCTCCTGTTCTTCTCAGAGTAACAGTCGTCGATATTGACATAGTTATACCCAGCGCCCTAATGAAAATAGCCTCGAACTCTAGTGGATGCTTACAAAACGCCATCACGCACTAGGAGACCCAGGCTCTTCATCAATTCGGCCGTCTTGAGAATCCTGGCTTCATCTATGTCGCACTACAACATTAATATAAGACTCGTCAATGCTGTGCGCTGCAGAACTCGTCATACGTAGTATGCGTTCCATGCTATATGAGGATGACACGCGTCCTAAGTGTAATTTATGGCAGAGATATGCAGCCTTACTGTTGTACCCCATTACTGGTATACGTGCAGTGAGCTTTGTCAAGCGACGAAAAGCATCAACAGACTATATGCATATGAAATGCACACCTGGCAACCGACCGACACGTTCAACGACCTGAGCTATTTTCGTGTTCTCAGAGGTACCAATTCGATGTTCCTTGTACGAGACCGCGGCTGCCATTCCCAACATGAAGGCCACGGCGATTGCGACGAGATGGGCGCCAGTATAGCCACCTGAGACATAGCTGAATAACTGCGCCGTTGGCAGGACGGTCAACTCTACCATATAGCTTCTCCTTGACAATGCTATGAGCAGATTGCTTCGCGTCGTACCTATATGGACCTGGAGTATCGCTCTTCGAGAGAGATGGCATCATTTCGTAGCGGTCCTTGCCTCTGCCACCTGGTGTGATATCCATGAAATAACGGTTCAACGCAGCACAGCAGACGTTTTATGTTCAGAGAGTAGACCCTGCTGCTCACAAGCCGACAGTAGCAAGGCAATGGCCAGGGGTTGCCGTATGTGAGTCGAAGAGCAGGTAGGTACTGCATTAGAGGTGGGTAACCACCATCGTGAGAACAATCACACCGTGGGATGCATATGAGTTGCTGCGCTATTTCGTTCTGCGTCGGCGCAAAACCATATTCAACAAGCCTCATGCCTTGGTCGCAGTGTCTACCGTTTACATGGTGCATTGCGGAAGGGTCATGGTGGGGTCAAGGAGCTCAAAATAGTAATTCCTCGTTCAGTTCTCCGTGTCCATCCCATGATGACCACCGATATCTGTTGTAATTCAACGGCTGAGCTCTGCGCTTGACAGATTCCCGGCATAGAATGTCTCCTGCTGATGCATTGTACATGGGCATGTACTTTACCGGGCTCATGGAAACGGTGAGTAGGGTAAGCAATGTAAGCGAGAGGAGCATGTACGGAGGGTTCGTACCGTTGTGGGTTCCCTCTACGGTCCCGGATGACACATCCGACCGTCTGGATGAGAGAAGTATCTATGTTACGTCCTGAAACATGCTCATGCTCGACGGTGTCGCCTAGCGGATATTCAATTGAATTGCGGAGCAGAGTACTTACTAGCTCGTTGAATTTGATAGAGGGATCGGTCTGATGGACGAGTATGATCCTATCTCGCTCGCATCTTCTGTATCTCCCACTGAATCTGACTGATCAGGTCCAGAACGCGGGGTTAACGGGCCTGCGCCAGCAGGGGCCTCCGTCGAGGCTCAGGAAATCGAACACGAGACCTTACTTTACTGTTATCTCGGCTAATGTAACGCGTTTACAGGTCACCAACGATCAACTCGCGAGGTGATGTCGAAATCAATCCACCTCGCCATTGGATATCTGAACACTATAGGCGAGCACGTTTTCGACCTCGCGTTCGCGAAATGTTCTGATCTATGCGGAGATCCTCCTACTTGGGCGAAATGTATGACGTTGAGGCATGGTCACAAACCCGCAAGCGACCTCGTGCCCAGGTACATGGAGTTGATATCAGACAAAATCGCAAAAAAAGGAGAATTTTGCATGGCACGAGTTGATGCGGCGAACATGCGTTGAGCGTGTGTACATAGAAAGCGTGTATATGGTTTTCGGTTATCCCATTAGCAACGTGCATTCGTAGAACATATCACCATAGCGATCCCCAGACCCCTCTTGTAGACTCCAGAATACGCATTTCGAACCAAGGGTCAAGGGCTACGAAGTCTAGCGGCATCTTGGGTAGCAGTCGAAAGACACTGCGTCAAGTCTCGCATGGTCCTAGAACGAGGGTGAGGTAACGGTTAGATGGCGGCGTCCGCGTTTCGTCAGTTTGAAACCATGGGACCAGATGGTGCTTTTCGCTTGCGGAAGGTTTACCGTCGCTACTTCTACGCGAAGGTGGATATCATCGAATGGTGAGATGAAGTTCGTAGATAAGCCTCGACGCTCCGGTGAGAAAGTCGGAAGGAAGACACCAACGCTGAAATTAGTACTCTAGGCATTAGTGTGGCGGAGTCTAGACACCACTACATCACCAGCACTCACCACGCGGTCCACCCTGATGCAGAGGTAGGAATAGAACTTGGCGGTGTAGACTGCCACGTAGCACAGCCTTACCGGCATGGGCTTTGAGAAGGGGTTCCTGCGAAGAAAACGTTGTGGTCGCGGTCTCCAAAGCAGTGCGTTGAGACGTCGTGCCGTCCAGGCGTCAGGAAAGAAGAGTCCTCCGCATAACGTACCACGCCGATGACACTCGGAGGCACTAAAGTCAGTACACGTCTAGCATGCATGGGGGGTACCTAGAGACACAGTCATAGGCCACCATGCATCAAAGCTTGTACAGCAGGTCACTGTATCCGTCACATTATGCACAAGCAGTCCTAGTGGTGCCTAGGCGCACACTTACTCGTAAACATGAGCAGTCCACAGAAAATGAAGCCTCAATTGGAAGTCCGCACAACTCGCCGCATACACATAGAGCGTCGGGCGGGTATATGATCACTGCCACTCCTGCGCAGCTATGGCGGTCAAGACAACCATACACAATGGGTGGTGGTAATCGGCCAGGCCTCCTCGTCTCCATGGGTGGAGGTACCCACTCTCAGCAGAATGCAATTGCCACAGCCCGCAGACACGATGAAGCTAGACGACACGCCAGATGTGCCACTCACCATTATTGCCACACTCAGTGAGATATCGTAACGATAGCCGATGGCGGTCCCATGAGCGATCTCGACTAGCACACCTACCCACAGGCAGCAGATTCGAGCTGTCAGACATCACGTCATAGCAGAGTCACTGGCAAGGCGCACCGGTCCGCGGCCGAGACGAGCAGCGCTGACCGGTGACTCGACGCTGAGCACAAACCCGACGATACGTACGATAGAACTGTTCTGCTGCACTCATGAGGACAAAGCAAGATGGGTGGCTGGGAGCGGGTATATGCAGGAGGACCGCTCAACAATAAGAGATCGAGCGATATGGGACCAGATCAAGATCGATGACATGCCGTCCCGCTCATAGCTTGAAGGCCTACCAATGACAACACAGCGGATCAGCGTGTGAGTGAGCCTAGCTTACGTCCGCGAATTTTGAAGCGGCCGGCATCAGGACCGATCGTGGTGATATGCGCATTGAAGGAATACACACCACAGGAGCAGTTGTAAGACAGCGGCGGTAGCGAGGACATCGTCATGTCACAATGTATTCTGCTGACACTCGGAGTACCGGAAGGAACAAGACAGACAAGAAAGAAGTCGTCCACATAGAGTCAAGTTGAACGACCGGACAAGATCCGAGCAGTGGTACGAAGCTTATAGACTACCCCGCCAAGCCGAGTAGATTCCTGTTGACCGCGGTTACAGTCTTGTTTGCCGACGCAGCACAGAGCAGAAAGAGCGTGTATCACATTTTCGAGGCGCGCAGCGGAAGTGGGTGTACGGCAGCTGTGGCGGACAAGCCCGGAAAGGCAGGTGGGCGCCTACCAGCAACGTCTGTGGGTCACACTCAGAGATGAATTTCGCCGAGTTCATGATCGCCTGAGATATGCATCGATATAGCCCAATGGTGCGAGCACGCAGGCAAGACGGAAGTCAGAATATCCACATACTGGAACACGCGGTCCCCAACCCGCTGCCCAGTGCGCGCTGCGAGCTGGGAACACGTCAGAGCGTCCATTTCCCCGCCTTCTCGTCGGAGAACGACCGTAGCGGAGCACATGAGCAAGAGCGGGCTGCTTTGTCGCCGTGCCTTCTACTGGTCGCGAGCTCCACCCACGCCGGACGCTGCTGCTGCGCGTCTTCGCACTGGCGCTAAAGCGCAAGACGGCCGAAGCAGCGGGAAAGGACGGACCTTCGCGGCAGCAGACCATCGCGCACCTACCTGCAGGGCGGCCTTGCGCAGAGCTGCGGCGTTAGATCAATCGAGTGGCGCGGACGAGATAGGAGAACATGAGAGCAGGCTTGAATCGGAGAACCCCACCGAACGCGGCGCCGTGCGGGATTGCGGCAGGGCTACTCCGCGCCGGGCATGCGCCGAACTCGTACACTCCTGTTGATGTAGCGACCCCCTAGTGCGCTGCGCGCAACTTACCGACGGATGCCTGGAAATGAAATGCGACACGGCGTGCGACGCGCGACGCGTCCCCGCCTTGGGTACCGTTGCCATTGGCAGGTCGGCGGGCGATCACTGATCAGGCACGCCGATCGCCCGCTGGGTGGGGATGCGCGGAAGTAAAGGGGACGAGTGCCAGTTGGCTTGCTTTGGTCTCCGCCCCTGTGGCGGCGAGCGTGTGGCGGCGACTGTGCGGACCGGCGTTTGGTACAGGCACCCCAGGCGAGTGGGATATGATGAGTATGCCAAGTGACATGCAGTCTGATAAAGTGTGGGCGCGTGACAGCGGGGTGACTTACTCAGAGTGATGCGTGCCTGGCGGACGAGGGCGTGCAGGGAACACACGGGCGCGTGGGCGCTGTGTGCGAGCATGTGCGCATACGTACGGTCGTCGTGCGCATACGAGTGGGAGTGGGCCCGCAGTCGTGTCCGGCCTGCAACGTCCGCGTGTGCGCGCACCGGAGCCCACGAGGTGGTGGCGTTGGCGCGTGGAACGAGGTCGCACATCCAGACAAAGTCGGCATCTAGCGGTGGGAGTGGACAAGTGGGGGCGGGCGAGCGGAGGCATGCGGGCGGACACTATCCGTGCATTGATCCTATTTGATCGCTGGAATACACGAAGCACACAATGAAGCGCGGGCAGCTCGACGCTCCCACCTGCCCGCCCGAGCGCGGGCACAAGTCCGCCAGACCCCACACCCAGCTGGTTCAATGCAACAGCGATCCGTCGCGCTCCGCAGCGTCCCCGCCTGCTCTCCGACAAGCGTCATCGGGCTTGGTATTGCGATCGGAGGAATACGAGGGGAGGGAAGCGCGAAGCCAGGCCAGGCGCGGAGGCACATCCGCGCCGCAGTCTAGAACTGCTGAGATGCGTCGTAGATTGGGATTTGGGTACCCGTGGCTGGGCCCCGCGCGCTCCCACACGCTATCTTGTGGGGATCTGCTTGAATCGGAAGGTATGCAGACGCCTCGATCGCCCCAGGCGCGTCATGAGGGTTATGTTGGACGAGCGAGGACGTACAGAGGATGGGCGATGATGCACGCACGATGAACTAGACGTGCCGAGCGACGCGTTCAATGAAAGATAAGTGGTCAGTGGGCTGTGCATGCGGGCCGAGGCGAGGGAGGATGGGGCGAGGCGGGGAAAGGCAAGATGGATCTCGTGTTCATCGAGATGCGCATGCGGGCGCAGCCATTGGCTGCGCTATTGTGTGCGCGTCTGTATGCATCCCAGAATGCCCGCCCGAGTCCACGCTTGCGATCGGGCGAATTTGGTTATCGACACGGGTACCAAGATTGAGTACGCTATGTGGTATGCATGTCGCAAAACGGGCCTGCAGCATGAGCCTGATGTAATTCTAGCTCAAGCGGGCGCTCCGGCAACGCAATGAATGACTTCTTTCGGGTAGATGGGTAACTGACTCACAGGATTAACACAGGATATCCAGGGCGCCTGGATGTGGTCACCGCACCGTGGACATGCGTGCAAGGTATGGCTTGTCACGCGCAACGGACGACAGGCCCTTGGATTCGCGTACGTTGCGTACCGGCAGGCGGAAAACAGACGCGTCGATCACTGCCACTAATGGGAGGTCTGCATACCACCGGTACGCAGTCCGAGCATGGTGCGATTAGATTGCGGGGTGGCCAATGGGCCGCCACCATCGATGGGACTTACAAGGAAACCTGTGTACACGGGGAATAGAGCCTGCACAGGAAGAGTGGCGCGTGCAGCGTCAAAGCAAGGATCCATTATTCGGAGGGAAACTGAAGCCGTTATTATCGGGTTCAGGCGTAATAGAAGCTGGACAATCTAAACGCCGGGCAGGGCGTCCAAAAGCTGGACCGTATGGTGCCCAGCTGGGCGATCCATGGTCATCGGCTGCGTCACCTCCGGGAGTATGCAAGCATACTGTAATCAAGGCGTGATATGCCTGATTAACGAGAGTCACAGATCCTTGGGGACTGGGAAGCGTTAAGAACATGGCCGGAGGATTGGTCATGGGCTTCATGAGTCAGATACGGCGCAGAGGCTGGGAGCTGACTGAGACCGATGTGAGCTTGCAAAGACAGACTACAGAAAATGGTTGGGAAGATTGCGGACGTGCATGGAGCGAGCTGGAGGGCTGGACAGTGACGCCACACGAAGTACTTGTTCTGGATACGGAAGGCAGACCAACCGAATCGGGACGAGAAAACCGAATTCGGAGGGCCAAATCGGCCGGTGCGAGGGGAGCGGAGAGGGAGAGCTGCGGGCTCTGATTGGCCGGGAGAGCTGTGCCGGGGGGCGCCGCGTGAGGCACGGGCGCGCGGTGGGGGATGACTCGTCGAGGACGCGCGGTGGGCCATCCGGGGGATCACGGGGTGCCGGTGGCGAGGAGAAGGAGGAAGAGATGGATTAATCTGGGTTGCGAGTGGGGGCAACGAGGCATGCAGCGTGACGGGAGAGGGGGCAGGAAACGGGTGGTGGGTGGTGGGAGGGAGCCGGGGGGTGCCGTGGATATGCCCGGTGGGGAGACGCTGGCAGCGTTGACCCGATTACGCAAGGGGGTGAGCGATCCATTCTGAATCTGTGTGATCTCACCGGAGGGCTGCTGCCAGAATCCCCCGTAGGTATATATCTATCCCCGCCACGCCATGTTGTCCTCGAGCCACATCTCCTCCCCCGTACTCGTCCCCTCATAGTCCCCGTCCCCGCTCTCGGCCCGTCGTCCCTCACAACGGGATACATCCGCGCATCCCCCCCTGCGACGCCAAAGCGACCTTAGCCGAGCCACTACTAGTTTGTTTTGCCGAGTTTTGTTCGGCACTGGCAACCACTTAAAACCGCTCTCCCCCTCCGACGTGGTTTTCTGGGCTGCCTTCTTCCTCCATGTATGACTATCCTGCCCCGCGCGCCCCCTCCCCGGCGGCGCCGCCTTCGCCTCATAAATCTCATCACGGACCTCACCACAAGCATCACATACATGGACACGGCCACAACCGTTCGCATTCCCCCATTCCTCAGCTTTCGACTCTTTTACCACACAGCCACCATCATTCTCAATATTCTCCTGCTACACGCGCTGCCGACATCTCGCGTCTCCTAGACCCCGCCTACGCCAGCGGCTCTTCCTCCTCGGGTTCGTCGACCATGGCTAGCCCGACCAAACACGGTCAGGCACGCGCTTACGTCGACCGACACGGCGAGCTGCACGATCCCGACTACCGCGACTTCCCTGTCGTCGCGCGCAACGCGTCGCGCAATCGTCGCTTCAGCGCCGGCACGTCGCGTTCGCGTAGCGTCAGCCGGCACGGTGAACGCTACTCTTCGTACTCCATGACGCGTCCAGAGTGGGAGCGTGACTGGTCGACAGAAGTCGAGGACTACGATGAGGTCGATGAAGAGGACGACGAGTCTGAATCGCAGTCGCATTACTCCCCCTTTGCGTCGCGCGTCGCGACAACGCGCCGCAGCGCGACTATCCACACGACTCACACGTACCCCGCATACACGTCGTACTCGCGGTACGTGGGCGAGCCGCAGCCGATCGCATCGTCTCCCACAGGGTCGTTAGAGGACGACCAGCAAATACACGAATCGACGTTCCAGGAGTCGCCCTTCCTCGCCGACGAATATGATCCGTTCCCTCAGGATCAGAAGAAAAAGTCGCGTCGAAGCAGCGGCCACAGCGGCATTCTGAGACGGGCATCGAAGAAGGCAGCGGAGATCGCGCTCGAGTCGCCTGTGGAGGTTGCGATGGAGAAGGACGATGCTGAGCTGTCGCTACAGCAGCAATTTACACTTGATCGCGAACGAATGGACGACGTGTGCGTTTTCACCTTTTTTTCTATCTGCCGACTGGTATTTACTCATTCTTTCTCGCAGACCTTCATGTACGGACGCGCTACGGCAACATTGGGCAGCGACCGTCCTCCGCGTGCGATTTGGTCTCTTCCACGCAAAGCGGAGATTAAGCAGGCGTCGGCGGTCGTCACCGACCTGAGCGGCGCACCCTATAGACTTTTTGGCTCTTGGATTGTCAGACATGGCTATCGCGTTTTCGGCACATTTGCCTCATCCACCGCCATTCTTCAGCGCTACCTCTCAACACAAGATCAGTCAGCGCATGTCGGTATGGAGTCGGGCTGCAGCCGTTCGTAGCGCCGCCGGGAACGCGAAGTACCCGAGCCCTTTCTCGCATCCATTCCGATTTTCACGCGTCCGCTCAAGTGCATGCAAGCATCGATCATCTACATCCATCCATCCATTCACCCACCCACCTACCCACGGCATATATGCATCGTATTCCATCCACGGTTCCCTTTCTCTTCGCTTTCTCTTCTTCATTCATCTTCACTTGGTTATCGGTAAAATCGCGGCACCCTTCATCTCTTCCGACACATTCTCATCTAACGCAATCCCGAGGATCGCCGACCATGCAATGGCTAGCATCGCATTGGCTGCGGTGCGAGACACCTGTGCACACGTCGAGACTCCGCTTCGCAGAGACATTTATAGGTTATTCATATTGTTCTGGCTATCCTCGGAGTCTGGCATATGTTTTTCCCCTTCAGCATTTTTTCACCTTCCTGTCCACACGATATTTTTTACGAGCCGCCTCTCGGGGAGGTGGCAGCGCCGATACGAGGCCTCGCCAGGGAGGTGGCGAAGAAGTTTCACGGTACGGTTCATGCGTAACATGACCAAGAAGTATCACGAGTAGTGTAACAGTGTTTTGTTAGCAGTAGGAGCAGTTATGAAAGTGATGACAAACAATTAGAATTCGGTGGTGTGAGCGCTGCACGCACTGAGAACATGAATATTCTCGCTGGTGCGACAATGTTTTCTACGCTGACTCACGACGTGGCGTCAGCAGGAGACGGGATCGCGCGGGGCGCGGTCACGTGTGCCGTGAATGGCGCATGTCGGGATTGACCGGAGCACGGACCGGATGAACGCCGGTGCGAGGACCCGACGCTCTCCTCCCGCCTCTCCGCCGTCCCTTGTCTTGCTCCGTCCTCCTTGCCCCAGTCCTTATTGCCAGTCTTGGAGATAACAAGCTCAGTGTACCCGCCCCTTCACCACCGCAGCACCATGTTCTCCTCAGAAAGCCAGGAAGGAGCTAATTCGACACAGGAGCCACCGTCATGCTTGACATTATCCTCATGAAGCCTGCGATCTGTCCTGAGCAATAGCCCGAGCTGCGCGCCAGCTCGGAGGGGTTATCGACGTCCCACGACTACACCCCGTCGTGTCTGGTGATACGAAGGTCCGCGCCGCATGCGGTGGGACGTACCCAAGATGGTGCCTGGCTGACTATACTGCTCTCAGAACGCGTCAGTTGCTGTACACGTCTGCGCAATGCGACGCCATGAGCCCGTCGCCGTAGGATCCGCGCGTACGGCCGTGTGTTTACGCAGGCTCGTGCTCATATCGGCGAAATGAGTGCGTGTATGCGCGGCGAGCCATTTCGGCGCGACATGCGATACCACCTCTCCGTGTGATATCGGCCGTGAGCTGACGTCAGGCGTCGGTGCCCTGGACCGAGCCTTGCACGCAGAGTCAGAGAGCTTGACGTGACACATCAAGCATATGCATCATCGGCCGCAACGCCTCGCAATACTGACCGTAGAGACGGTCAGTCCAGGCGTAGCTGCGAACGTCTGGTCACGGCCTCAGATACGGATATCGGTCTATCATTGGAGACCGAGATATCCAGGCTCTCCGTGGCACGGCGGCTTTGAGAATGTACGGTATCCAAAATGACTGTTCTTTCTCTCCTGTGCCCATGCGCATACGGGCGATGCCAGGTTTACACGATGTCAGGCTTCTCTCCCTTTTAAAAAGTTAATTGCTCAGCATGTAAGTTCATTTTCTATGACCACGGGCGGCGTGCGTGCGAGACACGGTGGGGAAGACCTCCTAAATTTACGACTTTCGCCGACTGGATATGTAAGCGGCCTCATGCTCTTGTCTGTCGTCTATCATTGACGACGGACATGTACGCAGGCCTAGGCTTTTGATGGTGGTCAAATTCGGCGTGACGCAATGCATACAGGCGCCGTCTATTTGACGTCATCTATAACGCCAGGCAAGACCGTATCATGCACGGCCGACATGGCCCATGGGGCAATATGTGGCCTCTACGCGTAACGAACTCTATACAGATAACGTATTGTGCCCCAACGCACATCGTAAGATATGACTGCATGAGCGGTTTCTGTTCTGTGGCTGACGTCTGCCACATCCCCTAGCCACCGGAATCTAAGATACAATCTCCCGTTGGTGTCGTATGTCGCTAGGCACAAAAAATCTACATCATGAATGCAAACGCCCTCGTATCGCCTTTCCAAATCGAGGTCAACACATCGTCTTCCACCACCGACGAGTCAGTTGCTGAAATTGACTCTGTATGAGCTGGCTTCCCGATGTGAGTTTCATGTTCCAGTCTCACAGATTTGTGTCTAGCATACACCTTGCTGTTGATGTGTCTATTTTTACGCATTAACTTGACTTATATTAGATGTTGTGCTGATATATCAGCGAGATGTGTCACGAAAGCTTGGCTTACGGAGGACTTGTCATATCTCCACCTAGCGGGCCTGAATGATTACTGTTGATCACCCCCTGCATGCATTTGTGTCTTTGCGGTTCGCTGTATTGGGGTTGGCCCAGCCCTTGCGCAGGCTGGAACCGCCGCCTTCGCCACCGATTAAATGGGCCACATTTTCTATTTGCTCTCTGCATATGATCCCCTCGCGGCAGTGTGTTATCTTCGGTATGGTCATCTTTTTACAATACGCTCCAATAACCCGTACTCATCGTATTGCAGATCCACGTCTCTATTATCTTAGCGGACGTGGAGAGCCATCTGTGGCACAGGGGCTTCGAATACAAGTGGCCTTCCGCCCTCAGTCACTTCAAGAGGCCCGTCGGCGAAAGTAAAGCGGGCTCCCTAGCAGCTCAAGCACCTTTTGACGACCTCGCGTGCCAGTACACCCCCTCTTTCTCCTGTACGTTGGCGGCATATTTACTGCGCCTCCTTTGCTACAAGCCCTGGTTACCTTTTCCTCAATGTTCGGCTTCGGCTACTTATTCCCGAGCTCAGTCGATTCCATTGCGCCTGCCGCTGCGCTATCGCTAGGCAATTGCCTTCCATGGCTCTCTTGCGCTTCGTCCCAGTTACAGCGTGTCCACCTCTCATGTTCTCTACGGACTTCGACTAGTGAATACATTTCAATTTCTTTCATCAAAGTAAGCATGTTCGACTAACTCAGTTGGTTGGAGCGTGGTGCTCATACCCATAGGGCGAAACAGGAGGTCCTCGGTTCATGATTGCTTCTTCCAAGCGTAAATGCACTTTCCGCCCCACTGAGGGCATTCTCCCAGGTGTGCATACCGGCATGTTTCTATTCGCTCCTATGATCAGAATGCTTCTTCGCTCCGACGTCAATGCAGTCTCATATCATCCAACGGGCAGTGCGATAGCCAACAGTGCGGAACAATTGGGTGAGCCGAACGAACACGGTGGTGGGCATGACGGCAGATATGTTCACCATCGGCTCGGCTCAGCATCCTACATCCTTTTGGCGCGAACGGACCGCGAGTCTGTATGACCCCTTTAGAATGTTGATATAAGCGTGCTACATTAATTCTAGTAATCTCCGAACGAGTTGTACCAGAAATATATATTGAAAGAACATTACAAATAACCCGTATCTTCTAGCGGACGGGCCAAGAAAGTGAAGCAAGGCCATCACATGTGACAGAACCTCCATATACGATGTCCTTGGTCCATTCATTCGTGGGCGGATCTACAGTGCGTACAGCAATTCGCTGCACGAATGTATATAGCTTGAACACGGTCAGCTGAAGTTGGTCATCCGACGTGATCTTCCATCATGAAACCGATAAGCATTTGAGATGGCATTATGTACACGGAACAATCTATTGTGTCCGAGGGGTATGATCACTCGCAATCACCCAGCTCGTGATATTCCGCTCGCCGTTGGACAGTGCTTCACACTTGGATTCTAGCCTCTAAAGCGTAAGTCACGAGAACGTGGTGTCGCAGTGCGCATGACCTTGGAAGCCTCCGAAAGCTACAATGGGTCGGAGCTAGGTCATGATAGCATCCCAATACTGTTTTGTGTATTAGTTGACGTTGAGTGCGACCGCACCCTACCTTCGACCACGTGAATGCCGGAGAAGGTGCAATCAGGAGCGAGTTGCCAAATGAGCAGGATCTCCTTGGACCAGAACACACGCAGAAATACATACCTATATCCACATGTGCACGTAGGACCTCGCGTCGATACATCATCAGCGGTCAGATAGGCCGAGTCGAAGACACCACTGTATTGATGATAATCCCAACATATGATCACGTACTTCAGGATCCAAGGTCCTCTCAACCTCAATCTCAATGTAGATTCGCTCAGTAAACTACTTGATGCTTAACTGCAAATGACAGCAGTCGACACTTATTCGTCAGCGAATTGCTGGATCATGCGATAGCACGGAGCGTACCTAGTCCGTCATGATTCTCACCAATTCTCACTCGCACTGCAAAATCCCGCCACAAATGGATGAGTAGGACCCAGAACTACTCGACAAGAATCCGTATGTTGGAAAGCAAAGCACGGATGCAGTTGGGGGTGGATCAGCTTGTCGCGAGTGCGATAGAGGGCAAAGTAAGCTTGTTGTCATAATAGAGCGCACGGTTCGGCCACGGACGACCGTTCCTGCGTGCAAGGCATTCGGGACATTCTTGAAACCTCATGCTAGGAATGAGCGATCGCTAAGAGCCCCGGCAGTCGCGTTGTATGCGTATTGGTGGAATTTCGCGTGAGAAGGTCTGGACCTTGCACTTTTGCCGGTGGATGTCGTCAAATTTGAAAAGTCGAAGTCCGGATGGCAGCAGAGGATGATCGCAGATGCGAGAGGGACCATCGTCCGGAAAATGCACGATGGCCAATGCCAGCCAGATTTGCGTTAGGATTGAGCGACGTGTGGCCTGTGTTCTACGGCCGGTTCATTATGGCAAGCCAGATGAGAGCGGGGAGAGAAATAGCGGTTGAAACCTAGTACAAATTAGCGGCAAAGAACGCATTATTGTTTAGGAGGTCGAGAAAAGTGTGCAGAGCCTAGCGCGATACGATTGAACAAGCAGAGGTCGTCTAGTCACCATTGTCCAGTGCCGAGTCCTGACCTGACTGTGGCGATCGCGGAGTTGTAGACGCGCTTGGCTACCAACGACCACCCACCTCGACCCGATCGCCTTGCTCGCGCTCTACAACGTTGGCTGTAGGCAATATTACTCTGCTTCACGTTGAATGCTGTCTTTTTGTCGATTCATCAAACCCACCGGATGTGCAGATCTGCTGCGAGATGGACACAGACGATTTGGCCCTGTCGGCTCAGTAATCGGACGGCACCCTCGGGCTCAGTGGCTTGTGATTGCGACGTCCAGGCAACTGCGCTCCCGGACGCACAAGATACCACCATCCTCTATGCTCGTGAAACAAGGCTCGTCAGTGGCAGTCATACTGAAGGGGGCATGCACCCCATCGTCAGCCTCCTTCCAGATGGTCAACCCTGCGCACTGAGATTTTCCCCATTGTACATCTGGCGACAAAAGAAATATTCAGCATCGAAGCTTTCACGACCGATTCACCACTCCGTGCTTCCGCTGCTTGTGCTCTTCTTTGTGCTCTTCACGCTTCAGCTGCCGAGTCGAAGATTTGCTTCAGTCGGTCCTAGGTGATGCACTCTTCTTGCACACATTGCACGCTGAATTTCTGTGCCCACATCACGACGGATACATCTTACTCTGCCGCGGCATAAAGGTGTGTCTTCTGTTTGCTGCACGCCTATCTTTTTTGCCTTCTTGCCACTGTTCTGTGAGTCATGCCTTGCGTTTCGGTGTATGCATACTGTGCTTCGATCATCGCAATAAGTCTGTCGGGTGCACAGTTTTCATGCTTGAGGTCTTGATCGATGAGCGATTGCTCCCGTCTATTGCTTTTGCGATTTTTATGCACACAACTTCAGAAGAGACATGATGGTTTGAGTGGTGGTTGGACTCACCTTGACGCGCGCTCATTGTCACAGAGAAAGGCTGTGTGACCCGACGTCACGCAGGCGGGCCGACGCGTGAACGATGAGCATTCTACTACCCATGTACTGCGTTTCGCGAGCAAAGGAGGAGAGGGTTTTGGTTTTCATGTACCCCGTCAACTTCTCATTGTTCTGTCATAGCTCACACCGTCAGATGTCAAGAAGTCGAGGGTCGACATACGTTTCATGCGTGATGACTCCGCGTACTCTGACGTTTGAGGGCGATACGGTTCTATATTCTCTGCTCCTTCGCTTTTCGACCCATCATCATGATCGTGAGGTTTGCATGCGTTCCCTCTGCCAGTCTGGGACTGTCGGAGAACACGAGCCCTCGACTACAGGACTTGTGCATAATTGAGGTGCTGCAAGTCTTTTTCTCCGCGCGTACGCGGCATCTCGAGCCTGTCGGCGTAGAGTCATTGTTATATGGACCCTTTGACCATGAAATGTGCGTTTTGGGCTATTCGAGCCGTGAAGTAGACGTGCATCACATGAAATTGGCAATCTCGTGCTCTCACCTTGTTGACTGCATCGTCTGCGCTGGCCTCTTATTGACATCCCGGCATTCTCATTTAGTGCCTCACACAGATCTCTGAACATGGCGCATGGCGCAGGGAAGGTCGCCGAAAGGCCAGTGCGGAATAACAATCACGGAAGCAAACAAAAATCGGGCTGCACGCGGAGGTATTCTCCAGCGTTTGCTCCCCGCCGCGTCAGACGTGGCCACAATAGGGAACGGACCAGTAAATCGTTACGCGACCCTTACGAGACCCATGCTTCTCGCGTATCTGGCCCGTATATGAGGGCCAGTCTCGCTCTTTGACCCTCTGCCCCTCCTTTCTCTCCTTCCACCACACCCTCATTCTTATTTGCTTCGTACACCACCACGTATTCTACGCTCTACACTCATTCTTGAATATATATCCCTTGATGCGTGCCCCCGAGCCGCCATACCCCTCATTTACTCTCGTCATGTGTGCTGCTCTCAACGATACCGCTCGCCTTCCTGCATACAAAGAAGCCCATCGTCGCCGACACCACCCCTACACAAGGCCCCCTCGCCGTCAGACGCCTGACTACCTGATGGTGTGTCGTTCTTCCTGATGAACAGGCCACAGACACGCATTGAGCTAACCACGACTCATAGGACACGATTGATTACCGTGACGTAGACGAACGTGATGCTGTGGGTCTGATGCTTGACTCGCTCGTGAGGTTCAGCGTCTCTCTTACTCGTGGTTTTGCTGATCAGTCCCTTCAGCCCAATGCTCCCCGGGCAGCCAGCGAACCGATGATGAGCACGCAGGACGATGTGATGCACCTGGACGAGGCTTTGCATGGTATCAAGGCTGATGGGGAGGGGCGTCGTAAGTTGTCGACGCTGATCATTGTGCGTGTGCTATGCATGAAGATGGTTGTCGAAGCTCATGTTATATATGTTGTTGCTTCAGGACCTTGCGCTCGCTGTTCGCCGCCGGTGCCAGGAAATGTGTCTTGTCAAAAAGTCATGCACAAACACCGTGGACTTGTTGGACTGAGCCGACGTCGATCGGACGTCTCTAAAATCACCAGGACTGCTGCTTTTACGCGAATTCATCTTGCTTTCCTCCCCCCTGCTCGTTGATATCGCTGGATTTGTACTGATAGAGATTCGTCGAGTCTGTTTTTGCTTTGCAGTTCTTCCATCTGGCATCCGTTTGAGTTATTGTCATCATAATCTTGGAGGAATCCATGAATGTATCATAAGGAAACTTCACTTGCTCATCTCACAGCCAGAATACATTGGCATCATCGTTGCAAAGTTATGGCCGCAATCATAAAGAACGGTGACTCCTTAATTTTTGATCCTGCTTCGTTCTGAATCTTGATGCCTACAATGTTCATTTTATAAAGTTCCTTCCACAGCGACATATGGTCGTCGAAACACTAAACATGCTCTCATGTCATCATCTGCGACTACATGCGCACAAAACCAGAACACGATGCGACACCGTGATACAATCAGCTAAATCGGAAAGATTCCAGTGAGATCGGTCAATCTTTTTGTCGACATTTTGCGGGGCAGGTTCCTAACATAGTATATCGGCCCTAAGGAGGGAGAGAAGGACATTGATTACCTCTCGACATAGTTGTGAGATCAGCAAGGCCTCTACTAGGTAACTTGGGGTACTAACAACTGGACTACACTGAGAACTTTCATAAATCTACTAGACCTGGTGAGCATGTCATTTCTTCGTGTAAGTGCTGGGCTGGATGGCAGGCTGAATCTGCTTGAGAGGTAATCTGGATGTCAATCAGAAACGCCCGTATGCATGACCGAACTCTAACGCCCCCGTCATAGACCACTGATGGCCAGGCACTGCGCGGTGATGGACTCGCCGAGCCTTGACAGCTACAATGTATAAAATCCGTCAAGGCTGGGAGAACGAGGTATTTCCCCTTGTCTCAAGTCTCGTCCATCTCCTTCCTTTCCCGCACCGCTCGTTATACGAACATGCCGGCGCTGCAATCTCAGAAAATTCTCAAGCTACTCATGGCTTTTATTCTCTATGCTCAGTGTAGGTGCTGCCTGTCCACGAACTGTTTTGTGAAGCCGCCTAAAGGAGTAGCTGCGATTATTAGATACTGCTGCAGTCACATCTTTATTTATCCCAGGCTTGGACCCTCAGGCCATCACAGCCGACGAACTCGGAGTCGGCTCTGACGGGCTTACCACCTGGCTTATTGCCCCAGGTCAACCTAGTGGCACTCTGACTACGACTGAATTACCCGGGCCAGGTAAGACATCGACTCACAAAAGGTTCTCGCGTCTTTAAAAGCTAACGGGGACGAACCCATCAGCTACGCTAGTTCTCGGGGCTTCCACGGCAGTGCTCTCGTACGCCAACCCCACCTACAGCTTCACGGCCGTGGCGGCCTGCGGCATCAGCAGCGGCATCGCCGTCTGCGATGAATTTGGCGCGATTGGGGGTCAAATCGGCGTCACCTCGTCGACTGTCGTGACCGAGAGGGTGCAGTCATTTGCAGTCCAAACCGGCGGGCCGAGCATATCCACTGCTAGTGCCACGGTCACGTCTGGCTCTTCCCAGACGTCCGCTTCGGCCACTGCGACTAAATCAGCCAATGGGGCTACTGGTGTGCGATCTGTCTCCGTGGCTGCTGTGCTCGCTATCGTTGCTGTAGTGCACATAATGATGGTGTGATCCAGCATTGACAGTACTAGTCCGCTATTCTGCGTCGTCTTGTTTCCTGCTTGGGCATCATGGCTATTGACATTCTTGATTCAGTAATGTTGTTCCCATGGAAATCTGTGTGCTATGGTCGCGTAAGGCTGTACTTTCTTCGTATTGTCTCCTAAATTGCGTTCATAGTAAGACACTGAGCACTGTCTAGAGATCGTACACCCGACTCGAGATGGTAGTCATTGGCAGCACATCGCTCGTAGTACGTCTGGATCTGTGTCAAACGCTGGCGTGGAATAATACGCCTACATCACACCCCGGTTACGCATCTGCGGCTGTTCAGTCACTTTGTACGCATTAGGGTATGTTCATCCCACTGCGCTCGCTCGCTCAGGGCAGGTCGATTGGATGAATTGCAGAGACCTAGGAACATAATTCTGCACCATGACAGCGCGGGAGAAAGCGGTCTGCTTTCACCGCATCTGAGAGTGTATATGAATGTCTCACCTGCGTAATCATTCCTTGGCACTCCGCTTATGATCTCGCGTAATGAAGGAATTACCCCTTCATTATCCATTAGCGTCCAGTGGTACACTACGACTCGATGACACTGCTTTAGGCGACAACACGCTTGTGAAGTACTACTGCATACAAGGATCGATCTTCTTGGAAGATTGAGTCAAGACTGAATCAGAAGTGATTAGTCTCTATTAATCTTATCAAAATTGAATGAGGGAAGATTAAATGAAATAATTATTAATTGATTACATAATCAACTTGTTTCAATTTTTAATCCATCTTTCTTCCATATTAGGCACCAGAATGTTCATCACTTTTTTTCACTGTCGCGCACGCAACATCACTATCGTTGTACCGACCCAGGCGCATCAGTGCCGGTGAACGCCACAAAACGGATAAATCGAGTCGTGGCCTTTGCATCTGTTGCGAATCATGCGTGTAGAGGAAGATGTCCAGAAAGTGGACACGGTGGGCATTAAACCAAACCAAGATGGCCGCCGGTGCAAATGTGGTCGTCACAACTAGCATCTCCGGACGCATCAGAATAATCAACATGTATCAGTTGATGTGGCGATGGGACATACTCACAACCCGACAGCCTACAAAGGGTGAAATGTCTCAAAACAGGCGATGATTATGCAAATATGGTTCCCGTGAGACATATGATCCCTCATGTCGGTGGATTGGGCCATTGTCCAAATAGTAGCCCAAGGGCAGGACCAGATTACATGCAGTAATGCCCAATGATATAGCTTGGTAAGGACCCTCTTGCAGCGCAGGTCAGCACCTCTCAAGAGAGACACGTGAAGACAGTCATAGCATACGGGAGATAGCACATGGATCTTCACAGTAACAATACACCACAGACAAAGAACATCAACTGTATACCCAAATAAAATCAAGCAGTACCACAGCGCTCAAGCCACCACCATATGCACGGCGACGGCCCCCACAACAAGGAATGAAGCCAAGGAGAGGGAGCGCACACTGGCCGCACCGCCGGTAGTGGACGAGGGGGGTTTGGCAGATCCTGAACCGGACGCCGACGAGGCAGAACTGGTAACAAAGCCGCTTGATGAGCCGGCATTTGGAGTAGCGGCCGCGGGCGAAGAGCCGGCGTCGATGGATGTAGCAGCGGGGCCGCCCGACGCGGTGCCCGTAGGCAAGGCTGTCTGGGTGACGCCAGGAGTGACTGATGCTCCAGGTGTGCCGCCGGTCTGCACTGCGAATGGCTGGACTGACTCGATCTCGGTCTGCGTTACCGTGGTGGCAGACACGCCATCCTGTGCAGCAACTCCAACGACGTCGACGCAGACGGCTTCTCCGTTCTGGATATTGCAGTTCTCTATTAACGACATGCCCACGGTGGGGTCAATGTACGTGAGCGCAGCAGTGGTAGGACCGAGAACCAGGGTGGCTGGGGAAGATAATTAGTATCGTCCATGCTGAACGGATTCCCTTGACAATGAGCATACCTGGGCCGAAGAAACCACTGTCATCCAGAGTACCGCTGGAGACTCCGGGAGCAATTAACCAAGTGGTGAGACCGTCGGAGCCAACGCCAAGCTCATTGGCAGTCACGGGTTGAGGATCGAAGCCAGGAATATATAGCGATGTAATCGCAGCAGCATCTGTACAGTCCATTAGCGAAATGAACGGCGAAAGACAGGGGCACGCACATTGAGTACAGAGAACGGAAGGCACGAGGAACTTGACGAATTTCTTGGAGGTGAATGCGGACATGATTTTGTAATGACTGGATTGGAGAACGAGCGAGAGCGATTGAGCAGGACGAGGGAAGGTCACAAAGCAAAGCGCGAACAAGCTTACTCTTCAAGGCCGCACAGCTTTTATGGTTACCCTCGGTGCCTGGGCTCGGGCCTAGCCATCAGACGATCGCCCGTCCGACGCGGAGACGTCAAACAATCCGGCCCCGCCTTGCCAAGCACAACGCGGTCTCGAGTCATTGTACACAGAAGAGTCCGTCGGTTCCCATGCAGAATTGATAGACCTCGTGCGTGAACGAGGTGGAAAATCCTATGAACCCAACAGCGCAACTTGGCGCAAATCATGAAACCGCCGGGATTGAAAATCACAGCGGAGTCGATGCTAGTCGATGACCGTCTATCTGACGCGAACAGTCATACACTACTCCTTCCTAAAATGGATGCGCAACTCCTGTGTTCCACAAGGCTTCAGACGCCCAGTCAGGCCCCATCGCCCAGGCAACACGCCTTGAGACCTCCCATCAAACTTCCTCGATACATACCTGGTGAGTCGTGACAGCAACAATGCGGGGCTCGACGCGCACGTTCACCGGTTCTACTATAACGGGATTACGACTAGCTACGACAACGCTCGGCGAGATTAGAGACCTACAGTAAGCTCGATGACAGAGCAAAAAAGCAAAGGGAAAAGGAAACGATAGAATGTGTATCACGACGCGGGAAACAGTGATAAGTAGTTTTAGGCTAGCCTCCATCGTCACGAGTTGAGCGCGTGCGACTGCACGCGGCCGAATGTGTGCTGGCTCTTGTCATGGACATACTCGCCCGCCCGACCATCGGTGTTCTGGCCAGGACTACCCGGCATCGAAGGAAGCGAAGACGTCCACATGCGCGGCGTAATCAGCCCGCTCCCGCCCGCGCCGTAAACGAAGCCATTGCTCAGGCTCTCCAACGTATTCGAGGATCCTGCCGCCCACGAGTCGGTCTGATGGACAACGCCCGTATGAGAGAACGCAGAGCTACATACCTGGAACGAGGACGTTGTCCCAAAAGTCGGCGCTCAGGATGCTATCCATCGAGAGCATGCTCATGTCCAGCTGGGTCGGGCTGGGGGCCATCGTCGGTGGGAACGTCGATATGTCTGCCACTGGCCCCATTTCGCCGTTCTGGAAGTATCCCGCGAACGGATCAGACGCTGCAGGTGCCGACAGAGATGCCGCCTGCTGGCTGTTCGAATGTGTAATGTCGGGCTCGGATGGAGTCGAAGGCTCTGTCTCCTTGCGCGCCCCGGGAGCAGACTCCTCTTGGTCCTCGTCCTCGGCGCCGCGGATTGTAGGAGCAATGCTATTAGCTTCCGTTCGTGCCGATATAAGTGCGCGCAGGAAAACGCTGTACAGGGCCGGCGTGTGTAGAGGGCTGACAGCAACGCTTTCGAAGACACCTGCAACATCCTTGACGAGGGCTATCGTCTTCTGCTCGTGATCTAGGAACGCCTTGAACTCTGGACGTAGGTGCTGTTGGGACAGACAACGTAAGACCCCAGAGCAGGCTAGATGCGGCGTCGTACACTACCTTCAACAGGCTGAGAACTGCATACGATCCCTGTACGAAAAGGGAGTCCGGCGCGTACTTGAGGTACCCAAGGGGGCCGAACTCGTCGCGGATGATCGTCACGCACTTCACCGCGGACAAATGGCATCGTGTGAAGAAATGTCCAATGTCCACCGGAGAGCGCTGCAGCGCATTCTGCAGCCCGAACGAGTTGATGGTGAGCATGGCGTAGTGGAAGTAAAGCTCGCAGCTGAGCTGGCTGTATTTCCGGAGTACGTCCATCTTCGATGCTGTGCATGAATGTAGTCAGAAAGAAGGATCCGCGCATGTCTGGTCAGAGGCACGCACCGAGGTGGACCTTCCTGATCTTGAGCCACTCGTGCTGCCACGCGAGCAGCTGCGTCTCCATCGTCTTGATGACAAGAAGATAGTCACAGTCCACTTGCAGCCCTGACGAGGTGGTGTTGCCCGAGTAGAGCAGATCAAGACTACGTGTAAGGATACGTTGTAGGTCCTGCAAATGGGTTACATGTCAGATATGGCAGCGCGCGTCAAGGACTACACGTACCACGAGTGCTGCCGTATAAGCGTCGGAGGGCATAGCCACCGGCGATCGGTACCACGACGAAGCATTGCGTACGATAAAGCTATGATCGGCGACGTCAGATCGCTCCGGCAGTCATTTCGTAAAGTCAAACTTACTCCTCCTTGATGGTATAGGGCTTGCCCATCTGGGCGCTGAAGCTTCGATCCAGAATGAAGCACAGAATCCATGTGCGCTCTCGGTTGTGCAGCTCCCGATCACGCGCACGGCCCTCTTCTGAATCGTCGCTCGAGACCTCCGTGCGCCGATGCATATTTAGGTCGATCGCCATCCTGAGAGACACGACAATCATCAGCCTGCGTGGCACCATACGAAATAGTAATCACTTGCCTGATGCCCATTCCGAGCAGCATCCATGTCCGATCCTGCTCGTAACGCTCCACCGGCCCGCAGCCCCAGAGCGTGTTCAGTAAATACGCCTGGACGATCTCAACGGATTTGTAGCCCTTTGCCGGCACGTTGAACGCCAGCTTCTTCGCTACTTCAGTTAATCTCGGGTATAGCTCGGCACGAGCATCATAGAACCTCGCCGCGATCGCACAAACTGGTGCAGCGCAACTCAACGAGAGAACCATAGACAAGGAAAGAGACGCTCACTGGTCGTGAGCAGGAAAGGCGATCGCGAGCAGACTAGCGCTGGGGTGTGATACTCAGCATCCAGCAGGGCACAATGTATCTTATGTATACGCGTATTAGCTCGGTCTTTGTAAGGTATTGTTGTGCTTACATTCATGTGATCAAAATATCTGCAGCATACCAAGGTGCGTTTAGCCAGTGAGGCATGAAAGAGAGGCAAAGACTCACATTTTGAACAGCGCTATCACTTCTTCCGTACTCACGAAGCTCAGCATCTCAGGTTGAATCTGTCGCTCAATATATAATCGTCGTAGAGGCAATATACTCATTGGACCTTCCAACACATGGTGTCAGTCCGTGGACTGCAAATTTGCAGAACCACTCACCTGGCTTAAAGTATAGGTCACTCGCAACACCCATCCTCGACGGCTCCGATGTTCGCGTCAACATGGCCGTAGAAGCCAGATCCGACTTGCCTCCGGCCTGAGCGCGTCGGTTCGCAAGGCTAGCCTCAGCCAGCAGACCCAAGGGGTTGAGCGAATCATCTGGTAATGATGGCAGTTTCGGTGACGCTGGCGGTTGATCTGTATTTCTCCGATGTAGCTGTCTTGGCGAAGGGGTAGGGGATGCTAGGAGGGGGTGCGTCTCGCCAGACGGTGGCGGTTGGCCGGGAGGGGATGGCGATCTCGAAGGCCCATCAGATGGCGGAGCGCCCAGAGAGCGAAAGATGGTATCCAAAGTACGCTCCATTTTTCGCAGAGAGCGAGTGAGAATCTCATGTTTTCTGGGTAATACTTAGGCTCACGAGACCATACCGAGGGACTATGAGACTTACTTTGTAGATCTCTTTCCGCGATTTGATTCCTCAAAAATGCACTCGTGATTCCCCGCTTGACAGCGTTTACATGGTGGACCATTCTCCGCTCCCACACACTTCATCTTGAGCCGTCGACACACTGTACACGCTCTGACAAGCCATAAGTGAAAACAACGCGCGCAATGAAAGAAAGTATCATACCGCGATCCACGCGTGGGTTTTGCTTTCGTGGGCTCGTCCCCTTTCTCTGCCAATACATCCTCATCCACATCCTCATCCTTCCGCGGCTTTTTCTGACCATTACTGAGCTGCGCGCGAGGAGACACTGGTCTCTTCCCGTTTGCGTTCGTGCTGGTGGACGCAGCATACTCTGTTGGTGGTGTTGCCATCGTCTCGGAGCCTTGAGAAGAGGGTGAGGAAAGACTGGTTGGTACAGCCGACGGGGGATTGAGGTGTTGATGCGACTGTTGGGATTGCGGGTATTGGTAGTACTGGGGGGAGTACATAGAGAGGGCAGGGTCCATCTGAATGGAGGAAGAGGATGAAGATGCGATCGGCTGATTCATGTGGGAGTCCCGCGAATGGGAGACGTTGATTGAGTTTGGCGAATAGGAAGTCTGGTTGGACTGGACGTAGTACCCTGGATGCTTGGAACTGGGACCGGACATATCGGACGACAGAGAAACGAGAGAAACACGAGATTCCCAGTCAACTCCAGAATGACGTTCGAAAGTGAATGGAGTGCAAGTTTGCCCAAGGTGGTGTTGCCTGTAACAGTCGGAGACCTGCTTTCAGGATGTCCTCCGGAGACTGCGCAGTATGCAGGGGAAGTTGCCGCGAGCTGGGAGTCCTCCAATCGCGAGAGGAGAGTTTTCGGCCGAGAGGCTACTGCTGTGTGCCCAGCCTTCAGTGATGATCGGGGCGCGTCGCAGCCAAGATTATACGGCAACCGACTATTACCGAGGACTGCTGCGTGTTTAATGGAGGGCGACTGGTCGTTATTCTCACTGGGAAGGGAGAGGTAGCGGGCAGGGAGGGTGAGACGTTGTCCAACTTCAGCTGCGGCCATTGGCGCCCATATCCATCTGACCTAGATCGGGCATCCGAATCTGCACCTTTCCCTCCACGTGGCTGCTCCAGACTCGGATCGGCTTTCAGATCAGAAACGATGTGAAGAAATCTAGAATCTGAAGCAGTACCGCCGGCAAGTGTGCAAGTTCGTACATACATACGGCGAGTCTTCATGCCACTGGCACGATGGAAATATATCCTAGAGGAGAAGCGACCCAGAGAAGTGCGTGCGGGTTCAAGTTCCTTGGTGCGACAACATCGACAACATCATCCATGAATATAGCCATGCACGCGAACATTGTCCACAAGAATGTCCACTTATTGTCACTCAAGTATCAATAGGCTAATTGAACCGCCCCACTGATGCGAAGTGATCATCGTACCATGAATTGCATTGGTAGGCGAGTGCGCCGAAGACTGTGCCCTTAGTAAACATGCGCCCCGGTGTGACAGGCATGCTGGGGCCTCGCCATCTCGGCATAAATAGATCGATGGTGCACATCACGCATACACCACAGAACGGTAATGAGTTGCCAAAAGGTGATCGGTGAAAGTGAAAGGACCGGTCGCCACACAAGGTATCGGGAACCTCGCTAGATTATCAGAGAAGAGATCGTAGGAGGAAAAGCAGCCACGAGGCAGGTATCATATATCTCCTTTATGCCTGAACGAACCTATAATTGTGCTAATGGCAGATTGAATACTTGATTTATGGATCGTACTTGCGGAAAGGCACCATGAGCAAGAAACAAACAGCAGATTAATATACAACGTGAGAATCGATCTTCAATGAAACTCCAGTGATCCTAATGTACAACAGGTCATAGACAGTTATTCGAACGTTGTACAGAAGCAATGGCATCTCTCGGATCATGCTTCATTCTTTCGTCTCCGAACGTGGGCCTTCCACTTAGTCACAGAACGTGATAGCAATATTCACCTAGAAATGTCAAAGATGTGATGAGCGCCACAGTATATTTCAGGACGATGCTTACGTTGGGCTCAGAGCAGCTGACTATCAATCCGTTTGTTGGGTCGGTGAACGCACCAGGACAATCAGCAGATGTACCTGAACCCATATGACGGATCAGTTTGAAGAGTCATGGTCATGGATTTTCCATTCTCACAGTCTTCGCCTGCACCGTCGCAGCCGCCGTAAAATCTGCAGCCATATCCGTCACTTTGCTGCATGATCACATCTACCTGTGTCATGCTTACCCGAAACCACTAGTGACAGAGAACTCGTGGCTAAGCAACCCTAAATTAGCCAGAGTTACGCAGGATGCAGGATGAGCGACTCTTACGGAGAAATAAGAGTGATATCGGCCGCGCTGTTTGAGGCATTCTCCAGCGTCGCCTCTACCGTGGTGCAGCCTTCTCCATCGTTGCCGCAATTGCCTGTAAGACGAAACTTAGCGATGAGAGCCCCCAGCGTGCTTTAATGAGGTGATACGAACCATTCTGGAGGTACCTATCGGGGAGATCAAATCATCAACATATGATGCAAGGAGAGGACCCGATGCGAGACTCACGAGATGAGGCCCAGAAGGGGCCCATCGGATGTGTACGACCCTTCGCCTGAGGAGTAGAGCACGCCGTTCTGACCCCACAAGTACGGCTTATGGAGAATCCGGTTAGCGTATAGGGTATCACGGCCCATCAAATTCGACTGACGGTCCCGTAGCCGCAGCTATGAGCGAATATTTGTCAGATAATTTGCCCATGATTGATCGAAAGCGCGGTGCTGGCGTACTTATTGGTGAAGGAGACGGTGTGCGTCTCCGCCTTGACGTGAACGAGCGCGAGGGCAGCCGCGACAACAGCAATGGTGAGCTTGGCGAACATTGTGCGAGAGTTGGGGAAGGATGTTTCAGAAGTAGGCAGTGTGTGAGTGAGTGCGTCTGAAGTCCTGCAGACTACTGTGCGTTTCTGTATGCTTTTATACCGCAGACTGCACCCCGCCATGGACGGATCCGGTCTGAGACCTCGACGTCATGGTCAAAAGAGGGAGACAGGACCGCATGCATTCGTCTGTCAGTCAAGCTCTAGAGTGTGCGCAGCCGTTGGTCTGGTGTTCAGTCCCAGTGGTATGACCTCGGTCCGAACGTCATTGCACAAAGGATATCCCCTTGAGGGTAGTGCCGGCTGAGGTGACACAACGGCACATCCGGCGAGCACAAGCAGTAAATCAACCAGAGCGTCATGCATTCCAGGCACTTAGTAAAGTGGCGCCAGATGACAGGGCTCGGAAGCCCCGGATGGTCAGGCAAAGGGCTGGTAGATCACACTGGCTGTCAGAATGGTCGAACAGTTTCACATGAAGTATACATACGATTTGAATAATGTGCACCCTTGTGGTACATGAAGTCTGCACGATGGTATGCATGATATGCTCCGCGCGTTCAAGGCTAGGATCATACGAGTTTTGGTACACGCGGTTGGGTACAAGCGGTTGACGAATTCTCAATCATAATTAAACTTCTTGGTTCACCGCCAACCTAAGAAGCCGGGCCGTTTAGAGTCAGGAACTACGAAGCCGAAACTTCGCACCGGCATTTGGGCGCGCAGGGAGTTGACACCACAGACCATGTCTAGCCCAGATTTAAGCATAGAACTGCGTCGACACCGCTCGGCTGACATGTCCGTGGAGCTGTGCTAATGATGGTTATGACAGGTCCTAGCCTTTACTCTGCGTGTGGATGCTCACCAGAGTAGGCCAGACTGTCAGCGAAGTGGGCCTTGGAGCAGCAAAAAAAACCGCCTCAAATGTAGCCTAGCTGCTACGGAACCCGCATCAGTTCCGCTCAGCGGCTCGTGGTGTTAGCAGCCAACATGTTGTGTTACCTATGTGGGAACGTCTAATATTGCCCTTGACACCGGGCCATGACCGATCATGGTCCTTGCCCGTCAAGCCATAAGCCGAGTTCTTCCCTCAAAATGCCATGTTTGTGACATGTGAGCTTTTTGGGAGCATGGGCCTGAGAAGTAAGCAATGTCTTCTAGGGGAACATAAGCTCGTACATTTAGCGCCAAGTTCATGCGGCGCGCGTGTATTTCAGAAAGGCGAAGACAGGACACGCATGTGAGCATGGGTCTAGGATGAGCGGCACGCTTGATGCATCAGAACAGAGGGCCAGAGGCCCAGAGCGGGGTAGCAGGTCTGACAGGTTTTCACATTTGTTCTACCTGTTGACTACAGTTCAAAGGCTACAGTTTGAAGAGAAAGAGAATTAGACATGATGTAACGCAATCATAGGCGGGACTCGCGAAGTAACTAAATGGCCATACGGTTGCTTTCAGGCAGAGAAGACGACTTCCTCCATACTTGAATGTGCAGAAGAACGACGAGAGTGCGGATTCCCACAGTTGTCCCCAGTATGATCGAGCCGTACCTCGGATCTGATTGACAGAATTGTGATTGCCGCTTTTGTCAGCCGCCTGCCGTCCATAGAGATCGGAGTGGCTGGACGCGTCAGGGTCCAGCAACAGAAGGTGAAGCTCTGGACATCCGTCCCCCACTCACAACAACTCTGCTTGCGAGTACGCAAGGACGAGGCATTACGTAGTACGAGATGACTATGAATCACCTCTGAGCCTGAAAGAGTTGCTTGACACATATAGACGGCAATGAGACATCATTATTAAGAGGCGACCTTGCTCAGGTTATCGAACGCGATGACCGGAGACTAACCCCCCATAACAGATATCGTGAACACGATGAGATGCACAATGTGATGTCAGGCGCACGGTCTAGCAGGTTTGTGACACATTGAACTTGCAAAGGAGCGCGAACAGTGACCAGGCAAGTCTGATACCGGACTCGGATAAGCGCACAGGGCCCCATCGTCACAAGGCCCTAGATCATAACGTGGTCTTGAATCTCGTTTGTCACCATATTGATGAAGGTGTAAGTGACCAAAGTCTCGACCTGGACAAGTTGTATCATCATGCGTGTGTAACGCCCGCCTTTGCCTTCTATGTGCGGTCTGCATGTATGTATTCTAGGGACCTCCGATCAACTAAATCCGGCAGGTAACAAGCCAAAGGAGAAAGAAGGAGCAGTCTCGAGAAGCGCCCAATTTGGCAGTCGGTCGTCGAAAAGTCCGATCAGTTATCCAGCTGTACTAGACCCAAACCGATCCAGATGTGAGTATAGCAATAGTATAACCAGGTCTCAAATTTTGAGGATATAGAGGCTCAAGAATACGGGTTTTTAGATCGGAGTCCTTAGGCGCTTGACTCGGGTCCTAACGACACCCCGAGAGCATATTCTGCCGCCACCGAGATGCCGACATGAGCACATAAACGATTGCACGGACCCGGAATCGTGGAGAGTGCGGAAACAAATACCTTGTCTGTCCGTCTGTAGCGGAGCTCTGAATTCAGGCACGTTCATCACAGAGGAGAGGAGTCATCTTCCATGTCAAATACCCTTCAGACAACGTTGGGGAAATGATGATGATACGATGGACAGCATGGCACTAGAGCGGTGAAAATGAGCGTCATACACACATAGTAACTCACAGCGTGAATGGTGGCCTATTGCTGAAACGTTGAAGCTTTTCTCGCGCGCCTTGGATGCAGAGTCAACTGATCAGACGTAGCGGTGCGCAGCTACACACGCCTCATCATTGCTATCTGCCGAGGGTAAATAAGCGCATCGCAGCCGCTGAGCAATCAATCATGGGAGCATCTTCTCAGCGCTATGCTCAATTGCAATGACAAGGACGGAGATATGATCATGTGCAAGGTGGATAATGGCATCAAGAAATGAAGCTGATAGCTGTGCAACGATCTACGGCAGCAGAGGAGGAGTTGAACATAGTAAATTAGAGGTGAGGCATTCGTATGCTTGACCCCGTGATCGATAATCTCACCAAAATATACAGCATCAATCGTTGAAATAATTACGAGAACTGGGAAATGAGATGACATAGTTAGCGCGGCGCTGCTTTCTCCCGAGTCAGCTTTTGACTTAGCGTCTGTCTTCTGCCAAATCAAATCCACTCTCCAAGAGCCTCTAAAAGGGCGACAGAGTGCGTTTCGCCGTTCATGATCCCGGGAAGCGGAAGCTGGTACCGACAAGAGCGCATCTCTGAGGATGGCACGAGGCTAATGAATACCTCCACTGACACCGTGACCCCATGCCAGCCTACTCCAGGTAGTTCATCAACCACATACAGCAGCCATACATACTAGTAGGACCGCTGGTGCTAAGAATACTCAGTGGCACCGTCTCAGAAGGTGATGGCGATTTATTATACGCACTAATGCGCGTTCACGTGGAAATGGTCTTGTTCACACTGGTCAGTACATTTTGAGTACATATTTGAAAGAGCGATGAGTCCCATGTAGGAGGAGGTGGGGTGAGAATCCATGAGAATCCAACACCTGGTGCGCAGTTCCTTATCTCGATCCGCGGTCCAAGCCGGCGCCCATCAGTCTCATGAGATGACGCTGTGGTCCCAGCTGGGCCGGCACCTTGGTCAGCCCATCCGAATAATGACCCCAGCTCTTCAAATCAAGCCCACGACTATATATCGTAAAATAAAAACCACACATGCGCGGATGCAAACTGAATCACAAGAAAGTACAGCGTGCATTGATTGACATAATGTAGTAGAGACTGCAGACTTCCTCACATAATAATGAACCGTGATGTCTACAATAACACGGGGCCCGGTACATGTCATGCTAATGCTCGGAGCGCGATAAATCTGGAATATAACATACACGAGACAGCTGAACAAATGCACGACGCAAAATCCACAAGATATGTATGAACGTACGGATGCTGCGCGCGTACGCGCGGATATATTTACTATGTACTATGGTACTATTTGGATACGGATCCGAGTGCGGAAAAGTGGCAAGAGTGGCTCACGTCACCGTCGCCGGTGAGCCAAGTTTACGTTGCGTATACGGGGCCGCGTTGGTGTCTCATCATTTGAGGGCGGCAGCCGCAACATGCTCGAGGGCCCTGCCGAAGCGCCGCTCCTCACCCCCGCAGCCAGGCCCAGCGACCGGCTGCGATTTCGGTCATGCGCGTGCGCCGACGTGACAGACACGACAGATGACCGTGTGGTACTACCCTCTGCGTCCGATTCGCGCGGCCAGTCTGCAAGCCGGTCATCATCCTCGTCATCTGGCGGGAGATCCTGGTCGTCGGCATCCTCCATGTCTGAAGGCATCGCAGCGTCGAGATCCTGGTCCATCGCGTCGACTTCCGCTTGCTCCATCTCGTCCTCATCCTCCTCGTCACTGTCCTCGTCGTACAAGCCCCCCGGCGGCTCGCCGACCCACTCCTCGTCTCCGTCCTCGTTGGCAAAGTCCCACACGTCCAGCACTGTCGCGTCCATTCGGTTGCTCGCCGCAACGCACCACCGACCTTCGAACACGACTTGCCACACCCCGACGATGCCTGTGAGCAGATCCCGCACCTGCGAACCGTCCCGGATGTCCCACATCTTCAACGTCCCGTCGCTCCCGCTCAGCACCTTGAACTCGTCGTGCTGGAAGCACGTGATGGCACCGTTGTGTGCGGCCAGCGTATGATGGTGCTCGCCAGTCTCTGGGTCCCACACGCGAAGCGTAGAGTCGGCGGCAGCAGAGACAAGATACGATGGTGAGAGTCCAAGGAGGCCAACCAAAGATGTATGTCCCGCGAGCATATGCTGAGTCTGGCCAGTCCGCAGATTCCACACGCGCACAGTCCCGTCCATGGACCCCGAACATGCAAGGTTCCGGTGAATGTCTAGTACGACGCTGTATACTGTGGGCCAATGTTATCTCATGCATTGCGCAGCATGACAGCGTGCGTACCTTTCTGGCTATGACCGCCTAAGACCCACTTGCACTGCCCGGTAATGATGTCCCATATTCGCACTGTGCAATCATAGCTGCCAGACACGAGCGTACGCCCGCGTGCTGCCAGTGCACGGACAGCATGGTCGTGTCCCTCAAGCAACAGCTTGTGATACGGGTTGTCCTCAACGTCCTCCTGTGATGTAATTTAGTCAAAATCAGACAAATGCGTCATACCGAGTCCGTACCTCAGATGGGTCCACCTCGGTGTCATCTGCGCCGTAGCACCTATATTCGTCGTCACCGGGCTTCGGCAGCGTCCACACCCGCAGCGAATGGTCACGACTGCCCGTCACGATAAGCGGGCGTTTCGGCCACTTCTCCCGCGTAATCACCCCGCCCTCGTTTTCGACATCGATCCATTCCGGCTTCACGATTGCGAGGCAGCGCACCGTACTTGTGTGTCCGCCAAAGACGTGTGTGCACCGCCCGGTCGTCAGGTCCCAGATACGCACTGTGCGGTCCGTTGACCCGCTCACCAGCGTGTTCTTCGTCGCCGCGAGTGCCCACACGCCGCCCTCGTGTCCGTCCAACGAACGCAGTAACTCCCCAGTGACGGGGGAATACACGTGGATTGAGTGGTCGTCTGAGGCAGAGATGATGCGTCCGTGAGAGAAAATGAGGCATGTCACTACCGACCGTCCATGCGCTGGGAACGTGATCCGCTTCGGGTTCTGGTTCTGCACCCACCGTGTCCGAGTAAGGTGCCGCGACTTGAAGAGGAGCTTGTAAGGATGTGGTAGCGGGAGCGCGTCTGGCCGCGGCAGTACTTCTCGTCGGCGCCTGGCAAATATGGCATCTCGAAACGCATCCTCGGACCCGCGGCCAAACCAGATTTTCGTGCTCTTCAGCAGGTCACGCCAAAGTACAGGATCAGAGTCGATGATCGCTCGCCATGACTTAGACACTCGGGAGGCACGAGCGAGATCAGAAAAGCTCAAATAGCTCAGGACGTGGGATACCAGCTCTGGTGGAAGCAGCGTCAGGAAGTCCCGCGCTAGTGTGGGCGTTAGAATCGAGTGCAATGTTCGTAGTACTGAGAGGGGTGAGTGTCGCAGGAAGGTAAGGAGGACGTGAGATTGTAGTTGTGGTGGCATGCTCGCGTAATGCGACAGCAGGCTAGGCAATGACAAAAGCGCACTTAGAGAGGCATCAGGTTGTATGGGAGCTGGGGGTGGTTGCGGCGAGGAGTGTCCGCTGGGCGGGGCGGATGGCCATATGCTCTCAGGCGATGGTGAGCCATGGGGAGATGGGAGCGGCGAAGGCGGCGCCGCAGTATTGATCGGGGGTACCTGGGACAGAGGAGCTGGTTTCGCTCGCTTGCGCGGCGGCGTGTTCGTGATTACCCCAGGGATCGTCTCGATGCCCTCCATCATGCTCTCGTTGCTGTACGACCTCTTCCTGCCGTACCGCTCGATAGCGTCGGTGAGGCCGACTTCCTTCTGTGGCTCGTCGATCTCGTCTCGCCTGAGCATCCGCCAGCCCACGCCACCGACTGGTGCCTCTTCCTCATGCATCTCCTGCTCACCCGCTTCGCCATCGCGGAACGTCGCACGTGCGCCGCCGGGGAAGATGAGTGGGAACTGGCGAAGGGATTTCGGAAGATGGGCACGGAGGAGGGGATATAGTTTTGGATCCTTAGGCGAGGAAGGCGGGGGAAGCGGTGGGAGGGGAATGGGCGCATAGGTCGTCGTCGTCGTGGTCGTCGTCACAACGCTGTGCAAGTGATTAGCCAGGGCGACGCATGGAACGGGACACATACGTGGTTGTGTTCACAGATGGTGCGAGCTGGATGAAGGGGCGATGAGAGGCCATTGCGGGATTGAAGAGCGCGGCTGCGCCTGGGGGGATGAGGAAGGGAGGTCACGGTGGTCACTGTTGGATCGCGTCAAGGCGCGACGCGCGCTACTTTCCCCGCGTCGGACTTTCAATTCGCTAGGCCACCGACGCGCTCATTCGCCCACCCGTCTCCTTTCCATCTTACAATAAATCCATTGCCTTGCGAGCTTTCATTAATCATTGTTCACCTTCTCTGTGTCTGGGCATAAGCTCCTGGGATTGGCGTATTTCTCGTATTCAGATTGTGGCGAGATCGTCTCGCCGTATGCACTGACCCTGGAGCAAGCACTCCAGCTCCAGCCCGTACCGCTTCTCGAATAATCCCAACGTGTGCATCAGGAGATGCTGCACATCCAATTATTTCATTCATACTCAAACACGCATTCTTCAACCGCTCGAGGCGCCGGAACACGACAATTGCGCACAGCAGTGCTCGTGCCTATGTCGCTTTGTGTGGATCTGAATCTGAGTCTCGCGAATGTACAGAGGCATGGTAAGCACTGGTGGCTCTAATGCCCTGCACTGACAAAGATGTCGGCTGTCTCCAAGGACAAAAATATACGTTCCGGACGTGTTCCTGTAATGGAAGGTGACATTTCGCCTTCCATTCCATCAGGACACGCGTTTTTTACCACCTTCATGCACGCATGCATGCCTCTTCGTGGCATATCTATACTCACAGGCATCCAGCAGGACGAGCAATCCCTGTGCCCGAGCCTTGCGTCGACTCCGAGGCAGTCAGATCTCTTCAATTCACGTAAGGTTCGTGCAAGGCAAGCTTCCCAGCCTTAAATCTGACATCTCTCCGCTGTATATCGGTGACGGGACGGTACTTCTGGACTTTTCACATTTCTCTGCATTCAGCTCTTTATGCGTAGAAGGAAAACACTGAGGTCCTCGGTTCGAACAACAGACCAACACCAAACTGATGTATGTCCAGCTTCCCCGACGCTGAACACCTACGCCAATTTTGTGTTGGCAGATCGGTGCAGGCAGCCTCGCGTCCTCCTTCACTCCGGCGAGCATGAACGTGGAAATCCGTATTTTCACTTCCCTGACACTCACGATTGACTTGACTATCACGAATCACACCTGAAGACCCTTTCTTACCCTCTACTCTCCTACTTGGTTTGAAATTGTCGGTCGACTTTGAAAGCTCCCGGACTGCGCAGAGTCTTTCACCTGCACACCAGGTCCCCATCTACTCTACCCTGCCGCTTGTCCACAAGCATGTAAGTCCGACGACCAGCCTGACAATGTGTAGACCTCGCGGTATCGCTGCGGTGCCGGAAGACTATATAGCTTGCGCAAGTTGTGCAATACAACGCACAAGCTCTCACTGCGACGACACATCTGCTATGGCGACCAATGTGGCATCTGAGATCAAGGATATCAAGAGACCCTCACCAGCGCACCAGCGAAGGTCTACCGTGGTTTTGTCAAGTACCTTAGTCGCGGCGGAACAGGATTTGAAAGGAACTATTGGCGATAGAATGTCCAGATTGGCGTGGAAGGCTTGGAATCTAGTCTGGCATTGTGAGTTGATAAGCAGAGAACGATATGCACGTCTCACGTACCGATCTCGTCGATTTGATAGCTTTTTTTCTTCTCTTCCTCGGCGTTGTTTCGACAGACAGGCTGAGGGAGGTTGTTGAGGAGTACGAGAAATGGAGGAGATTCAAGAAGTCGCTTTTCGAGCGCTATGCTAACATCAACATCATCGCGTCTTTGCTAATGACGTGCGCATTGTTTTGCAGAATTTGTATCAGCGGTGCACTTATACAATTTGTCCAAACAGGACCACGGCCGTGTTTCTGACAACACAGCCAACAAATTCGATCGCCGACTGGTCGGCACCACTTCCGTACAAGGCCCTTGGAGCAACGTTCGGACTCGCATTCCTATCCGTCGCATCTGGCACATTCATCCTCTTCGTCGGAACCGATCTGCAAGCTTCTGTTGTCGAGGTATGTGCAATACGGTTCAATGCCCCCGTTGAATCAGCAGCCAACTAATAGCTCATGTGCAGGATATGCTAGCTCAACCCTACAAGTTTGCGCCGGCGCTGCTGCTGCTGGCACTCCCGAATCTGTTCGTCGCTGCGGCCGCAATAGCAGGCGTCACCGCAACGTGCATTGCAGTGTGGAACGGCGACAGCCCGCCCGCGCAGATTGTACTGTCGTTTGTCGTCGTGGTGCTCTTCGTCATGGTCTCCGCGTTCGCAGCCATCGCCTTATGGGCTGCATCAAGGGCCGAAAGGGACGATGAACCAACGAAAGACTCCGTGAATGATTCCTCTGCGTAACTCGGGTGAGGGGTACCATGCTGTCTCGTATGTTATGCGCGTATGTGCGGTGAGAACGGATTCATTTCCCGAATTCAATCAAGGTGTACTTGCTCGCATTTTTCTGCCACCTGGAATAATCACATCTTCATTCATAATCATGCCACCTTCTGTTATCGTATTACCGTTTCTCGAGATCACTTGCAACGGCAGATTAGCTACTCTTCGTGCAATATTCACACTACAGGTTGCGTTACTTCTTATGCACTTGCGCGTAGTTGCGCGTTCTGTACCATAGACATCGCAGAACATCCCAGCATCGTGGTGTGTGTGGGTACATGAAGTTGGCGCGTGTAGTTTCTCATTGATGGCAGACACATAAGACCACCTTCGAGAATTCGAAGCAAGTGAGTCATCATTTCTTTTCCTCTTCACGGCCTCATGTCAATATTTCAATACTTTCTCTCCTCATCTGCGTCATCTGCACCCACAAGGTTGCCATTCAACTCGGACGATGGTTCACCATGGCCGACGGATCTAGTCGGCAGAAGGTTTCTGCCGAAATGAAGCACCCACATTCACATTCATTTCGAGAACGAAAGGAACCTGCGCCCATACGTCTGGAATTCACGAGTATGATGCCAAGCTAAGTCTGTTTCCATGAGTTAATATATCTACTAGTAGATCCGCGAAGATGTTACTACAACTTCACCCTCGCCCCTCTCCATCTCATGGCACCCAGTCAAGATCATTATTCTGCCCACGACTCCCACAATCGATTGTCTCCAATGCAGTCTAGGCGATCCGGTCGGAGTGCTCAAGCAAGAGACCTCATTGTACATGATCTGCAACGAGTGATCATGCATTGCGTCTCTGTAGTCATATTCCTCTTTAGTCTTAGGATTTCGTACAAGAGACTAAGGGAGCTCACGTCCTATCCGTCCGACTCAAGCAAAGCAAAAGAATAGGATAGGTTAAAAGATGCCGTATTTGCGCGTTACATTAACGTCACCACGGTGTCGTCGATCCTATTGGCATATACATCAAGGACCTTTATCCTCTCTCCATTTGCTGACGTGCCTAGGACTACCACAGCACGTCCGCAGTCTTCCAATCCACAAATCCAATCACTTCCGTGATCGATTGGTCGCAGCCTGGACTCTACTTTTGTGCGGGGGTAACCTTCATATTATCTTTCATGTGCTTTAGCTCTGGGGTGACACTGGTAATCTCCCTAGGCATGAGTATCACAGAATATGATGCGAACGTGGGTTCTCTCCGCCATAAAACCGCTCGCAGCTGACCACAGAATCACTCATCAGGTGATGGCGCAGAGCGTGCATGAGCTATTAAACACCGTTATTCAGATGCGCACACTCCAAGAGCCTGAGTTGTTTGACATGATTGCTGCTTGGGCAGCCCTGCGTCGAGATGCCACTGTTAACACTACGTCTGGTCATGCTGCAGACGCGAAGCCAGAACGACATTTTGGCCAATTATTCGGCGAGAATGCGCGACCGCTGCTGCAGATGCGACAGTCCTCAGGTTGATACTCAAGCTTGCTTATACAGTTTGATGTATCATCGTGTATCTAGAGACTCCGGAGTAGCATTGCACGGGTTTTACTACCAGACACCTTAGCAGACTTGTGGTAGGGAATGAACACCTCTCGGATGTCTGATTATTGAGCGATGACAAACCTATCAAAGTCAACGCAGCTTCCAGTAGATCGAACCCCGCACTATAAATATTACCTCGAGGGTCACACACATGCTACCCGCGCCCTTGCAGCACGCGGCTGAACCGCCGTCTCCGGGAGTTTCGACTGCACCCTACGCGTATGGGACCTTATTAATGGCGTGTGTCAATGGGTCCTGGTTGGCCATACAGCTAAATGTGCGCGAAATATGCAACGACAGATCTGCTCGTCCGTTATAAGCTTTCTCAATAGTATACAGTGTGGCCTTGGACCACAACCGTAAAATCGCTTGTTCTGGCGCGATGAACAGCACAGTGCGCGTATGAGACCTGCAGAACGGGGAATGTAGATTTGCTCTGAGTGGACACACCTCGCTCGTCAGCCTGCTCAGTATTTCCCCATCCTTCCTTGTATCTGCGTCAGCGGACGGCACTGTTCGCCTCTGGAATCCAGACACAGACAAGCTACTGCTTACACGCACCGGAAATGGTGGTGCAATCACCTGCCTCTACCAAGATGATCGTGAGGTACTGAGCGGCTCCGATGGCGATTTCGAGATGTAGGGCATCAGCGACGAGGCGGAAACTCCTCAGGTGTGGCTCAAGGGTGTGGCCGGGTGGGCAGGTAGTGTGTAAGGGGATGTTTTGTTCGCTGTGGCCAGCCGACAGGACTCGACATTATTGTACATCTGGAGCTTCGCATAGGTCCTGAGGGGGCTCTCCACAGGAACGACTCCACTTACCTCCCTGGTTTGCAACACTATAATATCCGCCCAGTTGTGATGACATACTCTTGAGGGAGATGGCATATTTGTACAACCGTCGTTGGAGATCGGCGCAAGCGGCCTGCTTTGGCATCTGTTACGTAGCAGCGGCATTGCCCATGTAATCGAGCCATACGTTGGTATTTCAACCTTCCCACCGGATGGGAGACGTAAACAAATTGTCAACCTCGTGCGCAATCTTCCGCCGGCAGTGATGATACAGTCCTTGAATATAATGTCTGTGACTCTTATGTGTACAAGAGCAATGCAGTTTACAATACACGAGCCTTGTGTACCTTCACGTCCTCTCGAGGCCTAATCATGAGCACGTTGATTACGGAAGGCACTATGTGCACGACTGGATGCACTCACCTATCTTGCACATCAGTTGCAACTGACCCCAACCTTTGAAGAACTCGCATTCCTGAGCTGACGCGGCCAAAAATGGTATGCTTGTTGTCCAAGTATGGAGTCGGCGCAAGAGTCAAGAAGAATTGCGAGCCTTATACGTCATGAGTATCACGTATTGAGTTAGACAGGTTCTCCTCAGATGACCTACCATTCGTGTTCGGCCCTGAGTTTGCCATAGCTAAGATACCCGCGCCGGTAAAGCGCAAATCGGGATTAATCTCGTCCGCGCTATTTTTCCAATCAGCTCCCAGCTTTTCAAGCTTTTGTATCGCATTCAATCAATTTAACGCACAATTTTTGCCCATATATACTAGTCCCGCCTCTTCCCGTGCCTGTAGGATCACCACCTTGCACCATGAAGTCCTGACGAATAGAATTGATCAAAACGTAAGACGTTAGCGAACGCGTGGTTTGGCTCACTGCAATGATACGATGGAAGATAACGCCATTGTAATATCCGCGTTTTGCGAGCTCAGCAAAGTTCTTGCATGTCTGGGTATTCAATATGAGGACAATGAGCCGGCAAGTTGTCGTACAACATGATACTAGCACATACTTTCGGCGCGTGGTTCCAGTAGAGTTCAAGCTGAATGTCTCCTAGGCTCGTTTCCAGAACAACAGACTCCATGTGAGGTTGAGTCTAGCGTTTGGAAACTAAGTGGAACTGCTTGAGGGACGGCGGCAAAGTCAAGGGGAAGGTCGGTTTTGGCGTTGAATGATGTGGCTCCGATCGGCAACGAGATCTCAACGATCGAATGCATACCATCACAGATTAGGCGCCCTATCCTGATCAAACAAGTCTGTTATTGTATTCCGCCGGATTATCTCCTCCTTCTAATATCTCAGTATGCGCGCCATTGTGCAGCGCGTAAGCTCGGCTTCTGTGACTGGTAAGAGCTCGTTATATCGGATATAGTTCGGATTATCTCACTGGGCCCCATTGTAGTTGACAACGAGGTGATCTCGAGTATATCCCGAGGTCTCATGGTGCTTATTGGTATCGGGAAAGGTCAGTTGTCGCATGTCCTGTAGTAGACGTGTAACTCACAATATTGGGTGGACAGACGACACCGCGGTAGATGTCGAAGCCATCACAAAGAAAATGTAAGTGACCATTGCCGTCCCACTCAGTGTCTGGTTCACATGTCACGATTCTCGCGTCAGTCTATCCCTGAGAATTTTTTCTGATGACACAGGCGCCATGTGGAAGAAGAGTGTCAAAGATATTGATGGAGAAGTCCTCTGTGTCTCCCAATTCACCCTTCTTGCAAGTACCGACAAAGGAAATAAACCAGATTTCCATCGCGCAATGGCGAGCAGCTTTTTCGTATCTAATCCTCGGGACCAGCTGACCTATTCATTACGCAAGGGCACTGAACAAGGGCGTGAGATGTATACGTCGCTGCTCGAGAGGATGTGCAGTCTTTACAAGCCAGAGAAAATCAAAGGTGTGTTTGAACTGTACCGGTTGCATTACCCCTCATGATCCTCATCGTCTCGATGAAGATGGTAGATTTGGCGCAATGATGAACGTAGGCCTTACAAACGAGGTTAGTCACGCACCCGTAGCATGATGCATCTAAGAATGACTTTCCTCCTGCTGCCCGCGTTGCTCCAGGGGCCTGTCACATTTACGCTGGATTCGCGCAAATGGGAGTACGCTGAGAGGCCTAGCAACGAGGCAGAAAGACAGAAATCGAAGAAAGCTGCACCGTCCACCCCCAGGGACCCTGAGACATCGGCCAACAACTGATGTATCGTTCGTCAAAATAAGTATGGTTTCTCTACACACACACTGCGTGTGCTCAGTTCTAGGCTATCCCTCGGCTCCTGAATGGCACGGAGATATGAGAACTCGCAATAGACATCATCATGGGATCTGTCACCGGACTTGGGGTATCTGCCGGTATTCTGTTATGTACCCCGCTCGCCGTCGCGCTCAAGGGCTGCGTTGCGCCAAGAACCTACTCGGCTGTCTACGGCTGCGAAATCAAACACTTTGGTCGCGCAATAAAACAGGAACACTCGTTTTATCACCTTCTTGAGGTATGGCTTGTTTCTCTTGTTCATGTTATCCGGCATTGCTTTGCAAGCGTATAATACCAAGTGTTTAACTGGGCTTGTAAATAGACTGACTACATGTGCTGGAGGAATGTTGTAACGCACCTGGATGCCATTCACATGTAGTCAACGGTTTTTTCCAACCCTTTCGTGAGCCTGTGGGCTCACTCGACGTCTCTTATAGCCGTCAGTTTCTTACGCGTTCATGCAATCACCCAACGCTAATGGAAACTATCAATCCTCATACTGTTTTGGCGCAAGTGCAGGCGTCCACGTCCGTTAGTGAGTTCGGTATCTGGCATGTGTTTTACATGTTCATCTTGCGATTCATGGCTACCATACTGACGGCTCTCTCGGGAGAAATATGTCTATTGCCTGCCACATGAGTACGACGGCAACTTCTTCCTACGCCTTCACGAATGCATTATTGCACTGGCTGAGGACTTAACGGCATCCCAGATCACTCAGAATCTGATATACTAGCTGCGGGGACTCCGTTCTTCCAGTCCCCCGGCGCTACAATTTGAATACTGGCCGCTCCCTCGCCGCAAGATGATCGTGGAATTTCTGTCTCGCCCTATCGCGGCCTGCGCCAAGTCTACCATAGCGGGGAGATAGCTATCGCGCACTCAATCACGCTCAAATCCACTGAAGCATTGATCGGTAACATGGGTGCTCCTTTATGTATGGGTCCGCGTAATTGAGCGAGATGGATACCGTAGTTCATCTCACGCTAAATTCATATTTGACTTTGCCTGTCGCTGTTTCAGCCTGTACATGTAACTTAGCGACGGCATTCAGGATGGGCAATAGAACATAAAAAAGTGTACATAAATTATCGCGAGGAACGGGAGAGACTGCTTTATAAATACATGACTGAGCCTTAGGGCGAGTGAGAACTATGTCCGGCCCGTCGTCTTGCGGTTACTGCCCCTCCTCGACCACGCAACCGACCTCCACCCAAGCATCCACGCAGCAGACAACAGACCCCACGGGGGAAAGAGCCAGCTGAGCCTCCACGACCACCCCGCCCGCCGCCGCAGCTTCGCGACGAAGCCCTCGATCTGCCCCTTGAGGTCCTGGACCGAGCCCGAGTTGTCCACCACGTAATCGGCGTACTCCACCTTCTCCGAGATGGGCAGCTGCGCGTTCAGCCGCGCCTGCGCGTCCTCGCGCGCGGACCCGTCCCGCGCCATCAGCCTCTGCAGCTGGATCTCGGGCGAGCTGTGCACACATACACACCCTTTCGTGAGACTCTCCGCGCGCGCAGAAAGAGCCACGGAGCCACGGGGAGGCAGGGCGCCGCCCCGCGCCCGCGGACGCACCAGTACACGACGGCGACCGCGCCGACGAACTTCCACAGGCCGCCCTCGATGAGCAGCGGCACGTCCAGCACGCAGATGCGCGCGCCGCGCCACCAGCAGCGCAGCACGCCCCAGAGCATCGCGCGGCGCACGGCGGGGTGCACGATCGCGTTGAGCCTGCGGCGCTGCGCCTCGTCCGCGAACACGATCGCGCCGAGCTTCGCGCGGTCGAGCGTGCCGTCGGCCTGCAACACGTCCGCGCCGAACGTCGCGACGATCTGCGCGAGCGCGGGCGTGCCCGGCTGCACGACCTGCCGCGCGAGGATGTCGGCGTCGATGACGGGGAGGCTGTGTTCCCGCAGGAGGTTTGAGACGGTGGATTTGCCGGTGGCGATCCCGCCGGTCAGGCCTACGACTATTGCGAGACATGACGCGTTCGGTCAAGAGGCTTTAGTAACGGCTATAGGGGAACCATACGTACCGAGCATCGTTGTAGTTTGATACAGTACAGTAGGTTTGGAATAGGAGACAAGAGATGTCTCGACGACAGAGGAAAGACAACCCCGCGTCAGTCTACGTACTATACATAGTGGCTGCCACGAACTTGGGCCTGCAGGCCACTGCCTGTATCGCACGCGCTGTGGGAGGGGCACATGAACGATTTGCCGTCATCTATCCCATGCAAAACCACGCCCGGATTGATCTATGCGAGTGACGTATAGAGTTACAATGTGGTCTAGCTCGTTCGAGGTCCATGTATGTAATCGCTGTGCACAGTCCACTCATCACCCTGCGCCCATGGTCTTCCCCATCCCTCCTACGCCGACGCCGCAAGCATCTCCCTCTTCATCACCATCTCGTCCCTCAGCATCGCGATCCGGCTGTCCAGTCGCGACGACAGGTCCACCTGCTGCGTCGACAGGGCGAGCGCTTTCTCAAGGCGCCCCTCTGCCTCCTTCAGCGCACGCTCCCACATCGCGCGTCGCTCCGCACCCGACAGCTCCTCCCGCTCCTCGCCCACCGCAAGTCCCGGCACGCCCTCCGTGCGCGCCTGCGCCTCCCGCAGCTCCAGCACCGCGAGCTCAAACAGCGTTACGCTCCCGACCCACGTGCTCACCTTCACCGCCGCCTGTCGCCCGAACGCGTCTGCGAGGAACGCGCGCGCTGCGTCGTACTCGCCTGCAGTGCGGTGCAGAATACCCAGGAGCAGCGCACGGATGGCCAGCTCGTCGGGCGTGTCAAGGTCTGGCGGCGGGTCGGTCGACATCGTCGCCGATGTCGCTGATGATAGTGCAGACTCTGGCGACGTAATCAACGGACTGGAGATAGTGGGGAGCGGCGTTAGCGCGCACAGCTCGGCGATATGGGCAAGGGCAACGTCGCGAGGTATGCGTGCGTGCGTGTTCCAGACTGAAACCGAAGTCAGCGGAAGCCATGGGCGTGCGCGCCTGCAAGAATCAACTCACAGATTCCGAGCTCCTCTGCAGGGCTGATCTTCATGCATAGGACATAATCGGCCTCGGAGCCCGTCAGTCGCTTCTGCTTCTCCCTGTAGAAGGCCACTATGCATCGCCGTCAGGTTCAGACGCGGCGAGTGAATAGGGACGATGTGCGTACGTTTCTTCCGGATCCAGACCTCTGTTGGCAAGTCCTTCCCGCCGATCTTCTTCTTGTCCAGCAACGCCGGAATGGCTTCAAAGAGTTCCGCTGCCTTCACATAATTCTTCAACGAGACATAGCACCCTGCGCCGAGACAGTCAGTACCAATCCTGCGTGTTACAGCTCGTGCAGAATAACAACTTACCAGCAGCGATGAAGTAGTACGTTCCATGGCTCCAGCTATTAACCTTCGTCATAGCCATGAAAGTCTCCGCGGCCTCTTGATACCGCCGCTGTGATAGAAGTGTCCACGCAAGCTCGAAGATCAACTGTACGTTCGTCAGCAGATCATCCATGCTTCATGCAATCCTTACGCAGGCCGTGCGCCGAACGCGTACTTACCAATCCGTCTGCCTGCGCAAACGTCTGTGGGCGATCGGGCTTCAGACCGTCCTGCAATACCTTGATCGCGCCTTCGGTGTCGTACGACATCCGCAAGATCTTGGCCTGACAATGTGGTCACCGTGTCAGTACTTAGCACAGGTTGCAGAGAATGGGGCATCCAGTCAATTACCCTATTCAGGATCCACAGCGACCCATTTGGATATCTGGCTGAGACCCTGTAATGACAAGCTCATTAGGATGGGAACACGGTGTCGCAATATAAGTAGAGAGTACGCACTTGTCTACGATCGCGCGGTACTGCTGCAAGATGTGCTGCTCGTCCGCCTGGTACCCCGCGAGGAGCAGCACGACCCCATGGTACGTCATAAGTGCGAGGCTACATGTACACGGACAAGAATATCATTGATAAATTCATTCATGGCAGACACAGTTAGCACTCGCGATAGATAGACGAGTGTGGGAGCATGACGCACCCAGCAAATACCCCGTGAACATCGGTGTGAGCCGCGGACACGGCCAACGCCTGCAGCGCTAGCTTACGATCAGATGTAAAGCCGAGGAAGCCGACGACACCTCTGCGATCGTGTCAGAACTGGAAACCTGGACATCCGGGGATAGAGGCCTACCTGATCTTTGCCGGCAATAATGAAAACACCAGGTTGAACAGCCTGACCCGCGTTAAAATCAGCGCTCGTGCTGTTCGCAGAGATGACTCACCCGTATCCTAAAGGAACATGGCCGCGTCAGCGGGCATAGTGTGATACGTCGGTGACACGCACCGAATGCAGTCCCGGACAGGATTAGCTCGTCCACTGAGCCCTCCACTACCGGCGTCTGCGAAGAGAACGACGTCTCGCTTACATTCAGACTCGAGCTTCGGCTCACTGCAGGGCTCGCACTCGCACTTGCAGTGAAGCGTGAAAAGAATCCTGAACGTTTCGGCGTTATGCTGGTAGGTGTTGCGGGCATGCTCGCGGGGACGGCAGTGGTGGTCGCGACGGACAGCATAGATGAGGCGTCGGAGCGCATACTGGGTGCACGGGAGCCTGACGCGGACGTCGCGGGCGTTGGATACGCGTCAAGACCATTCGGATAAACAGTTTTGTAAAGTCTGAACGAGATATCAGCATGCGCACGGTTAGGGAAGGAGGTTGTGCGCACTTGGAGAACCTGGAATGTGCGGTATTCAGCGAGTAGAGACACTGAAGATAGCCCATGTAGGACTCGCTAAGCACATATAGGATGGCGTAAAGAACGCTGTTCGGCGTATGTGGACGAGCACGGACCTGAGTGCATGGTTGAGGCCGAGGAGAATGACGGCATCCGAGTTTAGCAGGTCCCACTCTGTGCCTGGAGGGAATCGCGTCGAGGGCTTGGCATACTTTGCAGCCTTGAGTTGCTTCCTTGAACCGGCCTCGGAGAGGGAGAGGCAGCGCTGCGCTTCTGCTAGCAGGCTCGTCTGCGAAGTGGTGAGGCTACGCGAGAGACGGGGCAAGGATCATGTGCACCTCCATACCCAAGGCAGCCTCGAGGAAGGCGCAGACCCCGAGACCGAGCTGGTGGAATGGCGAGTCGGCAGCGGCGAATGTCTCGCGTGCATTCTGGAGCTCATTGGAGAAGAGATAGTCGAAGCCCTCTGTGGCTGCAGAGAGACTGCGCTGAGTGTCGTCATCATCGGTGGACATGGCGGTGAGCGGTAGAGGACGGGAGTGGTGGGCGGCGAGTGTTCGCGGACACGGACATATTTGAGCAAGCGGGACTCGCGCAGCGATCGAGCGTCATCATCGCGACCGGCGCCCGGTGATGGCCGGGACCGGCCGCCACTGGGGCCGAAGAGGATGTGGACGGGCGGCTAATGAAGGTCTGTGTATGATGATGGCACCTCCTCCAGCTGGTTCCAGTTCCTTGCAGGCCAAGATCAACGCCTTTGAGGCTCTTTCCAGCTCCAGCCACCCCGACCCTCCCCGCTCCCCGCAGAACATCCTCGATGGCCCTCTCCTCGCCGTCGCCTTCTCCCCCATCGCCCCGTCCTCTCCTCCTCTCCTCCCTCGCCCTGCTCCCGCGGTGCCCTCGCCCTCGCCCTCACCGCCCATCCTCGGCCGCAAGACCTCCTTGATCGACCTCAAGGACTGGGTCGTCGACCCCCCAGCTTCTCCACCCCATGGCACCAAGCCTGCGCAGCGTGGGACCGCCGGGCCCATCGCCATTGCATCACGCCCATCCGCCCCGCTCATCAACCTAGAGTCGTCCCCACCCTCCGCCAGGCCGTCCGGTGTGCCCCCGCTACCGCCCCGCAAGCCATCGTACACCTCTCTCAAGTCTATCTCCACCGCCTCCCTGTCCACCACGACGTCCTCTTCCGTCCCTCGCAGCCCCATCAACCCGCCGCCGGCCCTCCCCCCGCGCGCCGAGCACCCCGTGTCGTCCCCGGCCACCCTCACCCCCACTCTTGGCCTTACCATCGGCCTCGCCCCCACGCGCTCGGGGCACGCACCCGCATCATCGATCTCCTCTTTCCATTCCGTCTCGCTCTCTTCCGACGGCGGGAACGACCTCTCGCCCTCGTCCCCCTCGCGCGCCACTCTTCCAGAGCCCCGCGACTTCGACACCGCCAGCCTCGCAGAGTCCTTTGAGCATCTCTCCGCCACTTCCGTCTCCTCGCCGATCATCGACTGGGACCCCCGCCGCCCCTCTTCCGAGCCGCCCAAGCTTCCCCAGCGGCCCGCGCCCAAGCCTGCGCTCCCTGCGCGCGCGCCATCGCAGTCGGCCGCACTCTCGCCGTCTCCGCGCCCGCCCAGCACCTCCAAACCACCCCCACCACCGCCCGTGCGCATGCGCCACCCACCTTCCCGCACCTCCAGCACGTCCACCACGGCATCCGCCACCAGCAACACGCACTCCACGCCCGCGTCTTCCCTCGGAAGCCCCCTCGCGACGCTGAAGCCCGCGCAGCCTCCGCCCCCGCCGCTGTCTGCGTCGAAGCCCACGCTCACCCGCGCCCCGCCAATCCCGCCGATGGCCCGCCGCCGCTACGAGGCGCTGTTCGAACGCAACGTCCGTGCCCAGCGCGCCGCGTCGTCCGCGCGCAGTCTGCCCGGCCCGCGCCCGCGCAAGGCCGCCGGTTGGCGCGGGCTCTCCGTGGACCTGCTCACCAGCCCCGAGCTCGGCCCGGTCGCGGACACGCCCGCCGTACTGCTGGACGACGCGCCCGTAACGGCGGACGCACGCCTCGCGGGTGAGGTCGTGCGGCGCATATGGACATGCTCGCGGCTGGGGCGGCCGACGCTGCGTGCGATCTGGTATGTGTTCACTCGCGCGCTCTGTTCCGGTGGACTGTGCTCATGCAGGGCTTCCTAGGGTGGAGTGCGACCCGGCACGCACGGGGACGCTCGACCGCGAGGGCTTCGTGCGCGGGATGTGGCGCGTCGACGAGGAGCTGCGGCGCGCACAGCTCGTGGGTGCCGGCCGCTCCGGGAATGCATTCAAGGCAGGCTTGGGGAGACACGCCTCGAATGCCAGTGTGCGGACGGGTGGTTTTGGTGCTGGCAGGATTGCGTTGCGATGAAGAGTCTGAGACGACGGGGTTGAGTGATTATGTTTTGCGCTTGCTGTGTGAACGCTGTCGGGATGGACACTGTTTTCGGTCTGCACGGTGGTAGGTTCCTGGTCTGCGCGGGATGGCAGAGTATATCACGGTCCTGTGTATACCACACATATATTATGCATGCGCTCCATGGACGTGTCACAATCTGATTTATATTGCCCACCAGGGTGGAATCTCGTGAAATAAGGAACCACCCTCCACGTTATTCGTTGGCATCCGGTAGTACACTACGACTCGATGACACCGCTTCGAGCGACAGAATGGCTAGGTCTGTTGGACGTGCTCATCTCGGCGCCATGATCAGCCACGAATGCTCGCGTAGGCCGGGTAAAGCCCAGGTTTGCATCTGGGCAAGCCAGGCCCGTCTCACTTTCTTTCACTGGCGCGCGCGCGGCATCGCTAAAGTCATTGCTGCCATCCGGTCCGGCGGCCGCACTTCCGCGGAGAAAAAGACAAAAATTGTAGGAAACAATCTCAAGATTCAAGTCATAACAGGATCTAAACTCAAGGAGTCACCTTGCTTCATGATTGCGGCCATGACTTTATTTCGTCCGCATATTAAACTCTTCTTCACAAGCCCGAGAGTCGAAGGAATGAAGACGATAGTACGTATTTTCTTGTCCGGCAGTAAGAGGGAAGTAACGAAACAAGGAAAAGAATAAAACAAATCGGGCTTTATCGGGGTCGCCGTCAGTTGTCTAACTTCAACGCGTTTTCCTTCACAACGGCCCTGTGTATACCACGCACATATTAAATTCACTCAGGACCAAGAAAACTACTCTCATCATCCACGTCATAAAGTCATAGCACACCAACAACGGTCGAGCATCGTGCTCGCCAGCGTACATACATACTCACACACGAGAGTCCATAGATCAGATCGCTCTCGGCGGTCCCCTACCCCGCCCCTTCACATTCGCGCCCGTCCCATAGATCTGTGCAAGCAACCCCAGCACGCCACCGTCCTCGAGCTCCTCCTCAGCGTCCAGCTGGCTCTGAGTCGGTCCCGCCAACCCCGCGCCCGGCCGCCGGCCGTCGACATAAGACTCGCCCAGCATGCTTCCCACCCCGCCGTCCGCCGCGAGCTCCTCCTCCGGAATCACCGACGCTGCGCCGGCCCCCGCGCCAGTGGCACCGGGCATGACGCTCCCCTGGGAGTCGCCCAGCACCGCCGTCCGCGCCATATCCATCCCCGCCGCGGACTGGAAGATCGTCGACACACCCGTGTCCCCGCCTGTGCCGCCCACGATACTCGTCATGCCTAGCTGCCCCACGCCGAACCCGCGCGTGCTCTGCATCAGCGCGCTGCCCCGCCGGCGTACGCCTTGCACCTGGCTCTGCCTGAGCGCAGGGTCCCCCTGGGCCGTCGCGTTGAGCGTGCCGCTGCTGTCTTGCCCGAAAGCTGGGCGCCCCCCGCCGCCACCGCCACCGTCGGACGGGCGCCGCAGGAGGCGTCGTCGGCCGAGCCCAACGGGATGCGCGGCGCTGAAGTCGGCGATGCGGCTCAGGTACAGGGAGCCACTCGGGTCCGCGGGCATCCATTCGGGGTGGGCAGCCTGTGCGGAATGGTGAGGTCACGAACAAGGAGCGGAAACACAGCACCGACCTTGAAATTCAGGAAGCTCTTCTCCATCTTGCCCTCCTTTGACAGCAAACGCTCGTCCTGCACCTTCGTGGGCGCCCCGAACTATGGTGCGATGGGAAATCAATAAGTGGAATACCGCAGCTCGATTCTGCATGCCAGACGTACCTTGACATTTCCGTGTCGCTGGAAGTCGAAGACCGCGAAGCTACACACATACCCGATTCCGTCCACGTGTACGGTGAACTCACGGAAGAAGTCGATAATGGCCGGCGCGCAAGGCGGAAGCGAGTACCAAAGCACGAACGGTGTCAGGATCACTGACAGCAACTCCTGCGCAAAGATCATGACCTTCATCGCGAAGAGCTCACCAAACTCCTCGTGCACCTGTGATCGTCCAACGCACCCATGTCAATGAGGGTCGATCGTGCTTGAGATTAGTATATCTACCTTCTTTGAGTGCAGCTGGCCCTGCCATTCTTCGGGCATATAGTGCGTGTACTGCACAACTTCCGTCATGAGCATCTCCGGATCGAAAACCATGTTCTCCTCAGGGATCATCCCTCGTGCGACTGCTAGGATTGAACCGAAGACGCCGAGATAGAACAAGACGGTGCGGTGAGGTGTGACCTCGAAGTGAACGAACAAGTCCGGGTCCATGACGGATGCAAGGAGCAGGACGGCAGCGAATGACCCAGCAATGAATGCGATGAAGCTATTGTCTCATCTGGGTGAGCAGGGACAAGCTGAGGGATAACATTGAGGTAAATACCGGACGATGAGTGTCACTTTCTCATTCGGGAACTGCCCAATGTACATGCTGGCAGTCGGATATGACTCGCTCAGACGTCGCTTGAAGAGGTGCGGCAATTCGTTGAACTCGCGAAACTTCCACTGCGCGAATGGTGTATATCGTCTTCCGCCGATATTGGATGGATTCTTGTGATATTCCTACGCATCCGACAGTCACCATTGTGCACGTAGGTCAGTAATGTTCTCCACATACCTCGAAGTACCTGAAGAACGAGTACATAACGAGATAGAGTACAATGAAGGGGGCGAAGATCGCGTTCAAGACGCCCATGAATATGAGCCGCCGGCGTAATCTGCAAGTCATAAGTGTCAAGTTCAATCGCGGGTACGCTGCAAGGAGAAGCCTACCCTTCAATCAACACTGCTCGATTCTTCGACTTGAGAAACACCTTCCTCACGCGACCACTAGAGTCGAACAAATATTCCATCAGACAGAAGCGCAGATTCCACTCGAGCGCCCTGGTCAGCGTGCGACCCTTGCCATCTTCTTTCACAAATATGAACTGTTTGATGAAGGGTGGCAGTGGCACGCGCAGGTCTAGTAGCTCCTTGTTGAACAAAGCGATCAAGTAGTTCTCCTGGCGCATGATGCGGTTAGCAATGTCGTGCGCGTCCAGCTTCGCGGTGATCGACTGGCCGGCCCCTGTGGAGGAGATGGCCGTAAGTGGGTTGTCTTCGCGTATTGCGGCTATACGCCGTACAACTTCTGGCCAGGAGATTGTCTGAATATCTGCCTATAAAGGGGATTAGAGCAGTGATGCAGAGTACGGTGGAGGTGAAGGACGAACATCAGGTATGCGTAGTAGATGTGTGTAGAAGCGATACATATCGACTAGGCGGACAATGCTTAGCACGTATGTGACGCTCTGCCAGGCAAGGAAAGCGGTGAAGAGAATAAAGAATATAAGCGTGAATCCGGAGAACCTGCTCTGTATTAGCTTCGTTCACTGGTATCACTTGGAGCTGACCTTGACACGCAACGATTCACTATGACCTCATCTAATCGCGTTACCTTGTCGTGTCGTATCCGGGAATAGTCGACACATCCCAGGAGGAAGGTCGAGAAGCCGATCACAAACCCGACTGTGCTACGTGCAACATTAGTACAAGGTGAACATTGGCATCATGTTGAGGTCACTGACAGAAGATTAAGTCCGCGAGATAGGGCGATACTGTATATCCCTTTGCCTTCATAATATAGGTACACCTCCTGCAGGAATGCGTCTAGATTGTAGACATTGACCCAGCTCCACAGTGCACGCTCGTGTGCGTCAAGGCCACGCATATGTTTCGACTGATGTTCATGCAGAGGTCGTGATTCTTGTGCTTCATCGAGATCCAGCTCGGACGGTCTGGGAGGGATAGATACAGGAGTACCATTGGAGGTCGTGGGTAATATGGGCGGATTCTGCTTGCGCGAGGTAGAGTACAGAGGCTGTCTTCGTATCTCCTTCGCCTTACCCTTGTGTACAGCAGACGGCGACGTCGGTCTTCGCGTACCAAGAGAGGGAGACTCAATCATCAGATTCTGCGGGACTTCCTCGTCAGACGACTCTTCCTCCTGCTTCGGGTCGTTCTGCCGGATGTTCGGTCTCAATACATCCATCTCGGAGCCATCCCCTGACCACCCTCCTCTGCGCTTTCCATGCGACTTTGACTTGGTAACAGTGGAGAGCGTGCTGCGGTTCGCATGGCCAGCCTCTAGGTCTCCGTTTGCATGCTCACCCTCTTCCTCCTCTTCTTCTTGCAGCACGTCTTGGTCTGCTCGCACATAGCCCTGGTACGTGCGACCCATGGGGTTCAACATATGTAAGAATGGTCGCGAGCTGCTGCCGCCAGGGAATATCGACTGGGAGGCGTTCAGCGATTGAGAGGAAGACAATGGGCGGGAAGTAGACGATGTTGGTGGTGACTTGGACATTGTGCGTTTTGATGGTCAGTGATGTCTCAAAATATCATGGCAATTCCTGGAGGAGGAGAGAGACCGAGGATGGTCGATGTCAGGCCTGCTGCTTGTCCTCTGTGCGGTCGCAAGACGTAAACCCAAACCTCGGAGCCTTACGTCCTCGGGTACCCATACAAGGCAAGCCCGAGCACTCGGAGAACGCGACCACCTGCCGCGCTCGCGACTGGCTTGAGCAGGATGTCTTTGGCACTTCGCTATTCCACAAAGTCCCTCCGACAATGTCGTCGAACTGCTATCATTTCACGATCCCTTCAACTATCTTGTGCTCTCTCCACCTCAGCATTTGATCCTACTGTGCGACACTATATCTCAAAGCTAGCAGAGCGACAGCCATGCTTTTCTATGTCTGCCTCCAACGTCAATATCATGCACAAGCCTCATGAGTTTTATCAGATGCTACTGGTTGGTACACATCTGCTACATGTTCTCATACGTCTGAATTTCCTGTAAGAAAATGATACGCCGAGCGCGTCAGAGACTCTTCATTTCGTCACTGTACATTGGATCTGAAGACCTTGAGCTGGTACGCACGTACAATCACTCCAGTTCCTGTTGACATTCAATCCATCTATATAGATAAATACACTGCATGAGAGCCTCCGTGCAAACCCTTCATTGCATGTGTATATGCACCTGGATTACAACCGCTGCACACGTCCAGAACCAATGTCCACGGCGAACTTGCTACTGCCACTCCTGAGGGAATTCCCAGATCGGGTCCACGTGTGGCTCTTCCGTAGCCCAAGTTTGAAAGGGCTCATGGCAAAGATTATGCCTCCACGTTTCAACGAAGGCTGGGGCGGTACATGGCATCCAAAAATATACGGTGCTGATGACGAGCTGTTGATATCCGGGTAAGGAAGTACGTCTTCTCCTCTTACACCCAGTGCGTAACTCATCATACGCCTCATGGCACCTTAGTGCAAACCTGAACACGTCGTATTTCTCGGATCGTCAAGACCGCTACATACACTTCACCGCCCAGAATCGTCTAGCACAATATTGCTTCTCCTTCCTGGAACAAGCATCTACCTACTCATACTCTCTACTACCGTGCTCATCTCCCTCCGAGGGATACATGCTGCACTGGCCAGATACAGCGACACATCCTCACCACTTCGAGCCGAAGGCGGAATCAGCCTTGACAAGTTTCCAAAATACCTGGCGGCAAGTGTCAGGAAAGATTCTTGACCAGGATTCCGGCACAGAGGCACAATCAAGACCAGATGTTCTCGTTTTTCCTATCATTCAGGCAGGCCAATTCAATGTCCGAGAGGAAGAGTGGTGTCTCGATCAGTTGTTCACTGACCTCGGAGCGCCCGAAACCTCCCGATCCCTCGGGTATTCAGGGCCACTCACAGACCTCACAAGTGGCTATTTTGGACTGTATAAACCATATCAAGAACACCTCATCCGCTCAAGGACTGCTAGCCGAGTCTTAGCAGCCAGTCCCAAGGTGATTACCGTGCTATCCTGCCTTCTACTTACCTCCAGCATTCCAACCTCCGCTACAGGCAAATGGGTTTTATGGCTCGAAGGGTGTCTCCGGCCGCATACCTGAGGGCTACACCGTCCTCGAACGTAGATTCATGAGAGATGTGCGCAACGCTAGTCGAGAATGGCCTCATGACGAACCCCTGGAGCAACGCGCTCGTCCGGGCATACAGCTCTGTGAATGGGTAAAAGACGGGTGGACGTATCACGCCAAAGGTAGGTCTCTTGTCACCGCCACCGTCAAAATATCCGCCGATACAAATTCATGCATGCATCTGTTCAGGCATCTGGTGGCGCCCCACACCGTCCGCGCACCCCCTCCTGACTCTGTTTGGCTCCACGAACCTCAACTCGCGCTCCGCCAATCTGGATACGGAACTGTCATTCATGCTGGTGACCAACTCTCCGGCACTGCGCGCACGCCTCGCCGAGGAGGTCGACGGGCTCCGCGCTCATGCGCGTGCCTGGCGTGGTGACCAGCGCAAAGTCCGTCCGGCTTCGTGGATCCTGGCTAGTGCTTTGAGCAGTCGGCTGTGAGGACTCTGGCAGTAGACGTATAAGGGTCATGACACAATATCAATATTTACTGCTGATATAATATACTCACTAGTCTCGTTTCCAGACTTTATAGGCGGATCACGTGTGCTATTACCCAATTGGGTGGCGGAGATCTAAAAACCCCTGCACACTCTCGCCTATAAGGTCTGGTGAAATTTGCAGGGAGGGAGGGGGGTATCCATCACGCGTCACCAAAGTCACTGGTGATGATACCTCTCACGTCTGCTCACGTACGTGACTGCGTCCGACGCGCCTCACGTCTCGCGCCGCACACCTCAAAACTCAGTCGCTAGTTGATGTATGTGCATGTATGCTATGGTAGCCAACCTACATAATCATAATGTTGCCTATTCCAACTACTCATCCGAGCCCTTGGCTGGGCTCGCTACGCAGTGTCGTTGACGATTCTGACTCCGACCTGGACTCCCCGCCAGCTTCGGACTTGGGCAGCGATATCTTTGACAACCACTCGGGGCTTCTGTCTCTGCAGACGAGTACTGGTGCGTTTTTGCTGCTTCCTCACGGGCTTTCTTGAGGATGGATGCTGAGAGCGTCAAAAGACCATACGAGAACTCGGCAATAGTGGATATAGCGGAAGCCATACTACGCGACGTACTTAGATGAGACTTACGGAATGCGTCGCAGGCAAGATGCGCCGCAGGCACGTCAAGCGCCGGGGCGTGACGGATACCCCCCTCCCTGCAAAACTCACCAGACGTTAAGGGGGGGAGTCGTGCAGGGTTTTCTGTAACTCCGCGTCCAAATACAGTAATATTTCACGTGATCCCTTCTCCCCCCTTAACGTCTGGTTACGAGACTATATACTCACCTATTCTCAGACTCCTCCACACTGATTTTAGGAGGTGGGAGAGGCCTTATCGGGTAGTAATACTCACAGTTATATCCCATGTATCCTAGACTTTGGGATGGGGAATTCTATGTCAGTTGGCAATTTCCAGTAATAGTTGGCGCTTGAAACTGTATTTTTATGATGCCAAACCAGATTCTTATATTTTTATTCTGACCCAATGGGCTCAATACATTGATGCGCAAAACCAGGTGGGAGCGACCACGCCTAACATGCTTCCGTTATTACGCGCATACATCGCTGTAAACATGCAGGATCATGATCATTGCGAAAGAAAATCAGCCGCGACGGATAGGACAGAATGAGTGATGACAAAGAGCTCGAAGATATGATAGCCGCACCACAAACAGTGCCTCACAAAAGACACTCAGTAGAGCTCATGCACTATGCCAGAAAAGAGAGTCCGAGATGATCACCAAAGCCCTCAGCGAGCGACCGCACCCGCAACAGCACCTCGCCGGCCTCTTCCACCCCCGCTCCGCCTGCCATATCCGCCCCATCCCCCGACATACGCGCCGGGGCCCATAAGACCCACCCCACCAGGCTCGCCAAACGTCGCGACATTCCGCTCCCGCTCCTCTTCCCGCCGGTTTCTGCCCCCACCACGACGACCTCCGCGCCCCCCACGCGCATCCGCTGAGGGACCGTTACTGCCCGTCGATAGCGAGTCGAAAAACGACTTCTTCGGATTGTACGCGGGGTCATCCTTAGCATCCCCTGCCTTCTCCTTACCAGCGTCGTCCTTGGTCTTCTCACCCGCCTCCACTCCATCGATCTTAGGTGTCCCACGTGGCGACAACGCAGCCTTGTCAAAGCGTGCGTTTGAACTCTGGAAGTCAAAGTCTGTCGTAGGTACACGCAGATCACTAGTTTTGGGCTCCTGGCCACGACCACGACGACCGCCAGCGCGAGGAGCTGAATTACCATTTACGGTTCCATTGGTCACGCGCAGATCGCCAAGGGCGCGCTCGACAGTTTCCAGAGAAGCTGTCGCAGTGTGTACAGAGTTGTTGCGACCATTCCGACTGGTCGTGGCAGGCGATGTTTGCTGCTGTGTTTGAGTGGCCGCCGCAGAGCCAGGTTGGGGGGAGGTAGAAGGCTGCGCAGACGGTTGACGGGGGGGATAAGGCTGCTGCCGTTGCTGTGCTGGTACAGGTGGCTGCTGCGGCACCGAAGATTGCGTCTGGTAAGGTTGCTGATATGGCGGATATGCAGCAGTGTTCGCCATGGGTGCCGAAGCCTGTGTAGGAGACAGTGAGTACAGTTGCCGAAGCATAGGGTAGTGTTATGATAGACGTCAGAAGGAAGGCAACGGGATATCCACACGAGGTTATGCGCTCTCGGACTTGCGAGCCAATGGCTCGTTTACATCCGTGAATGGTTTCATCTCTCAGATTCACGAATACAGGACGGAACTTACTCCGAGGACAGCTGGATCATCGTGAACGTTCCGTCGTACTGGTTGTGGCTCGTCGACAGCAAGATCCTTCACTTCGGATGCGCGGAAAATAATGTAGGCATATGGTTCCTGTACTGGGGGAATGAACTGATCTGGCGGGCTGGTGATGATGACATGTCAGCTTGCTGCATACATGTAAGACATACAAAAGGTTCAGAAGGAAGGCAACGGAAAGATCCACACGGTTTGTATGCGCTCTCGGATCGACGAGCTGTGCTCATTTACATCCGTAATAGCTTCATCATGACGACGCCGCATATGGTAGGAGACTCACCGTCGCGACTCTGTACCCATCGAGTAGACTGCACACCAACACGATGAGATGCAAGTACATGATCAATATTTGACAGCTCACCATTAGACAACTGAATGGTCGACGCGGCGGGGTCGATGCCCGCGAGGATCCCTCTGTATCGTACATCTGAATGAGAAATAAGAGAAATGGGCTTTCTGCGCCGTATAGATCAGCAAGCGCGTCGTGTTGTGCGAACAAGAAGGGCGAACCCGATGAAACTGGCGGCCATTGGGGTGTTGTGCGAGGATGGGTGTTCAAATTTGCGAGCGCGCGTCGACAGAAGTGTTGACAGGACCCCGGCGAATCCCCCAAGAGCTCTGATCCCGCGCGGACCGCCCTCCGGGGGTCAGCCCATGGTCGATTTCGGGGGAACTTCACATAACCTCGCCTGATTCCGGTCAGTTTTGGGGGTAAATGGCATCTAACGTCTAAACATTGCAAAAAAGGCGAGAAATTGCAAAAAATCGCGCGCGCGATTGTACCATTGTCACAAGGCCGTACATAGATTTAGAAGTACCGACTACTACACTGAGGCCACTGATTGACGTGATACTAATCTCTCTACTTCGGATCTTTGCATTTGCACAAGATCATTAGACCTATAAATTCCTACTTACATGAAGTTTGGTATCGAGAACCGATAAGTAAAGTAACATAGCGACGAAGCGGTATCAAGAAGCAATCGAGTGAGACGTCACCGGTATCATTGTACCTTTCCGGCACATTTCGGCACCCGTTCCGAGACCGGATGGACCTTATGTTCGGGGGTCGAGGATCATACCTCGCCCCGGACGCCTGGTTTCGGGGGCACCTGGCACATAACCTGACCGCCGTCCGGGCCCCGTGTCGGGGGTTTGAGATGTAAGATTTTGGCTCCAGAGGCCCCCTTTTCGGGGTTTTCGAGATCAGAGCTCTTGGGGGATTCGCCGGGGTCCTGTGCTGACGGTGCTGTACCCCGGCCTCTTCCGAGTCTCCGCGGGGACACCTGCCTTTCTGGGACAGCGCGTCTCATTACACTGCCATCAGGCGTGCTTAAGGCGAGACTGCATCTCCCGCGCATTCTGCCAGTCCGTCGCCTCTCCTTTCTTACTTTTCTTTCTATTATATACCCTACTAACGTCTGCTTATGTCTGCCCCAAGACTGTATGTACTCATCGCATCGCCCCGTCGTTCTACTAATACAGTTCTAGGACCCTACGACCTCCTCCGAACATCGAGTTCGTGCAGGGTATGTTTCCATCTTGTGAGAAGCCACGGCGCGTCCACCAAGCTCTAACACGTCCCAGGCTATCCCGGCATTCCTCCTGGCGCGCCTGACCGCCCCCAAGCTGCAGTCAAAGGCGTACGTGAGCCGCTTTCTGGCGCTCCATCCCAGCCTTAACGCCATCTTGCCAGACTATTGAGTTGCGAGTCGCGCCTGAGGGGGTCAAGGCCAAATGGGTTCGCATCGAGCTCAGGAAGGTTGAAGTACTCCCGGGCGGCGGTGTCGCGAACACGTTCTTCGATTTCGTGGGCCAGAGCCCCATAAACGTGTGGCAGTCTAGCGAAGAATATGGCACACTGCAAACGGTACGTACAGGATCATGCATATGCCATACCCTACTCCCATGAAGCTCTAATTTTTACAGCAAGATTTTCCGTTCTATATACGCATTCCGGAGTCCATTCCTCCTAGCATCGCGTTGGAGAAAGCTGGTAAGAGGTCATCCGTATTGCATGTGTATGGGAGTTCGATTGGTTGGGTTCAATTGGCGCACAGTCGCCTTCCTTGCAACTCTGCATCGGGATGCCAATGCAAATTGGGCCCTTGACAATTAATGCGCCGAAGGCTTCGTGCATGTGCCATTTTGGCATATGGTACGTCAGTGCATGCCCGCATTGGCGTGTTGCAAGTATGCGGCCGGGATCAAGGCACAGGTGATTGGCAGAGCGCCATCCGACGGCCTTCCGACGTTGTGCCTAATGCGATGCTGTGACTGTCTGTGTGTCGGCCAGATCCCAACAATTGCTGTTATCTTGTTTCGTCTAGTGTATTCTTGATAAGCAACTGATATCATTTATTACAGCAGGCATCAAGTATGAACTCATTGCTTCTGTCTGTGTCAAGGGCAAGAGGTTCGTTGGCCGCGTAAGCAACTGAAAACCATTGTCTTACATGTACGCAGAGGTCTTCTACGGCGCGACAAGCCATCAATTGCGACAACTTCGCAAACGATAATCATTGACAAGCACGAGTTGCATTCAACGTGGCCCATTTACCAGCAGCCCGAGTCGCGCAACCACACTGAAGGGTCGGTTACCCTAATCGTAGAACGCGAGCGTACTTGTTATGGGCCTGGCGACCGCGTCGACATCTCTGCTATCGTCAAGACAGACTCGCTACACACTGAAATCTTGCGCGGCTATGAGTTCACTTTACGTGAGACCACTGTCTTCCGTGGAAGTCCAACATCGGGCAAGAAAGGGGCACCCGCCGTGAGGGCGGTGCACATCGGCGAGCAGCGTGTACCGCTCAACGTGACATTGTACGGCGGTACACAGCACAAGGCAGAGCTCAACATTACGATTCCTCAACAGCATACCACCGCGACAATCAACACTGCGAGGCATATTGATATAACTTATACGCTAGTTGTGAAGGCCCAAATGGGTACAGGACAGAACGTCGTGCTTGAGTTGCCGGTGATTGTGTCAAACTGGCCAAGGTTTGTTCAATTTTCATCTGCCTTCTGCCCCATTTTGATGTTCATCGTGCGCTATAGAGCTGTTTCTGTTGAAGCGATGCGGTATGTAGCACGTGGCAGGTTTGGCTATCAAGCTCAAACGGTATATACAGGCGCATAGGCGTTGCTCCTAATGTCGCCGTGCACGGACATGCAACGCCAGAGACGGCCGTTGCGATTGGGAAGCCAATTGTTTCTGCAAGCATCCTGAACAAGAACATGGCTGCATCCGATGCTGACGTCGCGATAGGGCGCCCATCTACTGACAAGTTCAGCACGGCGCCGTCGAAGAAGACAAGCGTCCCAACTGGTCTGAACAAGCCCGACGAATTTGGCGTCTCGCGGGTGGTAGAGACGGTGCACGCTAAGAGTGTTGACGGAACGCCCAGTGTCACATCGTCCACAGACCAGTCCAGCGGGTATGTGCAGACAATTGGTGGCCCGCAGGGCATCGCTAGCGCATCCTCCAGTGGTGGTGCACGGATCGCCCCTTACGCAGACGAAACCACGGCGTTCGCGCGGCCTCGCGCTAGCAGCGCACGCGCACAGAGCGGGCGGCTGACCATCACAAATCATAATGAGGCCGAACTTGCGGAGCACGCACAAGCACAAGCGAAAGCACAGGCACAGGCAATACGGAGCCAGAGCAACCGTCCCTCAACGGCACAGACAGTAGGAGGAAGTTCGTCCCGTCGGTGGGTGAGTGCTGAAGAAGAGAAGCGCCGGCTCTACGAAACTGCCATAGCGAATGTCGAGCGTGTGCAGGGTGTGCGGCCACGCAGCCCTCCTTCTGTGAGTACTCGCTACAGTGGTCCTTGTACGCGTTCTGAAGATACGGTCAGGATCAGAGCGAGGCATCAACGCCTACTCCATCCGCGACGTCGGCGGCGTCTTCACCCGCCACCAACAATAAATCGGCGAAATCTACCCGATGGTTGTCAGCGGAGGAAGAAAAAATGAAGCTCTTCAACCACGCCCAGGCGGCGGTCGCTCGTAAGCATGGCCTCAACGGCTCATCTTATGACTCACCTGCGCCCTCACTACATGGGAGGAGCGATTCGGTCAACAGTCAGCAGCAGACGGTCTCCTCTCACCACGACAGCGAGGCCGCAGGAGGTTCATCGCGAACTCCTCCGACAAAGTCCCGCACACCTCAGTTCCCTTCTGCAGACGAGGAGAAAGCTGCGCTCAGACGATACATGGAAGCAAAGGCTGCCGTTGACCGCACCCATAACGCTACGTACGGTGCGCCGCCCAGCCCACCACTAACTGCTCCCAACGCCTACCAAGCCCTTTATCCTGAACGCGTCTCACCCCCACCTGCTTCACAACTCAGCGACTCACCCCCTCCGTTCATTACTTCTCCATCTCAACCTTCCTATTTATCTGAGAAAGAACGTTTACGACGTGCCTATGAAGCACAAGACGCTGCGGCCATGGCTGCACAAGCGCCCAGCATGCCGGATATCCAGCCAGCCTTGGTGCCCTCGATGCCCACACCGCCGCTGTCTCCACCTGGTTATATGTCTAGTGCAGACCCACCGGTTACTGACGCCGCAGCGGAGAAGGATATGTTGCGCCGTCGCTTCGAAGCGCAGGATGCTGCAGCGCTTGGCGCGTTCGGTGCACCCATGCCTCCTCCGCGTGTGGGTGGGCGACCACAGCCCTCGCCGCCAGGCCAGGGTTCGCGCCCACAACCAATGCCGCCGCGATCACCAGGCCCTGGAGCACCTAGCGGATCACAACCACTAAGCGCGCTAGAGGAGAAAGCGCGACTGAAAGCAATGTACGAGGCGGAGGACCGGACCACACAAGCGGCAGTCATGTCTTCGCCCTTTGCCAGACAGGCGTCGCTCCCTCCTATGAATGGTATCCACCGACAGGATACCTTTATTCCTGACTCAATACCCCCGCCGCCTCCTCTCATGCCGCGCCCTCCAAAGGAATATATCCAAGAGACACAAGAGGAAGATGCACGTACCAAAGCACGGCTACAAGCGATCGACAAGGAAATCGCGAACCTCGCCGGTCCAATGAAAACGGAGCTCATCCTCTCATCCTTCAGCGCAGATCTGGTTGATTCCAACGGAAACCCTATGCCTACACAAGGCCCGCCCGCGAGCATGTCACCCCCGCCAAGACTGGAAATTGAGTGAGCTCTCGAGCGACAAGGAGAGATACAGTATGGGCTCGTACATCTGGCAACAGTAGCTATTCCCTCAGTGGTCGTAGGATACACTAAGTATTCGTACAAGTACATCTCTAATTACAACATGAATGACAACGGATACGGATATTTATCGCTTTCGCTTCGTCTTCGGACCGGCTGCCATCGAGTCGAGAACAGTGGGAGTGGGTAATGAAATGCCAGCAACGTCCGATTTACGCTTCTGGGGCTTGGGAATGGATGATGAGAGTGGTGATGGTGCGGTGTCTGACTGCACCTCGTCGAGGAACGCGGTGAGCTGTTCGGTGGAGGCGTCGGCAACACTGGTCCCGTCGATACGAGTCGAGGGATCGTAGTGACTCGTGACGTCAGAGTAGTCGGCACTCGGGTCAGACGAAGACATGCCGTTCAAAAGGGACTCCAGGAAGGAATCGGAATTGCTGTCCTCGGTATGGTCCAAGGGCGGCAAGAGTGAGGGATCCGCGCAAGCAGCGTCGATATGCATGCTGTTTGGGTGCATACCTTTCGCGCTGTGCATGTCGCTGAGCCCGGGCGTATGCATGCTGTTGATAGAGTTGCCCGGTGATAATGACGCACCGCCGACGACTGCCGAGTGCTCACGATCCAGCGCTTGGGCCGTGAGGGTCTGCGGGTCTATCCCGAGATCGTTGATGAGCGAGTTGAGGCTCGTCTGGAGTACATCCATGTCTGCCTCGATATCCATTGCGTCGCGGTATGATGCCTCCAGTCTGGAGGCATTATCGAGCAGTGGTTCGAAGGGCATGACGTCATCGCCAGATGATGTTGTACTCAGCAGTGGTAAGGGAGCATTGGGAACAGATAGGTCGGACCGATAGCGATTGTAGTCGTTGTATGCAGCATTGTAAGGGGTGATCTGGGCGGACTGCTGTGCACCGTAGCTCGGTGGATCGGAAGGGGCCGCAAGAGGGTGATTCTGCTGCGTCGAAAGGGCTTGCATGAGCCGCTGCATTTGCACCGGGTTGCTCAGCACCTGCTGGATTGCCGCCTGCCACATGTTATCCGCATGGCCCGAGTCGTGCATACTAGCAGCAGCAGCAGACAGTATGGAAGGCGTAAGCGTGTCCGCTCGCGAAATGTTCACCGAGGCTGCAGGAGCAGTGCGCACAGGCAGTTCTGTCGTGGAACCGTGGTTAGAATGGTTGCCTGTGCCTGCTCTTGACAATACCTCAGCGGGCCTTGTGGGGGTAGAATCAACCGAAGCGGGAGAAGGGGTTTCGGGAGCAGTGGAAGATGATGACATCGTGGGCGAATCCAACGACGCCAATTGTCCTGCGAGGCGTTGGAGGTCGTACAATGTATCTTGCAACATTGCATAGGTCAACTTACCAGCAAGTGGGATATTGGTGCCCTCCTGCGAGTGCACTGCATGAGCAACGTCCCCATCATCATCGTCAACATCGGTAACTTCGACGGTCTTGCCCTTTGGAAACCTGCCACCGTCGCCAATCATGAGGCGCTGTCGAGCCCGAGGGACGACACCGGGAGATCGTCCCCCGTCGTCTTTGTGGATGGAATCAGAATTTTGGCCGAAGACCCCTGCAAGGAACTTGAGAATGCGATTGATCGTGTCCTGGTGCTTGTCGTGCCGCTGACGCGTCAATGTCGCCTCCTCCCAGAGAAGGTCATTGGACTTCTTCAGCGCGTTAAGGTCTGCTGAAATCGCCTGTTGGTGACGCTTGATCGCAGCAATGCCGTGAACAATGGAATTTACGTCGAGAACCTGTGAATTGGTGTTCCCAAGAGGCGCCGAGGGATTCATGGAGTCGGCAAAGTCATCGTCGACATTGCTGTTGTTATTCGCAGGCTGCTTCTTCCTCTGAATAAGACACAAGAGGTCGGGCTGGCCACGGTGAAAATGTGGATGCTCAAAGTTCCAGGGTTCAGTGTCTGTGTCGCTCTTCAAGACGCCCTGCTGCAGATGTGGGATCTTGTGGAAACCATACATATTGAGCTGTCGAACGAAGGATGTAAACTTTTGGTGCTTGAACCAGCGTCCGAGCACCTCGCGGGCGAAGCGTTCATGGTTGAGGACTGAGCGACGCATTACGACATCCATAGGTGAGAGCCTTTGAGGGTAAACGCACCGTAGAACGAATCTCCATTTTCCGACCAACGAATGAGCTCGTCGTTTCTCGGATCGTTCACGATTCTAAGAGCAGGCAGCGATAAACTGGAGTGCTTAAATATGCGGAGACAATGTGACGGACGTACTCATAGAGCTTCTGGAGAAACGGCGGGACGGCCTGGCGGGCCGCCTTGCTGAGATGGGAGGACTCGCTGCGGGGAAGACGGGCGAGAGCGACCTGCTGGTCGAGAGACATGTGAGGACGATGGTAGTGGTACAAGGACGGACACGCGTCGTGTTTGTCGGTCTGTATAAGAAATAGGACCCTGGGCAGAGGCGCAGGCTCAGCCACCCGAGTGTAAGACCAAGGTAAAATCTCCGCCACAATCCAAATAAGGATCAACCTAAATCTCGCCTCCGCTTCATCCTTCAGCCAAGACCTTCGCGCCTCGGACCCATCCTTCCCACTCCGGAACCCTTAATCTCAAATACTTAGGCTCGCACAGACACACTCGAGATGTCGGCGGCAAGTTTATGAATGGAATTGCCACCATAAGTATCGGGCGAGATGCAGACCTCGCCGGATATTTGCGTGAGAATACGAACAAAGAATACGGGTCCAGATTCTGGCACTGACGTCAGTACATTCCCTTCAGTCCTCTTCCCCCCCGAGCCCAAATATCTGGTACAGCAGGTGCACCTGCCCGAACGGCCGCTCGCTCCCCAGTAGCGTCGCTGCCGCTTCGTACCTGTTATCCGGCCTTCGCATCTCCTCGCACAACCGCTGGTACGCCCCTGCAATCTGCTGCAGCACCGCCTGGTGTACCCGCGTCGCGAGGCTCTGCACCGTAAGCTGTGACAAACGTGGGGAATCAACAACTCCCGGCCCGGACAGCCAACGTGAGAAGCTGCGCAGTGCACTCTGCAGCCGCAAGGGCTGGGCAGCGGGCAGGTGCGACAATGGTTCCTATGAGATGCAATGACTTCATGAGCCAGCTTGTCGGTCCTATTGCGTCACGGAACTCACGCTTGGCTGGCGACTCTCAATCGCACTGATGGCCTCACCCAGCCCGGTTTCTCCTAGGATGTTTGTATACTGATGGCCGCGTGCATATCAGCCATCTCCGGCTGGTCAGAATACTGCAACTCACGTGTTCCTCCGTTAGTTGTAGCACTTTAGCCTCGACCAATCCCTGGATGACACCTTGCTTCTCCGCTGTGAATGCAAAAGGCTCGATGACGCTCTGCAAGTAAGCCAGTGTATTCAGCATAAAGACCGACTGGTCCCAGTCAGGCCGCAGTTTCTTCTTGTCCGCAGACCGTGTCACACAGGTCTCGATCGCAGGGTCGACCATCTTGTCTAAAATGTCCCTGAAGCCGGCGTATAGTTCTTCGTCGCTCTCATTTCCGACCAGTGACGATTCATAGACCACCATAATCTCGCGCAGCACTTGCGCATGATCGAGTATGGAAAGCGGCGGAGACACGCTCATGTCATCTATATCCTGGAACATGGAAGTGCGATCATTAGATACAGAGAACAGTGTCCATGTCGTTTATCTCACCGGAGGAACTCGCAACAATGACCTTCCCTCCGTATCAATTGCGTCATAGAACACTTGGTATGCCAATTTGGTCAAGCTGCAGCGTGACAATTTCAATTGTGCATGCGGGCATAAACAGCGGCACAGACTCACTCTTTCAGTGTCTGCGACAAAACAGTAGTCTCTCCAATCGTCCTTTGCATTGTGAGCAAATAGAATTGCAACAAATTTGCGATCTTGTACGACGTGATACTGCTCTCCTGTGATCGAACCGTCTGCTGCACGCGCACCTTGGTATACTCCAGCATGAGAACTGCATGGCAATGCGCGGGGATGTGACACACTAACCTTGAGCGGTGTGCACAGCTTTCCAACCGCGGCGTCCATGAGCTCGCTCATCCACTCCTCTTCGACGCTCTCGCCAAATGACCGGACGCTCCCGACCATGCGCCCGTCTCCCCTGACCCCAAAGAGGCCCTCCAGGAACTCACGCTCTGCCGCGATTGCCTGATGCACCCACGCGAGCATATCCCCGACGTAGCGCAGGGGATCGTGGGCGTGCAGCTCGATCGGGCGCGGGAGCCCGCCAGGGCCACCCCGCGTGAGCGCATCCGTGAACGTAGTTAGGAGCGTCGTCTGGCGCGTCTGCGAGAGAAACGCGAGCGCTTCCCTGTGTCTCGTCTCAGCGGTCGGGTCGTACCTTAAATCAGGTATAAGGATGTGACGCACGACAGGAGCTCCGGGCGTTCGCGCAGTCTGCGCACGGCCTCACGCATGGAGAGGTTGGCCTCGAGCTGGCCATCGCGCCCCATCTGCCTGAACTCGAAGCAGCACCAGCGGAATATCTTTTCGTAGGCCTGCTCTAGGTATCCTGACGTAGCGGACAAGATGTCGAGCCTGAAATTGAGAGGTATGGCGTGAGGCTAATACAAAGTAATTGCAGTGGCGCATACATACCCCGCCTTCGTTGGACCATCCTCGCCGGACATGAGGACACGGCAGTCGTCCCTAATATTTTCCGCCTTGTCCATGGCGGCAAAGAAGCGTTTCCCGACGGGCACGTCGCGCGAGGTTATTGCGTCCTTCTCGTCATCGGTTAATGTAAACCTGCCTAGGAATAGAGACACAATAGACTGGCGCGCCGCAATTACCTGTCTATGTGACAAAATATGAGATTTGAGCAGCATGGATGCGCCGCCTACCCACCTCTCTTCTCGTAGGCTACCTGCTCTGTCTAAAAGAGACTTACAGGCACCCGTCGTTTCCTCAAGCTGGGTTTGAGCCTCGTCACAGCGCAAGCGCATTACGCCTACATGTTCTTGCAGTGTATCCAGATGCTTCGAGGGCCTGTCAGTGACAGGAAGGAAGGACGCGGGATATTTTGAAATATGCAATTGCCATGCCCTCACCGCCCATAGTTGGGTGATATATCTTTCAGAGAAGCAGTACGCCAAGCCGTGGTCTGTACATTTTTTTAATCTCCGGCTAAAGAGATGTTCATACTGCAGGCTTTAGGTTTGACCAGGCGAGCGTGAGTAGCAGTGCGCAGCCGCAGGCACTGCATCGTGCATACGGGTAACTGAGATGCATAGCGCGCTCAGCGCGTGAGCGAGAATGAGCCCATACACACCTTATCCACCTCTCCAAATGCCTGGAGGAACTTGCGACTCGATTCCGCGAGTTTGCTCTCGACATCGCGTCGGAGGTTCTTTCGGGCCCTCGCGGCAATGTCCCCTGGGACAGCTTCGTGCGCAACAGTCCCGCTTGCTTGCGTTCTTGTATATGTCCGCCCCACGTCTCCCTCGTCTAGATCCTCGTCCTCCACGTCTCGGTTTACCTCTTTACCCTTCGCAGATGCGTGTGCACCCGAGGGTGGTCCATATAGTTCCGAGAGCGTGTGCAGCGCCTCCTTGGTTGCCTCATCGTCAAAGTTCGAGCCGAGTACCTTGTACAGGCGGAGCGAGATGGGGTTCTGCGCTTGTGGCTGAGATGAGAGGTTATGCCGGGACGGGAGAGGAGAGACGGAGACAGCACTCATGATCCTAGCCACAGAGGCGCCCGCAATCGACGCATTCACGAATCGCGATCAATTGTCTGCGCCACACCCCGCGCGTCTACGACCGTCTCCCCTCCCTCGGGCCACCACTCGCCGGTGTAACATGCCCACCATGTCGTACTTTGGGCGTAGCCTGTCGACCGTGTCTTTGCTTCGCCCTGCATTGCGAGGCATACCCCGAACGGCTCAGAGGGGGTACGCGACGACCACGGAATTGCCGAGGCCGCCCCCGAAGGACCTCCCTGACCCGACGACCTTTTCGTCGCCCGCAAAGGCGCGGCCGTACAAGCGGCCCCAGCGCGACTTGCCACCAATACAGGTGCCCAATTTTTCAAGCTGTGATACGTGCTGCACGGCTCACGAATGCACCAGAGGAGGTGGCCCATCATCCTCGCGTTCGGCACCGTCGGCGTCGGCGCATGGGTCACGTTTATCGCGTGGACCCACAACCAGGAGCGGCTCTCCAGCTCCGTCGTCCGCCATATCATGGACACCGTGCGCGAGAGTCCAGAGCTGCGCGACGTGCTTGGAGAAGCTATTCGTCCAGAGCCCGTTTGGTGGCTGAATGGCGACCCGCACATCAGCGGCGCGGTGAGCTGGATAATACAGACCAGAATTCCCGTTACTGTGCTCAGAACCGCTCCTCTTAGATACATCTGATGCAGGGCACCGTCGACCTTAGCTTCAGAGTGAAGGGCCATAGACGTGTGTTAGTTTCTTGCTGTGTGATCTATGAGATTGATGACCGTCGCAGAATCCGGAACGCTGTACTTCACGAGCATACGCAAAGTAAAGGGCGAACCATTCACCATCCGTACGTCTCTCTATCTACTTGAGGATTCGACTCATCAACTGCGCATGTATAGTGCGGTTCAAGGTCATTGCTGACGACGGCACGGTTGTCAACATTCCTGGCACATTTGCGTAGACAGCTTTCAGCATGAGGATAGGGATGCATTCGCGATCCGGCGCCGGCGTTCCACGGTGAGTCGGCATAAGGAGAGACGACAACTCACACATCAACTTCCGGCATCTCATGCAAACAACGAAAGCGATAGCCTAAGGAATCCAAGATTCCAATAACTACTCCAATGCCATGGCATATACTACTGTACTCTAATATCAGTCAAGAGCGCTACATCCCTCACCCCTACTCGGTCAGAAGTGGTGGCCCTGAACGGGAATCCATTAGCATCTCCGACAAAGTCATGGGAGCAACCTTAGGCTTACCTCCTCCCGCTCGCGACCGCGGATGTAGGAAGGCTCAGAGCCCTTGTTGTAGATGTCGGTCCAAAGCTCGTTGTCCTCAGGAAGAGGTGATGCCTTCGCCTCCTCAACGGCCTGATCTACTTGTGCCTTCGCATCCTTGTCGAATCTCTGACAACCCCGTATCAGTACGCAGCGCGAACGAGCAAGACGTTTCCTCACCTTGAGCTCCTCCTCTGATGCAAGGCCCCACTCCTCGAGGTAGCGCTGCAGGCCACGGATGGGGTCCTGGGTACTACGCATACGCTGGACCTCCTCACGGGTACGGTAAGTGGTTCCAGGGTCAGACATACTGCAAGAAACAAATAAAGAAAACAAGTCAGTTGGTGCTGCATGACGTGTTTGTTCTGTACGCACGAGTGACCACCGTAACGGTAGGTGACGAACTCGAGGAGAATGGGCCCATTGCCGCTTACAACCCAATCCTTGGTGTGCTGGACGGCCTTGACAACTGCAAGGATGTCCATACCATTCGCCTTCGAACGATGTGAGCATCAAGACGTAAGGATATAGACCAGAAGCGTACCTGGATACCAGGGATCTTGTCACCACGAGTGTAGTACTCAGTGTTTGACGAGCTACGCTCCGCAGAGGTACCCATACCGTACTTGTTGTTCTCGCAAACAAACACGCACGGCAGGTTCCACAACTTCGCCTGGAATAGAAGATCGATGCATTGGCTGGTGCCCCACGATAAAACTCAAACTGGCGTACCATGTTGAATGCCTCAAACACCTGTCCCTGGTTGCTCGCACCGTCACCGTACATAGTGTACGTGGCGACGGGCTTCTCCTGGTACTTGGCGGCAAAGGCGAGACCCGCGCCTAATGGGACCTGCGCACCGACGATACCATGCCCACCCTGGAACGACTCTGTGAAGACGTGCATCGAACCACCCTTGCCCTTCGAGATACCGCACTGGCGGCCAAGCAGCTCGCCAAGCAAGGAAACTACAGTTCCCCCGCGGAGCACGGCGAACGGATGCGTGCGGTAGGACGAGATGATGTTGTCCTGGCGGGTGAGCGCCTGCTCCATCCCCACCGAAATGGCTTCCTATCCACCCCATTGGGAACATATGAGCGATGCAGTGAGGATCGCCAGCAGCCAGCACACACACCTGACCGATGGTAAGATGGCAGAATCCACGAATGAGTTTCTGTCTGTAGAGAGAGTCCGCGGCTTGCTCCATCCGCCGCATAAGTGCCATCTGCTTGTACATCTTGAGCAGGCCATCCTTCGTCACCTCCAGGTCCAGACTGGGGGCGTCGGTTTTGTAGCCGCGGAAGGAGTCTTCATGGAGCTTGACCGAGAAAGGCTCGGAGTGAGAGGCATCCTGGTGCAGTTGTGTTGAGTCTGCGGCGGTCTGCAGGGTGCGCACGAAGGGCTAAAACCAATTTGGCGCGTCAGTACATCCTGTCCGGTTACTGGGCGAGTGTGTATGCCGGTGCTCACCGCGATTTTGCGGGTGCGGGGAAGGGCAGTCCGTGCGCGTGCGAGGGAGGCCATGGCGGAGGGAGAGGAGAAGGAGGGATGAGCGTCTTGCTGGCAGGGAGAGTTGAGGAAAGCAAGAAGGGACGGAGACGCGTGCCGGCCCGTCGGGCAAAATCGTCACACCACTCGTTGGGGTCGGTCGACTCGCTCGTAAACAAACCATTCACACCGCGATGAGAAAAATGCCAAAGCACGACGCGCTTGATCTTCCACACAGTCATGTCATGGCAAGTACTGCTACAGTAATTATACACTTCATTTCGCACAGCCCCGTCCTACTCTTCATGCCTTCGCGTCCCTCGCAAGAATCTCCTCGACCCGTTTCACCTTGTGCGCGTTGCCGGTACCGGGCTGCAACTCTTTGTCGACGCGAGTGCCAATGCGGATATCGGTAGCGATCCGGGGTGCGCCCTTGGCGTGCACGGCCGCATGGCAATCATGAATGGCCTTCATAACGGCTGACCATGGTCCCTCTTCGAATCCACAATGAGCCATCTGTGGAGTTACAGAGCAAGCGACGCTCACATACCGATGTTGGTTCCATAGCCACTTAAGGCAGATACATGAACGGGTTGCATGCTCAGAACGATAGAGCAACAACTTACTGCATCTGGTCGACGATTGCCAATGGATGAGCTATTGCGCTATACTATTGCGGAGGACACGCACCTTGTGAGTCAGGCCTGTCTTCTCCAACACGCGAGCGCACTCGGCCACATATTCGGCTACCTGTAGGTCCAATTAGTTCTGGTGAAAGTATCCTGTGCTGGATCGTACCGAGGGCTCGCCAGTACCGATGGGGACGAGACAGAAATCTAGCCGATAGCTCCGTCAAATCGCCGTCTATTAGTATGGGCTGTCATAGGCCCTGTACAGTACCTGCCACAGCATATAGATCTTCATTTGTTTCCGGCATGTCGTTACAGTTCGAGAGCGTCGAGAACACAATCTCGGTCCGGATGTGTCGATTATGACTGTGCGAAAGCAGGCAGCTTCTAGTCTACGCTCGAGGCACGCGCGGGGTAGCCTCACCAAGTACTGCCGACCGCTTCTCTCTAGCGAATGTCCTGCAACCGTGAAACATTTCCGACATGACAATCCCCACCATAAATCTATCGTCCCTCAAGAAGGCAAAGAACTCAGTCATCGGTAATCCCACCGCCAAGCTCGCCCTCGCTCACGATGACGCCTTCATCGAAATGTAAGCGTCCATCTCACACGACGATGATCATGAACATCGGGCATTGACCGTCGTGGAGGCTCGTCGCATGCATCAACAACCCCTCGCCGGAGGCCCACGAGGCGCAAGCCGACATCCGCACGGAGGCTGCCCATGTTATAGCTTCGCTTGCGTACGGTGCGCTTAAACCCTATGGCACGGCAGACAGAGCTCAACCATTCATTTTCAGGATCCTCCGATGCCCTCAGGACGCTCTTGAGATGCAACGCCCACCAAGCCTTTCTCTACGCCATCTCGCTCTTCCGGCCCACCGAGCCTCCAAAGCTGAAGGCCGCCTTCGCGCGCGCCCTGCGTGTCCTGGCATCGACCATCGCCGAGGAAGTCGGGCCCTCGCAATGGGGCCTGCGCACGTCGTCGGAGATCCGCGTAGAAGCCAAGGCTGCGCTGGACTATCTCTTCCAGGTAGCGCATGCGTTCCCCCCTGTCCGAGCCGGTGTGCGTAGCGCCGTTTGTAACGCCATGCTTGCAGACAGACATCCTGGACATATACCTGCCCCTGCTCGCGGACCCTTGGACCCAAACGAGTATGAACATCGCACAGCTGCTTGCCGCCGGGGTACGTACAGACGCACATCGGACCGCGGTCACGAACTGGCTCCTGCCTTCGGAGCGGCTGAAGGAGATCAAGGGCAAGCGCGGGTGGGAGAAGCCAGACGTCGCTCGCGTACCTAGTAGGCAGGGCGGGTGGGTCGTCCGCGCCCTTGTTGCACTTCTGGGCAGAAAAGACGCCAAGGTAGCGGCATTCGGTCTGTTGCAACTATGTACCGAGCTGACATGTTTGATGCAGCTTCAAGAAGCCGTCCTGTACGCGATTGCTTGTCTGGCGGAGGAAAATGCGTCCGTAGCCATTAGTCTGGCGATCCCGTCTCTGGAGAATGAAGGTATGCACATATTTGCCCATCTGAGACATTGAGAGCTCAAAGTACTGTCCTGCAGCACCTCTCTGTGTCGTGCTCTCATTATGCAAGTCACGCTCCACCGAGATTCGTCTTGCGGCCTGCCTCTGGTACACCCTCCTCAGCATGTCTGCTATCCTTTGACTAACTTCCTGGTTTTGACAGCGCGACGCGAATAGTTCGCGCTGGGCTTGCACACTCTCCGTTGTCTACGACGGACGACTCTCCTGTGTTGACCGTGATGTATGTTGTCAACCGTCTCATTGCCTCGGAGTCTGATGCGGCGCAGACCCGGATGAAAGCCTGCTACATTCTCTGTATGCTCTGTCCGTTTTGTCAGCCGTCTCTCGTTGGTTCACCGCTATATACATGCAGCCGGGCTTGTGTGCGACAACAAGGAGCTTTGTACGCTTGCGGCTCAACGCAAGTCTCTCGACAAACTGGCTGCTCTGATCACCAGCATCACACCGAGCGAGAAGACAGCGGAATGGGAGCAAGACGAGCCCGAGAGCGTATCTCGGTTGCGCGAAGCACGTCTCCCACCCTGTCATGCACACTCCCGCGACTGACGAGACAAACAACAGGCGGCCCTCATCGCGGTGGCCTCCATCTCGATGTTCGACGACGACATCCGCAGCCAGGTCACGGACAAGCTCCAGCTGGTGCCCGCGATCCAGACGTCGCTCTCGCATACGCACGTCGGCGTGCGCTATGCAGCGTGTCAGTGTGTCCGCGCGATCAGCCGCTCCGTGGCGGTGCTGCGGACGAACATCGTGGACAGCGGGCTGGGCATGGCGGCGTACCAGCTCTTTCTCAAGCAGGACGAGGACCGGCGTATCACATTCGTTGCGTCGACCGTCGTGTGCAACTTGGTGAACGAATCTTCCCCCTTGCGTGATGTGCGTCCGATGGTGATGCGGCGGTGTGTGAACTGACATGGCTTTCATTATCCTAGGTTCTTGTAACGCAGGGCTTGCTGCCCAGGCTCGTCCAGCTCGTCCATTCGGGAGACCCTGCCCTTCGTCAGAACGGTCTCTGGGCGATCAAAAACCTTCTGTATAGATGCCCGCAGGCCATCAAGCGTCAAGTCATGGACGCCTTAGGCTGGGACGAGCTGCCACAGTACGTGCCTCCCTTACTCCCCGTTACTGTGCATTACTTACGTACCGTAGCCTTTTGATGGACCCAGAGCTCGACATACAAGAGCAAGCATGGAATATCTTGCGCAATGTTGCTGACAAGCAAGACGACGTCGCGATGGTCTTCGAAAGGCTGGGTGCTGACCGCCTCCTGGACATCCTCGCGGATGCGATGGAGTCTGACTTTGAAGATGTCATACACGAGGTAACCCACTCTCCCTGCTGTATGCTCGGAATGACGCTGAGCTTGTGCGCATTCTCATCTGGCGCGAACACAATTTTAGGCTGTGTGTGCACTAGCAAATCTCGCCCACAGCACTACGCATCAAGACCTGATCCTGTCGCATCCTCGCATCTTACCCGCGTTGCACAAATGTCTCGTCGATGGCACAGCGCGCATTCGTCAACCCGCCGTGTCATGCATTGAAGAGCTTGTCAAGGGCAATCCTCGCAGCCGCCAGGCCCTGCACGATGTCGGCATTGACAGGACGCTGCGGCACATGAGCGTGAGCAGTAGCCCAACTAGAACAAACTCAATGGGTCTGCATGGTGGATTGGAGAACGACGTCAGGTCGCACGCGCGAGACGCGCTATATGGACTGGAGCACAATGCGGATATTGACATATAATGTTAGGTACATTATTGCTATCGTGTCCTGTGAGTTTGTCTGTATACAACCGCTGTCTTTTGGAGTAGGATGCTGTCCGTCGTGCTATCCAGTGTCTGAATGTTATCTATGGCTACACCTCCGGACTGAGTGATCTCTCCGAAACATTTACATCTTGCTGATCCCAATAGAGCATCAACGCTTTCCCAAGTTCCTTGCCCAATGCAAGACCCAATGGGACTGGAACAGCGTTCCCAATCTGACGATGTTGCTGCAAGATGTTTAGATGTTACAAACAGGGTGGAGCGAGATGTGTGGGAACAACTCACGTCCGCTACACGATCCGATAACTTAGTATTGACTGAGTGAAACTCATATTTGTCCGGGAACCCTTGGGCGCGGGCGCATTCGCGTACTGTGAGGATACGCTTTTGCTGAAACAAGAAGCGTGTTCGGTGATATTGACTATAAATCATATGGCGTTCAGGACGACTTACGTTTGGGTGTAAAACTCGTCCAACCTTGGAATTCGGTGCAACTGTAGTCAAGGCGGTCTGGAAGATTTGATCACCGTCGATTCTTCCATACACCCCTGGGAGTCCGAAACAATGAGGCCTTGGCGATGTGAAACATTTCAAAGAGCCACGTACTATCATATCGCTTTCTCGCATCACCGCTTGACTCGAAGAGCCTGCCCACTCTGAGTTTTGCCGGTAGACCTGTGCCATTTCAAGCCGCATCGGATCGGCTGCCCGTGGGGATTGAGACCAGACTCTTACCTTCATGATTCGCGTTCGGCGTCAAAGGAACTCTGACAACGCTGTGGGAAAGGTTTAGTGCGCAATGAAGCAAAGTAGATGGGAGAGGAGATGACGTTTCACGCACCGCTCTACAATGCGTGCAGGGAACAGGCGAGTGTAATGATGTGTGACCTCTGCACCGGCGCCCTGGCGGATCCATAGTTGATACCTACTCATGGGAGGGTGTGCGTAAGGGACAGGGTCGGTAAACCCAGCGAGTCTTGGTTCTAACGAAGGGACTGCGTCAAATCTCCTGATACCTTTTGCCAGGCGAAGACCAATCTCATCGAGGTCTTTTGGGCCTGGACGGATCTCATTGAATGGATTGACCCTTTGGAACCGATTCAGGGCTCCTCACGAGACCACGAATATGCAAGATGCTCACCAATCAAACGACGGCTACAAATAGGGTCAGTCAAGATGAACGAGGATTTTTCCCGTGCACTCACAAGGTCTGCGATGGCGTCGTTCACGGTGACTGGTAGGAGAGGCACACATTGATGGTTACTCTGGCCACTCTCTTTGTGGCGAATCGACCATGTAACAGGCTTAAGGACTTCGCCTGTCGGGAGCTTGAAAGAGTGAAACGAGCGTTTAGTGAGGTCATGCATAGGCTTCGGGAACTTAGGTAGAGGGACGCCTTGTTTCGCTCCCCAGAAAATGACTCTCCGGCGACTTTGTGCAGCGCCATAATGACCAGCATCTACGACCTTGAAATGAACCTGGTAACTGCGTGATGTGCAGCGTATTCGAGCTGCAAACCACGCTAATGTACTTACCCGAGGCAGACTAAGGCGCGTATAATGAATTTCACGACGCCCATCTTGATTCCGCCGACGATCGCTCTTCCCACTTGCCGACCTTTGAGCGGATAGAGCAGTAATCCAGGTACGTTTTCAAGCAGGAAGAACAGAGGGCGGTAGAATTCAACATATGATATCATGTTACAAACCAATGAGTTCCTAAGGTAGTCGTAATCAAGGGTTGTACGCAGCGAGGAGCGTATTTTGTTGTCTTACCTGATATCATCCGCTTTCTGTAAGATTGCATTCTTCAGCCATTACGATCAAACGAGGGCGAAGGAGACTACCTTGTAATGATTCATTATTGAGAAGCCTTGACAGGGAGGCCCTGAGGATACGTTGATATGAAGATCATTAGTCCACGAATAAAGGGAGATACGCACCCCCATATATGAAGTCGACCTCGCCTTGGGTCGGCATCGGCGGTAGCTCATGACGCTCGTCTTCACGCAAAGACAAGAGTGGCTCCGGATTGTTGCCTTCGTGAGCGGCCAGTGCATGCTTCAATAGGACATTAGAATCCTGGTTATAGACGATCGCATTAGTATGGTTTTCCCTATTTTTTTGGTTAGTATCGTGTAATCGTGCTAATCCGGGAGCATACTGGAATGTCAAAGCAGCACCAGGCGAGAATTCAACCGCCCATTTCGTTTGCACAAAGCCAGACAACTCTAGTCCTGTGGAGAGACCGCCAGCACCTGTTACGCATGACGATGAGATCTTTGATGATATTCGTCGCCTTAATGTCTACCTGCAAATAGTTCCAGTCCGCGAAGAGGGCCCTTGCGATCCAAGACTTCAACCTCGCTCTCCAGCTGGTCGATACGCTGTTGCCGACAAACTAAGCATTGTGGTATAGACTTTGTTAGGGTATGCAGGTCATCCAACGATTGCGCTATGCTATTGTTGGTGTAGAGATCTGTGTAAAAGTGATCATCGTGTTGTAGCCATTCGTCACGCCGGTCACGAGATTCGATGAAGGCGACATAGGCCTTGCCTTGTATGCGATCGGCATTGATTGTCTCGTATTCCCGCGTCCGGTACAGTCGACGCTTGAGTCAGATCAATACTATGAGGAGGAAAGTATACAAATATCACTCACATTATCGCTCACGACTCGAGAACTCGTATCATCATCATCATCATCATCATCATCATCGGGACAATTTTGCACGACGAGGTCATATCGTTTGTACCAGCGGACCTCGACCTCAAGAACATGACTATCTGCATCAAGGATGAGATTTACAAGCTGACCGATCTCAAACAGAGCAGCATTAGACGATGAACTGTGAGGCATTACGTAGACGAAGTCATGGACATGATAATCGATGCCGAATCTTGAGATCCCGCCGTCGGAGCACGGCGTCCATGTCGCTTGCTTGTCGCGGAGAGTATGCAAGCCACAGACGTAACATCGCTTCCACGGTTTACATACCCCGATGGCTGCTTGTATGTCCTGATCAGTGACATTCACAAGAGCGGCCTGGGTGCTATCCCATATCATCCTGAAGCCGTTGTGAATGATGCTGTATGACTGGGCTCATGTCTAGTATCTGAAGACATACCGCGCGAAGAACAGATCACTGGGCTCTTCTATAGGTTCTGGCTCGTCTGGTCCGAGGACGCGCAAGTTGCACCGTCTGTATATACACTCGACCGGAAGGTCATCGCATTCATTCAGATAGAAGAGTCCGTTGGGATGGGCCGTCTCTTGTAAGAGCATCTGCGAGCCATGTTGTAGCCATCTTGCATGGAAGTACTTTCGGGTCACTGGTTTGCTTCCATATTTACATTTCAGCGTCTCTTGGCGCTCGAACATGTAGGCAATCTGGCAAAACCTGTTGATCATCCGGTGAGATTGAAATTGACTACAAGATATGAGAGGCTTTCCATTTGGCGTTAGCCAGCCAGTTGATACTCCGAGATGGATCTCCTCCTGCATTTTTCGCTCTAATAGCATTGCCGTCAGCGCCCTTTTCGACCATTATTGTATCGCCGACCTAAGCATGACTGGAAATTAGCGTTCTGAATCATGTAGTTCACGAAGGTGAGATAACATGCCGAGTACTTGACTCCATCAACGATGACCGATTTGTAATAGTAAGGGGCAATTCGAGAGGTCGGGACCCACTCAATGCGTGCTGGGTCAGTATAATGCACAGGCGCAACGTCAAATTCCATCCCATTGTCATCGGATGCCTTCTCTTCCAGAGATTCCCCAGTAACTTTGAGAGTCTGCACAAATAGATCACCCGCAATACGAGCAACCGTAGGAGTCACAATTGTCCTTTCGCGGTGCAGTAAAACATTCTTTTCGATGTCTTTGAATGTCTTCTTAATCCTTTCCTTGTGGGTCGCTGACTCCTTTTTGCCACTCTGAGAAGAGACATTGAGCTCTACGAGCGAACAGATGAGAGGCACATGTGACAGAGCACGACGCAGCTGAGGATCATCAGCACATAGCATCTGAATCATGGATTCGATGTATGCTCGCTGGAAAGGGGGTCAGATAGAGGCTTGGAATAAGGTTGTAATACCTACGGTATCATCCGCGTTGAGATCCTGTTCCCCCAGCTCACGACTGAGAAATTTGAGAGCGATTCCTACTTCATCTGAGGATTCTGGTGTCACCGCCAACAATTCGACGAACTGATCCGTTGTCGTAGTAGGATCAGCGAGACTAGAGCTGATTGTGAGATGCAAGAGTCGATGTTTGATCCAAAAATCAATGAAGAACGGGTAGTACGAATCCAACGGCTGGTCAAGAATATACCAGGAATTCTGCGTCCGTATATAGATGTTGCTGACCATATCCTTTTTCAAAACATGAACTGGGAGCCTAGGCAGCCAAGTCACTTACGGATCTATTTGTAGGTCTCTGCCTCGTTTACAAGAGACGTTGTGGACATTGAATTCAATGATCTGCGAGAGCTTGACTCTTGGTTGCAGCGATGGTACTGCGGAGGTCTCACTGCCGTCGTCTCCGTCGTCTTCGTTGTCTGATGAGTCCGTGTAGGATCTCACAATACCAGAGGCGCCATAGGTAATGCCATCTTCAGACTCTGGTGTGAGACCGAGGAGCTCTGCAATGCCCACCATATGCAAACCAAACCATTCGTAGATTGCAAAATCATCGAGGACCCGGATGGGAATGGTCTCGTCATCCTGAGGGTCGGCCACCGTCTCGCCATCAACCACCAAGTCGTCTTCGATTTGCTCGTCTTCTGGGATCTCGTACCGGGGTCCTGCTGATGTCAGTGGTTCCAGATGCACTCTAGAGACGCCAAAGTCAACGAGGCCTCACTTATTGATGCATAGTCGGGTTCATGGCTAGGGGCGCATCAGAGCTTCGATATTGGAGAGCCGAAGGCCTAGACTCACGATGCGCTGACGACCTGGACATCTGGAACCTCAACGTAAGGCAAGAGATCCGATGAGAGCGAGTATGGCTTCTGCCGAGCGGACTGTCTGCAGTGTGTGCATCAATATAAAACCCCACATTTCCTGAACAGCCTCGATCTTGCCTTGGCCCCTTTCAAGTCGATTAAAGGAAGTCAGCCTAAAATGTCTTTACTTTCCTCCCTAGTTCAGCTCAAAATTGACCTTTCTAATCTGAGCTGCTGGAGATTAGGAAATTTAGTACATTAAGTCGCCTCAGGAAAATTAGGGTTTTACTTGTGTCTTCATCGTTTTCAACAGAACGAGACCGTTTCCTGGAAGATCGCGCATGGCGAATCCTAGAGGACGCCGGCATGCGAGAACGAGTGGGTCCCAATAGGAATTAAGACAGACGTGAAGAGTGTTTCGGCAGGTACCAAGTACTATAGCCACAAGAGACGTTCTCGCGACGCGTGCAACCGTCACGCTGTGACTCGACGCGTCTGTTACACCGCGTCTGCGGCCGCTACGCGCCCCTCATCTTCGTCTGTCTTTTACGATGTCGCTTCCGGTCGTGAACATCAACGTGGACTATGAAGCAGAAAAAGGTACGTTGACGTGCATTGAAAGTACATGCATTGGGTCTTACCGTGACTGCAGAGCGGATTCAAGGGTTCTTTTCCACCTTTGTCGGACAAGACAAGGATTTGGCGCGTGGAATTGCGGACATCGACATTAACAATGACGGAGGCCCACCACCTGCTAGGGAGGGGTTGAAATACATGCAACAGCTAGTATGTAACATTCCTATGTCGTGAAACTGCCGTAGCTGACGGATGCGTTAGCAACAAATAGCTAACCGTGAGCAAGAGATGCTGGTGGTTGACTTGGAAGACATTGCAGAAGTAAGTCGTACCTTGTAACCACATGACTGGCTACCAACGCGTTGATGTTACAGCATGAAAAGACGGTCGCGGAACTAGTTAATCGCATTCGTCAGAACACTCGACGATATGTCATACTGTTCAGCGAAGTGGTGGACAAGCTCATGCCGGTCCCTACCAAGGACATTAGCGAACAAGATGAAGTTATTGACGTCATCCTGCATCAACGAAGAGAGAGAAACGAGAGACTTGACGGGGCGCAGGAGGGCTTCCCGGATCATTTGCTCAGACGATAGTAAGTGCGTGTATTGCCGCATGGATTTTCTTCACTGACGTTTCACAGCAATCTCTACTTTCGACCTCTACTGTCTGACATTGCTATGGCTGTACGCGACGTCAAAGGCACTCATCTAGGCAAGCTCATTACGGTACGCGGTATCGTAACGCGCGTGTCCGAGGTCAAGCCACTGTTGAAAGTGAACGCGTATACGTGCGATGTCTGCGGTTCGGAGACATTCCAGGAGGTTTCTAGCAAACAGTTCACGCCCATATTCGATTGTCAGAACGAAAACGAATGTAAAAAGAACGGCATACATGGCTCATTGCACATGCAGACGCGAGCCTGCCGATTCAGTCCGTTCCAGGAGGTGAAAATCCAGGAGATGGTCAGTGACTAGTTGTATCCGCACATGAATTTATTGCTCACCTAGGGTAAATTAGGCGGATCAAGTTCCTGTTGGCCACATTCCTCGTTCGATGACCGTACATGTTCATGGAAGCCTCACGCGGCAGATGAGCCCGGGGGATGTTGTACACCTTGGCGGGATCTTCCTTCCCATCCCATATACTGGATACCAAGCCGTTCGCGCTGGTCTTCTCACCGATACCTACCTAGAGGTGAACTATATCTTTCAGTTGAAGAAACAATACAGCAACATGGAGATTACACCAGAGATCCGGCAGCAGCTCATTGAGCTCAAGGACGACCCGCAGCTGTACAGTAAGCTTGCGCAGAGTATTGCTCCGGAAATCTACGGCCATGTCGATGTGAAGAAAGCTCTCCTACTGCTGCTCGTTGGTGGCGTTACCAAGACACTAGGGGACGGTATGAAAATTCGTGGAGATCTCAACGTTTGCCTGATGGGCGACCCCGGTGTGGCGAAGTCCCAGCTTCTCAAGTATATCTCGAAGGTTGCCCCGCGCGGGGTGTACACCACGGGAAAGGGCTCTTCTGGCGTCGGTCTAACAGCAGCTGTTATGCGGGACCCTGTCACCGACGAAATGGTCCTTGGTCAGTTTGCTACCATGGTCCTATTCCCTTCACCACACTGACTACGTGCAGAGGGTGGTGCGCTTGTTTTGGCCGACAATGGCATCTGCTGTATTGATGAGTTTGACAAGATGGAGGAATCTGATCGAACAGCCATCCACGAAGTCATGGAGCAGCAGACGATATCCATATCTAAGGCCGGCATCTCGACAACGCTGAATGCACGCACCTCCATCTTGGCTGCCGCTAACCCTCTTTACGGTCGCTATAACCCTAAACTGTCGCCAGTCGAGAACATCAACCTTCCTGCCGCTCTGCTGTCCCGATTTGACCTCCTGTTCTTGATTCTGGACAAGCCCACAAGGGACGACGACGAACGACTTGCACAGCATGTCACACATGTGCACATGTACAACACGCACCCCGAGCTTGAATTCCAACTCGTTGATCCACATCTCGTCAGGTAAGTAACCTCCTACGGTCGTTGTGATCTTATTACTTAAGTTACTTTCAGACATTACATCGCCCTTGCTCGCCAACGGCGCCCAACGGTCCCGCCAGAAGTCTCTAACTATGTCGTTGAGTCCTATGTGCGCCTGCGCAAGGTCTCCAAAGACGAGGAGATGCAGAAGAAGTCGCACACATACACTTCCGCACGGACTTTGCTTGGTGTTCTCCGGCTTGCGCAAGCCCTTTGCCGTTTGCGGTTCTCTGATTATGTCAGCCAGGAAGATGTCGACGAGGCTCTGCGTCTGATGGAGGTGAGCAAGGTGAGCTTGCAAGAAGAGGACGACGAGGAGCGCGAGCACGACCGCTCCGACGTGAGCAAGATCTACAGGCTCATCTTGCAAATGATGACCGACCATCGGTCTGGCGGTGAGGACAAGCGGCGGAAGAGGTCCAGGCGTATGGGGAAAGGTTCCGCTGGCGAAAATGACATGGATGTTGATGGCGAAGACTCGGACGACGAGGATCTCGATGAACTGTCTTTGATCGACATCCGTGCTCGCGTTCTCAGAAGTGGTTTCACAGAAGCCCAGCTAATGGAAACGATTGTGGAGGTATGCCATAGCCCATAAAGCAGCTTCTTATGACACTGACGACTCCCTGTTTAGTACGAAAATATGGACGTGTGGACACGCGTGGCGAATAACTCAAAGCTACGGCTCATCAATTCAATAGACAGCTGAAGATAAAATGGACCGGTCGCTATACTCTATTGGTTTTGACGTCTTCCTCCTGCTATTTGTGTATGAGGTTCTGTGGTCTTGCTCTGCTGTCTGTATCATCTGTATCACATAAATACCATTATCTCCTCCACATATCCAGAACATTACAACATAACGTAAACGAGAGACATATTGTTCTTGAGACACTACCGTGTCTCAGATGCATGCTCCCAGCTGCCATCGCCGCTCCCGCTCGCTGGACTGTCCGATCGCTCCCCCTGCGGTTCGTGGTGGGTGGGTTCTATATGCTCCGACTCCGGCTCATCCCTGTATCTCGTGGGCGTGATGCCTCCCGCAGTCGACGGATCGTCGTCCAAAAATCCTGAATGTAGGTTGATGCCGGGCGATGGGCCCTGCGGGTGCAGCCGCGTCTCTTCATCCGCGTCTTCGTCGTCCGACACCTCGCCAAACGCATCGTACAGCTCTTTCGTGCGCTGCCCGCCTTGTGTGCTGCGGCCTATCGAGCTCATCGCGACGTCGTCGCTCTCGGGGAGGGTGCTGTACTGCGCCCGCCTGCGTGCGCGGCGTCGCCAGAAGAACACGCCGACAGCAATCGAGAATACGATGACCGCGCCAATTGCAACGAAGAACCACATCTGGTTCGTGACCAAATTCGACAGATCCGCGAACCATCCCTCATCCGGCGTCGGCGTGGTCGTCGTGCTGGTGGATGTCTTCGCGGGGTCCGCGACGTCCTCGGCCGGCTTGGTGGTGGTGGGCTGACTGCCGGGGAATGCGGGCTTGTGATTCTCGCCCTCTTTGTCGCCGTGGTCGCCAGGAAGGCCCGCAGTTGGCTTCGAGAATGTCTTGGTCGTAGTAGCCGTCGGAATGGGTGTCGATATGTGGCTGTCGCTGCTACCCTCCGCGGCCGGCGGCAAGAGAGAATCGATGACAGGAACATCATAGACTTTGAGGGGTTTGGTCGCGTCTTTGACGGATCCCCAGACCGTCATCGTCCAGCCAAGGAATGCGCCAGATTCGTCCTCCTTGTTCTGGTCGTTTACACGGAGAGACCACTTGCCCACTGGATTCTCATCCCTGTAACACGGCGACATACTGATCAGCCTCTTGTTTACGCAATTCAAGTCTTGAAACATACCAGTGCTTCACTGTCATGAACGTCCAACCTGGGAACCCAGTCTTGGCCGAATCCCCATAGCGTGTCGCCGCCAAAATGCTGCGTATTCCGTTCGGGCTTACAAGCTCGACCTCGACATCACCACGACGAGTATGCGTAATCCAGACTTTCACCGTAATGTGCTCGAGCTTCTCGAAATTGTTCTCGTCGAGCATCGACTGTGTGACCTCAATGCTATTCGTCACACCACCGGGTACAATGGGCTCGCCACCGGTCATCGTATGGAAGATGTTCATGCTGCCATTGGCAATCTGTACTGTCTGGAGGTCGATGAACGCCTGAGGCTTGACAAGCTGCCAGGCCTGCGCGGCCTTGATGAACTCGTAGCCGTTGATAACGCCGTAGCCATACTTGTAGCTGAAGCGGTTGCCCGCGGCCGTGGTTTCCCAGTCAGGATCATCCGGATTGATCATCTGTGCGGTCTTCACGCAGAGATGCTGGACATCACGCCATGACAGATCAGGTCTACGAATTGGGCAGCGAAATGATCAGCACAGAGCACAGAAGATATAATGCGAGCGATTTTTGGACGTACCTCGTTTGTAAAGCGAGTGCAAATATACCAGCCGCATTGGGCGCAGCAGCGGATGTACCACCATGAGAGTGAGCACACTTGTTCTTACCGCGGTCAGTGGTAGTCTACGCGGATGGCAACTCAGTAAAGCATGGAACTATCCCTACATGCTTGACCTACGATCTGGTTGCCACTTCCTGACGAGTATGCGACCACCATGTTCGCAGCACATGCTTCCGAGTAGTCCGGGTGGAGGCCGCGGTAGTCGACTGCAGCAACGGTGACCGAAAAGATACTGTTCGTGTAGCCGTCGAAATTGCACTGGTCTGCGCTTCTCCCACCGTTACCACTCGCGAAGACGAAAATTGACCCTTTGCCCTGGCGACCGTTCTGAATACCGTTGACCATGGCCTTCTTGATAAGGTATCCGGGGCCCTCCATGGACCTGCCATCATCTGGCGGTCCCCAGCTACACGAGAAGATGGATGTGTTCTGGTAGTCGTAGTTGAGCGCGGCGGACTCGTCGACGTCCGAGATAGGACCAGACAAAATACGGAGCCCGGCAACTTTCGAATCATACGCGATGCCAACACCGCAAACATCATTCTTGACGGCGGCTATCTGGCCTGCACAGCGGGTTCCGTGGTGGTCGTCGAAGAGAGTGGGTGTTGGGAGATCCAGATGGTCGTTGAAGTCGTATGAGCCGTAGGCATACTACACACATGTTAATCAAAGTGGTGCTTTAGGTCCAGACATCACTTACAAAGTTAGCCGCGAGGTCGTCACTGGTGTAGTCCAAGCCATCGTCGACTAAAGCGCTAATGACGCCCTTGCCTGTAATGCCCATATCCCATACACCCGTCACATTCATCATGTTGTGCGGGGACGCATCGTTGACGATGTGCCATTGCCTTCCAAACTCAGGATCTGTGATGCCCATACGCTGCGCAACAGATGCAGAACTCTCGATATCTCCATCCCCCCCAGGCGAGATTGGTGGAGGAGGCGCGCGTTTCGTGCGCTGACGAAGGGTCTGAGGGGCAAGATATTTTACGGAGGACACGATGTCTCGACTCCGAAGCGCATCCTCAGATCTTGCTGAGAATCCGCTCAACTGCGCGCGCGTCTGCAGGTCTTCAAGAGCTTGCATTACCGCATCCGCATGCCGCTTGCCCAGTAGCGACGACGGCTTCGGAGCACGCACAAGCCAGTGGTCTTGAAGAGCTCCCGCCTGCTCGACGATCTCTACTCCCAGCGAACTTGCACAGTCGGCCAGCGAAGCACCTGCATGAGGGTTGTGTTCCAGTACATAGTAGTCGTGTGTAGAATAATGGCGTTTTGCCGGTGTCGCGTAGACCGAGTCGTATGCAAGGAGCGCAAGGAGTAAGGTTAGCGGAAGACGCATCGGGCCTGCGCCGGTCGAGAGGGGAGGAAGGAGATGATGAGTGAGAATACGAGACCTGTGCACAACCCGACGCTACCCAGAGCGCCTGTGCCAATGTCACACTGCCCATAATAGGCATCTCTCCCATCAATCATGATCGCATGCGACACTACCAGATGATCTCAGATCACGTTTCGACCTGCTCCCCCACTTGCCGGTCATAGCCACAAAAACGTATATTGAGCACAGCATAAGTTCAACATAACAATGAAAAGAAGTATACGCAGACCATGGAACATCATGACAAGATTTCATGATGGAGGAGAATGTAGTCCTTAGCAACAACATTTTCATCCGGCATAAAGCTCGTGCATGTCAAATGAAGAGTGGGAGTGCGGTTCTCAGTCCCGCTGGCACGGTCGAGAATTCGCTCCATCGTGCCGTTGCGTTCTTGCATCAAATGCCCAACGAGGGGCGTCAGCCTGTTAGTAAGCTCCTTCAGGGCGTCGGGATATCCTTCGTTGATGTCAAGGGGGTCGATGCCCTCCAGAAGGTTACACTGACAGGAGCAAATAAACGAGCACTCCGATATCGAAGGGGGTCCAGAAACTCACGTTCTCATCGTAAACAGAAAGCTTGAGTTGGCTGCCTTCTTCATCCTCGATCACGAACCAGAATGCCCAGAGAGTGCGCACGAAACTATGTCCCTCGGGATCCATAACATCGTCGCAAGCGGGGCAGACGCGGAACGTGTCCGAAATACTAGAGCAGGCGAATCAGCCAACCATGCGCGCACACAACACGCAATATGTCTACCGACTCTTCGCTACAGTTCGTGCACCGCCGAACAGTAAATTTCTTGAGCTCTTCAGGATAAATATCGACAATACGAGCTTTGACTTGGTGTAAGTCCATGCACTTTTCGCTTGCCTCGACCTCCTTGATGCTCGTAAATCTGGTGAGTGGAACGCGAGACCGCTCGTCGAGTTGCGCAGAAGCAGCAGGGTTTGGCAATATGATCTCGCCAGAGTTAGGCGACGCAGAAAGCGTTTTGCAGGGTATAGATTGTGCGTCAGCGACTTCGCTGTTGCCTTTCCGCTGACCAGCGCTCGATTGAGGGCTCTTGTGCTTGCCACGTTTGTTCCTATACGTCTGCCACTCTTCCTTGCGCCTAGCCATCCGCATTGACTTGAGCGGCCGCAGATGATAATTTGATTCGCATAACTCACCGAAGCAACGCTGTCAACTCGAGATTGTTTGCTGTCTTCGCCTGTAGCTTGTTAATCAACCGCGCATCACCACCCAGACGCCCTGATAACTTCTTCGTCCCTCCGAACGACTTCAGCCTAAGATTGCGAATCAAGACGAGATCGCCCGGCGCCAAGTTATTGCCTGTCGTCGCTTGTCCATTGAATAGCGCAATCTTCACCACACGATCCTGCAGGCCCTGAAAAATAGGCGCGGACATGTCGACGACTGCCAAGTCCGTTCGCGACGTGTAGTCCGTCACATATAGGTAAGTGCGTTCGTCTTTTGGTGATACATGGAGGACCTGTGCGAACTTTGTTAGGACCCCACCGCCGATATATCGCGACAGATCGTACCTCGACTGTGCAACAGAAAATCCGCTCCTCTTCGACCTCATCAAACCGCTTGTGTGGGAATTCATCGGTGTGCGCTGCGACCATAGCATTGAATTTCTCTTTGCGCCTGTGCAGTATTCGATATCAGGCCGTCTATTGAAATAATCATGTACCCACTTAAGAAGTTCCGCCAGATGAGGTTCTGCTTCCAACTCGTCTTCATCTAGGCGCCGCATCTTGTTGATTTGCGACCATGTAGCCTCCCAGTAGCCTCCAGTGCTAACCTTCATCCTGCAATTACCGAAGAAGTAGTATCCCTTCCTCTCCGCAATGGCCGGCCCTTTTTCTGCAGCCGGAGCAAACAGCTCGAACTTGAGCACCTTGTCGCAGAGTTGCTTCGGCCACATATCCTTTTCGACGGGCACGATGGAGTTATTGCGTGTGTAGTCGGTAACAAAGAGCGTGTATACGCCATTCTCGTTTGGATATCCGGCCAACACCTGTGCAAGTGTGCATCAGGTCCCGAAATTGCGTACTCTACGACAGCAGACTCACCTCCACTGTGCAATCGAAGTACCCCTGCGGCTCAGCGGTCGGCGACGCATCAGCTATCAACCGATGGACTCGTCCAGAGCCACCCAAGCTATACCTACTCGTGACTTTATGTACGGTAATCGCATGAGCGTACGCCTCAGGATATATCGATTTCCACCAGTCCACCAGGTGGCGGCAGTAGCGCAACTCATTCTCAGTAGGCTGAAAGCGCAGGTTGTGGACACCAATAGGAGACGAGACGGGAGTAGAGTCATTGTCGCGCGGGTCAAATTTCGCCCACGACCAGCCCTTATAGGACGGTGCCACGCCACAAGCCGAACCCTGCCAACTGTCACCCTGTCACCGCAGGATCAGTTTCAAGCAGGCCCCGCATAGAACAGGATCCTACGTAGATTTGTCGAAGCATCAGGATATTGCCCGGCATCGCTTCCGGTAGCAACTCCGAAGCGCGAGCGAAGCAGATTACGCTGAAAGCTCCGCATTCCCCTATCGATGGATCAGTCAAGTATAGTCTTAGCTTGTTGTCTGTGGGGAAAACGTCGTGATCGAAATAAATGTCTATGACCACTAAATACGTACCACCCGTTGCGGTCCGGCTCCTTTCACCAGAAGACACAACCACACCCATGATATTGTATGATATCTTTTCCGTCAGTTTAACGAGAGGCGAATAACGACCCTCAACGGCATCATGATGTGTGAATCGAAATCAACATGTAAATCTAATGAACTGCTTACATGCTCAGTGTAGAATCCATCAGCTAACGCCTTCGACAGGTCAGGGCTGTCAGAATCAGATTTCGGAAGACGGCCGGACGAAGATGCATAGTGCACGGATGTATGTAGTGTAGGGTCCAGTCCATGAGAAATCGGAGGGACTGAGCTACCGGAGCGAGCAAGAGGAGCGAGGATCGAATCAGCGGATTGCTGACTGATCAACGAAGGAGAATTTGAGGCTAGTTTGGAGCGAGATGGTTCAGGGTCCCCGCGTTGAGCAGGAGGAGTAAGGGAGGAAATTAGTGTAGACGTCGGAATATTTGATATCGCAGAAGATTGAGCAGAAGACGAATTAGCAAGATCTCCCTCGGCGTAAGGAGTAAATTCCGCCATGGCGACATTAGATGAAGTATGCACAGGTTCAGTATGGACATGCGGCGAGGTGAGCGTCGATGGGTCAAGAGAGGTGTTCACACCAAAATTCTTATCGGTAGCGGCAATCGCAGCATCTGCCAGGTTAAAGGGGGGTATTTGGTCTTCAGGTGCACGTACGTCATGCATTCTCTGCAGCTGTTTGAGCCGTCGCCTCTCTTTCTTCAGATCCTTTTTGGAAATTGGCTTGTCGATAGGAAGCTTAGCTTCCAGCGACGCTCGCGTCAAACGTGCGTTCTCTTTCGACATCAAAAGAGGTTTGTTCGCATGTTCTTGATATGAAGACGTCTGAGGTATTTTGAAGACAGCCTGCTTTCGCGGACCTGACGAGTTCCCGCGTTTGCTTTGCGGTTTGGTAGACGTGTCGCTATTCAAGGATGAGGTCGACGAGACGCCAGGTGGAGGAGAGACACTCTTGTGTCCGTTCTGAGCAGGAGGTGTGCCTGTCCTAAGGCGGTCAATAGATGTAGAGGACTTCGACGCAGCAGGGAAAGCAACAGTGCTTTGGGTCGGATTAGAGAGCGGTGATTCTCTTTCGGGCTCTGCTCGGAGTACAGCGGCTGCTAGCGCAACAGGACCTACAGGAGTGACTGTGACACCCATCGCTGGATAAGCAGGCGCATAGTCACGTCGGCCAGTGCCCATCTGCGTGCCCGAAATATCTCTTCGTAGTGTGGCTGCAGGGGTAGCGAACCAGTCGCTCACTTTGGGTGACTTCAGTGCGAGGTCATCCTGCTCCTTGACTTTTGCAGAATAACACCAGTGAGTATGTAACATCATCATCAGACGCAATTGCTCTTACGATTCCATGTGTTCACTATCGGGTCAGCGTCCCTAGGGTTGGCCCTCTTGACCACCTTGATGACCGCACCGTGCTCAAAACTGAGGTCGAGCATTGGGCTAGTGGTGTCGAGCACACCGTCCTTGAGTGCAAGGTATATATCATCTTTGATACCAATTGCTGAATTGATGTGGCGGAGGTAGGGAGCACAGTCACCCGTGAAGACAACTCCGAACTTCGTGTCCGAAGAGCCATCCAAGGCCTCCGCGCGTAGCCGCATCGATTGGTTGACAGGAGGCCACTTCATAGACACGTGTACGTGAACAAAGCCCGTTCCATCGCTGCGGCCCTCCAGGACATCGGCGACGCGTCTCTGCAGACTTGGCTCGAAGACAGACGCGTCGGGAACGCCTGTGTCCGTGTGCTCCGTGCTCCGCGGCCGCTTGAGGTCTTCGCTGGGTGAACGCGCGTCAGATTCAGCAGCACGTTTCATGACAAGTCCTCCGTATTTTCGCGCTACTGGACAGCGTGTGAGTGCACTGCGGAGGATCAGCGATGAGGATATAGGGGAAGAAGACGCGTCGAAGGTGGGGCGCAAGTGGTCGCGGTCCACGTGACACCGTGTACTCGATCGTTCGCGGAAGCATTTCTGTGCACAGGCGTCATCTTTCCTTTCCACTGTCGCGCGCACCAACCACGATGTCTGAACTTCCGCTTTCAGGCCTGTTCCACAGAGCGCTCACGACCGCTGCGAAGGCGAACGACTTGCCCACCATTGACGATAAAACTCAGGTCGGTTAATTGCACACAGCTTTCACCGCTCGCTCACCCACAGGCAGCACACAGGAGCTCATTCAGTCCGCATTGCTTGACCTGAGGCTCGTCCAGTCCCGCGCCATTGCGCTATCACTCTTTAGCGAAAACGATTTGCTCTCGGACATTGCTACGCGCGATCTGGTTTACCTGCTGGTCCCGTTCGTATTTTCGGAGGTGGAAGGTCGTGTGAGGACTGTTGGTCCGGAGGAACGCCTGGAACGCGCGGAACATTCTCGCGTACGTGCTGCTTCTTCTCACCAGCTATTTCAGCTCACGTAGTTTAGAGACTGTACCGGGCTTTCCTGGCAAGTCTGGAAACATATCAAATCGTCCCCGAGTCAGAGAAGGCACTATATGGCCTCTCGATCCCGTCAACTGCAGACGCACAGAAGCGCAGGGAGGTCAAGATCAAGCAGTTTCAGAAGGAAAAGGAGCTTAAGGCTAGGATCACGGTATGCCTGGCTCACCATCTGTGTTCTGTTCATGCCGGCTCACCCCCGCAGGAAGTCCGCAAGCGTCGCAATCACGGCGCACCGGTCAGCGAGCCATCATCAGACTTTGAGCTCATCGCCTCCCTCCTCCCCGAATCATCCCAAAAATCCGTACCCCCACCCGCAGATGACGAGGACGACGCTGACACCGAAGAGATCCTACGGGAGGCGATCCTGCTCCTTCTCCGTCTGACATACGGCCAGGCGCACGCCCAGCTGCAGAGCCTGGAACAAGAGCTCCAGCTTCTCCGTAGCGCACCCCCGCCGCGGCCCTCGCAGCCCCCAGCGGATCCTCGACGCGCGAAAGAGCGCCAGGTTGATAACATGTGGCGGTTGGACGCGCCAAGGCCTCAAGGGGGACCCGACGGCAAGGGCCCATTACTGGATCCTAGCGGAAAGGTGCGGATGAGTTTCTGAGCCTGTGTATAATCGTCATTGCTGATGTCCGCCATAGCCTCTCCGACCGTTTACTATTTTACCCTCGCAGCCGGATCGTGCGGAGCTGCAGAACCAAGTGTTCGGCCCGGACCATCGCCTACCCACCATGTCAATCGACGAATACCTCGAGATCGAGCGCGAGCGCGGGAACATTATTACAGGCGGAGGGTAAGCATCTTGTCCATCTACGACATGCACCGACGCTGATGATCATGCAGACCCCAATCAGAAACGAGGCTCACTACCAAAGAACAATTGGCACTCGATGCGGAGCAAGACGGCGCTGTGTTCGGTGAGGAGAAGGCGGAAGAGCAGAGGCAGCAAGACGAGAAGTGGGCACAGTACACCGATACGCACCCACGCGGCGCCGGCAACACACTCAACAGAGGATAATATCGACTGTATTGAGATGTGTGAACAGCGGCAAGAAATACTGATAGCAGATAACAGTAGTGCAAACTGTATTACTAGTCCCTATAATCCGAGCACTTGAGCTGTACAGCGGGATGCTGACCGGCAACATACACGAGTGTACAACAGCATGCCTTGTGGGTACTTTCAAGAGTAAGGAAGCACCCACGAAATACAAATACTCAGACAAACAAATACGGATATCAAACTCTCCTCCTGCGTGAAATGTCTCTACTAACACTGGCATGCTGATGCATCTGGGACGTCGTTCGTTGATGGTGCCGTAACGTCGATTTCTAGAAACCCAAACAGGTCGGCGCTGACCCAATGTGTAGCGATGGACAAAATGTAACATACTCGTATTTTGCGTGTCCACAGCTTCGGTCTCCTTCTCCATCCCGACCAACTCCATAGCGATCTTTTTGAAGAGGGACTTGACGTTATGTCCGGCCTTTGCAGAGGTCTCCATGAACATGATGTCAAGCTGTGCAGCCTTTGCGTTGGCCTCCTCCAGGGTGACTTGTCTAGTGGATCAACCGATCAACATGGAAGATGGAGACAATGAATGGGCAATGCCGGTATACCGTTTGTCTGACAGGTCAGCCTTGTTGCCCACCAAAACAATGATGACGTCGTTCCCTCGTTCTGATCGGACATCGTCTATCCACTTGGAAGTCGACATGAACGACTGCCGATCTGTGCACAAGGGTGAGCACATTCACGTCTCGTGGGGTGCTGGTGCCTTACTTGTGATATCGAACACCACAATTGCGACGGAACAGTCGCGGATGTATGAGGGAATCAGCGAACGATACCGTTCCTTCGGACCACTTTATCATCATGCTAACATGACGTTGGAAAAGATACTCACCTGCCCTGCGGTGTCCCATAGCTGTAACCGCACAGTTCGGTCCTCGAGGTACATGGCTTTGCTCAGGAAGTCTATGCCTATGGTCGCCTGGTAGGTGTTGTCAAACGTGTCGTACATGAATCTGTGTGCCGTCTCGATGAGCTCCCGCCCGCGTTACACATATATCGCATTGGTACCTATGCAAGTGCGCACCTTGTGATTAGACTGGTCTTGCCGACACTCTGGTCTCCTAGGAGGACGATCTTGCTGCGCTTGAGGGGTGGGGACGAGAAGTCGGCGGTGACGGGTGATGTGGCCATGCTGGTAAGTGGACAGTATCAGCGAGACTGTTTGTGGTCCCAGGAAGGTGGTCAGTGAGTGGCAGTGGTGTGTGTGTGCTCGCTGTCTGGGTCCAGTGCCTGACAGCAATCGTCAGCACCAATGACCGAAGCGCCCTGTGATGATCGGCGGGTGTATACAGGCACGTGAGCGTACCCCGATCGCGATGGGATTATCCGGAGAAAGTCAATTGACTCTGCATGTCTCCCTGCGAATTCATTACCGTCCTCCCTGGCCCTCCCAGGCTCTGCCAGCACAATGAAGCTCTGCCAGAAAATCGCGGGATACAAGGACGCGCGACCGTTCTTCACCTTCGAATTCTTCCCTCCAAAGACTGACCAGGTTCGCAGCCATGTCATGTCATGCTGTTGACGCTGACTCGAGCTCGTAGGGATTCGATAATCTGCTCCCGCGCATATCGCGTCTTGTCTCGCTGAACCCCCTCGCGGTCAACATCACATGGGGTGCTGGTGGGACTACCAAAGACAGAAGTCTTGAACTCGCAGGTATCACGCAGACCGACCATGGCGTCGACACCATCCTTCATCTCACATGTACGAACATGAAACAAGGGCTGGTCGATGACGTATTGAGGGTGAGTGGACGTGGTTTCAACTTGTGTGAATCAATCCCGACAGCCTGCATCAGGATGCGAAAGCGAGAGGTATCCAGAACATATTAGCCCTCCGCGGTGGTACGCCAATCATTATCAACATATGAGACGATCGTTTGACCACAATGTCTCAGATCCACCCCGTGGGGAAGAGTACTGGATCCCTACAGACCCACGCTTCACCCATGGTGCAGATCTCGTCTCGTACATCAAATCCTCCCCTGAGTTCTCTTCCGACTTTTGTGTTGGAGTGGCAGGTCTCTCCCCATTAGTGTACTCTCTGCAACGCCACTTACAGCAATGACCGCTAGCATACCCTGACGGCCACCCTGACAGGGAGACCGACGAGGATGGCGAATTGGAGCACCTGAAACGAAAGGTCGACGCAGGCGCCGACTTCATCATCACACAATTATTTTACGATGTCGATACCTTCCTGCAATGGGTCAAGCGCGTCAGACAGAAAGGTAAGTAGATGTTCCTGCACCTGCAGTGCAGTCTAACTTTGTCCCCCAGGCATACAGGTACCTATCATCCCAGGTATTATGCCAATACAGACGTATGCATCATTTCTGCGCATGACAAAATTGTGTGGAACGCGCGTACCACACAGTCTCATGTCTGACCTTGTACCGCTACGAGTACGCTGCATCACCCTGAGCATTACTATGATCGAACTGACCTCTTGCCTTTAGCATGATGATTCGAAGGTCAAGGACTATGGCGTGGATCTTGCCGTAGAGATGATACGCAAGCTCACCACCGACGGTGACATCCGTGGTGTCCACCTTTGTACACTGAACCTGGAGAAGAGCGTAACTCGTGTACTGGAGGGCCTCAGTTGGGTCGGTGGAAGCCTTAAACCCGCCAATAGACTCATTGCGGTGAGCAAAACAGGCTTTCATGTAAGGGAGGTGGTGTGCTGACACTAGATGCTTCAGGACGCGTCCATTGGTCCAGACGCAAACCTGATCATCACACCACACAATGCTACCGATTCCGCTGCCATCTCCCTGGCGGCTGCCGGCCAGGGTCCAGACGGCGAGGCAGGTAAAGGAGAGCTGAACAATGCTGCAAGCTGGGATGATTTCCCGAATGGACGATTTGGTGATTTCAAAAGTCCAGCGTACGGCGAGACTGACCTTTGGGGAAGCTCGATCATGTCGGTCAGCTCGTCCACGTCCACCTTTCAGACCTTTCATCACTGACATCTCAGCCGATTCATTGCAGCGTAATCAAGCCCTTGAGCAATGGGGCCACCCCAAGACGCTCGACGACCTTACGACAATGTTCCTGCGGCATCTACACTCTAAAATAGCAACAACGCCCTTTTCGCCGACGCCACTCTCTCCCGAATCGCTCATGATAATCCAGCACCTCGAGCGACTCACGCGCCGCGGCTGGTGGACTGTCGGCTCGCAGCCTGCGATCAACGGCGCGAGCTCGAGCGATGAGGTCGTCGGCTGGGGCCCGCGCGGCGGGTATGTCTACCAGAAGTGCTTCGTTGAGTTCTTCTTGGAGCGCGCAGACCTCGAGCGCATTGAGCGCAAGATCAGGGACGAGGGGCATGGATGGGTGGATTACTTCGCGGGAAATGTTCAGGTAGGACTGCCGTCTTTCTTTCAGCCGTTTGCAAATATAACATGCTATCTAGGGAGAGTGCAGAACAACAGTCCCCGAGGGCGGCCGTAACGCCGTGACATGGGGTGTCTTCCCTGGGCAGGAGATCGCCCAATCAACCATCATCGAAAGGGAGTCGTTCTTGTCTTGGAAGGTCAGTGCTTTACTCCCGTTTATGGACCGACGTCTGAGAGTTGCAGGACGAGGCATTCTCGATATGGGCAGAATGGGCATCGTTCTATCCTCCAGATTCGCAGGAACGACGGTTGTTGGAGAGCATACGTGCCGAGAGATGGCTCGTGAGCGTTGTACATCACGATTACACGGACCCCTCTGCGTTGTGGACGTTCTTGTTAAAAGGCGACCCGGTGCTGTAATGACGACTGTGGCTCTTTCGCATCAAATCTACAATGTATCGCATAGTGTATCCTGCAGTTCAACCCTGCAAAGCCGCAGCAAGAGTATTGTACAGTCCCGATTTAGACGTATTAACTGCGAGCATCGGAGTTCATCTTTTGTGTACGACTATCGACCAGTGTTCCAAGAGCTTGGCAGTCAAAGCTGCGGATTCCCATGCAGTAAGTAGCCTCTCCTCCCTCCACGCCTCCATCCCCCATGTCCGGACGAAGTCGTCACGGACGAGCGGATCGATTTCCAGGTCTTGCACGTAAGCATTGAGGAATGTTGCACGAGCCTCGGAGACATTCATGAGACGGTCGACGGTGAGAGTGTCGGGACCGGAAATGAGCAGCTGCAGAATTTGCGGAACAGAAGTGAACAACGTTGCAGGAGCCGTGCTAGAAGCGGTAGATCGTGCCGTCCGATCGGTAACAAAGACAGCTTTAGTCGCTGCGTCCGCTTGTACGCCTGGACGGTTGCGATGGATATGACGACGAGGGAGAAACGGAAGCACCGCCAAGACAAACAAGGGACTTGACAGAGACGTCGAGGAGGCGCACGTAGTGAAGTTGATTGTCAAATGCGTCCCAGATCGCAGGGACTTTTTGAATTTCCGCACAAAGCATTCCAGATGAGAGTAGGGCACGCTGTCGAGGCATATGGTTTTCCAGTCGGCGAGAGCGTACGACCGCGACAGCAAAGTTGGCGGGGGAGGCACTGTTTGATAATTGGTGACGAAAAAGTCGTGGAAGCTACTGGATGTCTTCGGCTTGTGCACCAGCACCAAACGCTCCTTCAATTCATCTGGATCTGGATCTGTCATAATCACTCTCCAATCTTATTGAAAAGTGCATATAGCCACAAACCAAACATTTCGCCGCCATTGAACTTGACCATAGTATGAATGTGACAGGTTATACCTTGATCTGAATGACCGTACGTACTGAATGATCGTAAGCAGTCGCCTGAGACGCGAGCGTCCATTTCAAAATCTCTCCCCACCAGGACCACTCAACGACCAGGCGCACAGTCCAAGAGTCGAGACACAAGGTCCCCGATAGGAGGTCGGGCAGGTCAAGTCGGATATCCCTGAATTCCACAGCGCCAGAAATAAGGTCCTCCAGCAGAACACGCAGCGGCAGGTCGATAACACGCTTTTGCGAAGAGGTCGCACGACGAGCGACGGAGACGTAAATTGGAGACCACAAAGAACAAGTCGGCGTCAAGAGAACGAGCAATGCTCGTAGAGCCATTCGGGTCTGCTGCATCCTCTGGATCTTGCATGAGGAATGTCTAGAAGACCTATTGAAGAACATAGTGAGTAGAAGACCGAGACACAGTGCCGCCAGGACAGTATATGCGCTCAAGGATGCTATATCATAAGGTAGGTTTTCAATGGCAAGCTTGTGGATGATCTTTAACGAGAAGTTATAGACCAATCGAGAAAATCGAGCAGTGGTCCGATAGAGCGGCTCAAAAAAGCGTCTGAGTAGCAAAGCCTTTGATAGAGTCATGTCGTCTTGTCCAAGAGTCCAGAGACGAGTGTGTGTGGGACAGTTTATGCCGAATTAGCGCTGGATATCAATGACACCGTATCGTATAGAATATTCGAGATCACGCGAGGTTATAGATAGTCATAACTGCAAGATTCACATTGAAAACGAGCGGTGCTATACAGTCTGGCAGATTCAAACGGGGACAAACTATATAAGTGATCAACAGCAAGGACAGAGAGGAGATCGTCGACGATGATACAGACACAAAACAATATAACAAGTACTAGTACCCAGCCCCCGAGCTACCCACCGCATGACGCATCGACGGCGATGGCGAGGCCAGCGGCGGTGGCTGCGGAGAACGTGAAGGAGACGCTTGTTGTTGCGTCGCACCAATGGAAGCATTCAACAGTTGCTGGGAAGGCGACAGCGGTGTAGACAGACGAGCGATGGTTGCTGGCGACAGCCGACCTTGCGCCTGGCTGATCGCATGGCTCATTGTCGGCACTGTTGGCACGGCCACCCCTCTTGACATATTTGCAGATGGAGCCCGTGGAGGTACCCCAGAAAGTGGCGGCGACATAGCAGGGTTCGCGACTCCGTCCATGCAGTTCGCTTCCGCAACATTTACGGACGGCGGTCGCTGCTGGTGCTGGTGCTGTTGAGCAAGGTATTGCTGCATATGTCGCTGACCAGCAAACTGCTGCATATAACCGGAGGTGTTGGGAATTATGTATGAAGTAGGCGTCCGGATTTGCATGTTGGTGTTGTGACTTTGGATGGCGTTGTCCGCTGTAGACGACATCGCGAAGGCGGACTTGAAATTCGGCATTTGCTGTACATTGGGCCGCGAACTTGGATGCATATACTGAGGGGTGGGCATAGGGTTGGAGTATGAATTAACGGGAGTCATATGATAGCCGTTGTGCATAGAAGGCATAGATATCGGTTGCTGAACCTGGGTCTTGGCGCGTACAGGCGAGAGAGACGTTGTCGCAGATGAAAGCGCATCCGGCTGAGATTGATCATTCGAAACCTGCGTGTGACCATTAGGGGCAGGGGAGCGGACGGTTTGGTCGACGCCGTCGGTGATTTGCGCAGCGCTGTCGTGCGTGCCGTTGACGTGACCAACAGGCACCGATGGTGTATTATGAGGGGACGTATGGGATGTTGAGATGGCGGCAGGCATGCTTGGGATTGTGGGAAGGCCCGGAGGTCGCATTGCTCCGTTCGATGATATGCGCATGTGAGGCACATTCGGAGGCGCTATGTTCTTCAATGACGTAGCCACAGACACGGGGGTTCCGACGGAAGATAACGACAATGACGAACTTGCGGAATGCACGGCCGAGATGGGCTGACCGAGCGGTATTGGTGATGGTCTCTGCGACATCCCCGGGATGTCCTTGCGATTCGTGAACCTGAATGGTAAATGCGACTGGGGACGACCGTCACTTGACGTGGTCGTGATAGTTGCATCCGTCGTCAGGGATGAATAATCCTGATCATTCAATAGAGCGACGTGGTGTACCAGATATCTGATAAAGCATGAGCAGGTACTGGTGTGAATGAAAGGGTTGATACATACTTCGTCGAGAAATCATCAAGTAAACCGCGGTCCTTCTCCTCAGATCCATCAGGACCAACAGCTGGAACATCATCCACGTCGTACCGCCACCGCTCTGTGAGTCTTCGAACGCGCTCCTGTGTTTCGTCCTCGTTATCGCCGTCCTCGGCGAGAAAGCCTGACGGTGATACATGTCGGAAGACTGCACATCGGTCGAGATGAATGCGGCCTCCACGCCCAAAGCGCAAGCGGCCTGCCCGAGGCGTCCGGTCATGTTGAGCTATCTCGTTACCTTTAGATGCTGCTGAACGTCGTGCAGCAGTAACGACCTTGAAAAGCTTCGATGCATGAGAAACAGGAGAAGGCTGGTATGGATTCTGCGCGGCGCATGTCAGTCTCAAGCGGAACCACCAATGACGAAGCGCTTACGTCGGTTGCATCTTCCCAACCATGATCCTTCTCTTTTCGCTGAGACAGCTCATCCTCAATCTGACTCTGGATCTGTGCCCACCGCTCTTTGGGTCGAATCGGGGGCTCCGTATGAGTCGTGGGAGAAGCAAGATCACCGTTCTCTCTAGGTCTCGCCAGTTTGAGTGGAATACGGCTATGTACAAATAGTGAGTTAACGAACAACACATCTGGCAAATTAACATACGCGGTGGATTCGAGTCTCGGCTTCTTGGGCACCCGCTCCTTGTCGTAGAAGAGGTCATCGTCCTCCTTGGAGCACAAACTCGGATACTTCCGCTTGAATTCCGCGAGAGTGAATCGCTTATCCCACACAGTGTGTGCGTGATGGGCAGACTCGCGTTTCGCCTTCTCGCGTCTCATAAGGAAGTTTGACAATTTGAGCGCTTCGTCTAGCTCGTCCCGCAAACGGGTCAGCTTGTCCGAATACGTCACTTGTTGAGCGCGAGTCTTGCGGACGGCTTTGATTTCTCGCCGTCTGAAACAGATGTAAGACTCATTTTTGCTATCCGTTTCGTCAAGCTGTGATAAGAATTAGTGAGATCATGGCGACTCGCGACGTAGCATTTCCACTGACATTAACTGTGGGTATGATCGGGTGGCCGGCACGCTCAATGCGCCGCTCACGCCAATACGGATAGACAGTCCGAGCCAGTCGCAGAAGCTGGGATGGAGGAGGAACCGAGGCTGGTTTAGTGAATAAAGCGAACGTTGACGGTGGCAAATCAGTTGTGAAAGTATCCTGATAGTCTGAGAACGGCGGAAATGGTGTTCCCTGCTCGAGTCCCTACAATGGTTCGATACATATCAATGATATGGCGACGAGGCACAAAAGGACTGACATGGTGCAGAAACTCGGTCTTCTCATGGGTTACTTTCTCAAATATTGCCATAACCAGCTCGAACTCATCTTCCGACATTGCGATAGGCTGGCTAATCTCAGGGTCTTTCCCTTTCGCCTTGGAACTTCGCCCTGAGCGGGTACTCGTGCTTGAGACTGAGCCCTGCGCACTGGTACCCTCTCCACGCGCCTCCTCATTGTTCTTGTCAAGCCACTCTTTGTCGCGCTCATCCATATAAAAAATGAACCCATTTGTAAGGGAGAACGAGATGGATTCCTCAACCGTGTCGGAGAATTTGACATACGTCGTGGGATCCTTCCATCGTCCGGAAGGATATAGCTCTTCATAATTGCCGACGATCCCAGTGCTGTCTGGCGTGGGAATATAGGCAGCCGGCTCCGTCTTCTCCTTCTCTGACGCCGCTCGTGTCGACCGCGCATGAGCTTGATGGCGAGTGGCCGCTGCCGACAATACCGCCTGGAGGTGATGTTCCTAAAGGGGTAAAGACATTGCTGAGTCAGCATTCCATGGAGCACATTTCCCACGCTTCCAGCCAATCACAACATGCCACACAGGCGTCGTTCAACAAGGGCGCACTGAGAACGCACGACGAGGATGTTGGGACTCACATTGGCATCCTCAGCATCGACACCGGCGGTAGAGACCACCCTGATCTTCTCCTCATCTTCATCGAGTACGATCGGGTCGGCATCGATGCTCTCAGTGATGACCTTGAGGCGGGTTTTGTTAGTGACGCGATTGCGGTTTCGAAGGGTTGAAGGGCCGGCGTTGTGATTTCGGGGCATATCATGGAGTAAGGCGAGCCTTGAGGTAAATAAGACGGAAACACAGCGCGGGCGGGCGAGGGCGTGGGGGCGGCGACGACCAGTGGCGCGGTGGCGATGTGAGCCGGAGTGGAAGCCGGCACTTTGCGGACCGGACCGCTTTCAATCGTACCGCTGACATAAGTGATTTCCAAAAAGGGGATATCATCATCTCGAGCGCCGGGCTGGCATACTGGCTCTACGATTTGTTACGCCTACGCGTACAGGAGTAAACTCTGTGCAACTCTCAATACATCTAAAAAAAGAAGTATATTAGCGATGTTTCATAGTATGAACGAGTGGCAAATCACCCGGCTACGCCACAAGGCGTAGCAGAGACCATCGGGGGAGTGCTCACCATTCACGCATACAACCACACGACTCCATCTCCATGACTCTCTCGTCTACAACACGGTTATCGGTCAATTCTGAGGAGCCTTATGATACGAGCTGCCATCGCTGTGAAAATTTGACGCATGCCCACAACGACAGGGTCATAAAGCTCTTGTCGACGAGCTACGGGAAAAGAAAATGCCGACAACCAGACTCGTAAGCGTAGTCGCGAGGCATGTTGGATAAAGATGAAACACACCTGTGCGCAAAAGATGCCCTCGAGATGGTCACCCATGTAGGGGGGCGATCCCCCTCGATACCATTCTGCTCACCATCCTGGTTGAAGCTATGAATGGTTTGCGAGAAACGCTACGTTAGAAGCACCATCGCATGCAACGAGGTATGGGGAAAGGATGCGTAAATGGGTAGAGGGTACTGGAAGCGACAAAGCCTGCCTCCAGGACTAGACGGCGGACTGCGAGAGACCAGTCCCCCACCTCGTAATGGCGATATTAGGTGACTTGTGAGGAGGGAAATGCCATACTAGTCATCGACGACGCTGTGGGATGGCTCCCACGGTGAGCAGCGACGACAGACTGGGGCAGGCAAAATCGACGACGACAACAAGGGAGGAAGGGATGTGCGGCTTGGTGTCGCACTCCGCACCATCTGCCCCATCACGTGATTCGGTATCTTTAGCTGCCGGATCTGAGATCGGATCATCAGGGAGATGCTCAGCCTCAGCTGCCTCACTGAGCGGAGGATGATGATCTTGGAGTACTGTGCAGTCGGTAGGCTCTTATTATGTGTTGAAATTAAAATATTTTCTGAATGTGAAATACGAATAAATGATAGTGTACACGTTCTACATACTACTCTACATGGGATACAACACAAATTATCCAATCACATCGATTAGAGAATCTCTTCTGTACGTGCTTTGGTTCCGTAGATGGCGTGGCTTGATGACCAGCGGTCTAATCCACAGCTTGATATGGCCGCTCCTAGTAGCAGTGAGGATACCGCGCGACGTGAAGAGTATGTTAGCTAACATCTCGCTCCCCATGTGCTTTACCTGAAATCAAAGAATCCCGTTAGCTGACGCCTCGCAGAGTAGAGGCCACGTACCAAGACAGGCTGTACAACTGCAACCTCATTGCGGGAAGGGGCTGGATGGTAACGAGGCATAGGCGAGTCTGCGCCCGGGACGGATAGTAATAAGGTAGATTCGCCTCGCCGGCGTAGTGCCAGCGACACTGATGAGGTCATTGACAACCTTTGTTGGTGAGTAGTCTGAGTTACAGGTGTGTGAGTTAATGCAGCAGTAACAGACGATGGTGGTCACACTTTTGGTCGATGCAAGGCGCCACTTGAGAAATCCCACTGTACATGACAGGTATATTCAGCTCCAGTCGACGCCCGAAATATGGGTTACATCACGACGTACCAGGATCAGTTTGTTATCCTCCCCCACACTACCAAACCGGTATGTGCGGCCATCACAGCGAAGGTCATCAAAGGCTAGAGCAGACACGAATGATGAATGTCCTTGACACCTTGCAATTACTCGTTGTTCCCAAGGGGAGAAAATAGTGACCAGATCGTCTTGGCCTCCCGTCTGTGGTCCATCCATGAGTGTCACATTGGGAAAAGATTGATGAGTGACATACCAAGATAAATCGGCCATCCGGTGACCATGCTACACAACTAAGCGCGCCAAAATACGATGCGTAGCAGTCAACCAGTCTTCGTAGAGATTAGGCGTAGCATCAAAAAAATACTTCTGCGAACGTACTGTTCCGCAACGGTATCAATGATTCTCAAGCAACCATCCTCTGAAATTGCGGCTACAAACTTGGCGTCGGGCGAGAACACGAAGTCTACATCATTCGTGTCAATCCCGCCTTCGCATCGAAAATGACTCCAAGCTTACCTACAATACTGCGTCGAGAGACTTTCCAATGACTGACCGGATTCTTAGCAGTCTTGTCTTTGTCTGATTTTCCAACAATCAGAGCACCTCCAGCGGCGACGGGGTGCCATGGTGGCATCGTCACGTAGATGCTTTCGAAGGGATCCCATTCTCCCTGCGATGATGAACCATCTTGGGAGGAATTGATGCTTGTTCCCATTCCGGTACCTGGTTCTTTCGCGACAAATGCTCCATCTTCACGCTCCTTGTCATAGACGAGGATGGTACCGTCTGCATGTGACACCAAGAAGAGGTTTGCTGAGTGTGGAACCCAGCGAATAGCTGTGCAAGGTGAGTTGCAAATTCTACCCTAGAGGAGTACTTGAATACGAGTGGCGATGAATACACGGAAGTGTGTTACCTGCTTGTTCAGACGCCCATATCGAGTGGAGATGGGATCTAAACCTCTGTCAGATGGACTATGGCTCGTTTAGATATACGCTCACCGAACCACAGAATATCTCCCGTATTGAAGCCTATGATTACATCAATACGTTCGGGGGATACCGTTGACTGATTGACGTCGTGGCACGTCGGGTGTGCAGAGAAATGTATCCGTGCAAGAGGCTCCTGCCCTGCCACAGTCAGATTCACATCATACCAGTGAAGAGTAAACGTACCTTCGCCTTAGCTCCCGCTTCTGTCCAGATAAAGCTCTTGGCTGAGTTGTTGAAGAGGTATGTCGCCTCCCCCTGTTTTGACTGCAGAGTCTTGTGTAGATTATCGGCATTCTGTAGTCGCGTGATGAACGTCGAGGACGTGGTTCGCATGTTGTGTTTGGGGCGCGCGGCTGACTTCTTCTTGCCTGCCGCGGGCGCATTGTGATGAAATATGGTGTTGGGAGAGTCGTGGGGCACGATGGGTGATGCTTTCGCGGTCTCTGGTGGTGGTGCGGTCGACACGTCCGGAGAGCCCTCGTCCGGGTCCTCGCTGCTGGAGATGCTCAGACCATCGTCGCGCTCTTTAGAGTTAGCGGCCTTGTCCTTCTTGGGCTCTTTCTCGCGGTTTGCGCCCAGCAGCTGGGAGAGACCGGGGGAGTTCGGGGACTTTGTGGCAGGGTAACGAACGGTGACGGCAGACAGGCGTGCGGGGAAGAGGATGGGGACGGAATTGACGGTGGCCTGTGTAGCGCCAGTAGGCTTGTGTTCCTCTGTGATGGAGTAAACACCCTCTGGCGCGACAAACGTCGAGTCGTTCTCCATTACTGCACACGGAGGCATCAACCGCCAATATTGATTTCAGGCTCCCGAAGCATCGCGGCGGGCGCCAGGCCAGTGATCGGCATCCCAGGGGCTGCAATGATCGCAAGCTTCCCGTGATCGTTCAGTGTGATCATCATGTCCCTCCTGCTTCGTCTCCGTCGCCCATGTTCCTCTCCAAACCCCACCCAGGATTTCTAAAAGCCGTCGCAGTGAGGCAGGTGAGCGCACACCCATCTCAGCTAATCCGCCCCGCCTCAGAACTCGCCGTAGCGTTCCTGCCGCCGCTGGTATTCCACACCCGACCCCGCCTTCTCGGCTTCAGGACACTTGCCGTCGGTCGCCACCTCGGCATATCTGCGGGCAACGCGCGACTCTGCCCTACGCGCACCCGGGATACGATGGACAGACGACGGCGAGACAGGCTCTTCGGAGAACCTCATCGCAGGGCGCGAAACCCGCAAGATGAACCTGTACCAGGCAGTTCGAGATGCATTAAGGTCGGTGAGCAAACCATACGCTTCGCATGATGCCGTGCCTGGAATAATACTTAGTAATGCGATGATGCGGGACGACACTGCGGTAGTGTTCGGCGAAGACGTTGCATTCGGTGGCGTCTTCCGATGTACTATGGTGAGTTCCCAGTCTCTCGCTTACGGACGGTTTCTGACCGACAACGTTCTGAAGGGACTAGCAGAGGAGTTTGGTAGGCTCTCTACAGGTCTCACTGTCACCAGCTCTTATTTGAAGTAGGCAGAGAGCGGGTCTTCAACACGCCATTGAGCGAACAAGGCATTGCAGGTTTCGGCATCGGACTAGCGTCTATGGGCCATACAGCAATTGCTGAAATCCAGTTTGCGGACTACATCTTCCCTGCCTTCGACCAGGTCTGTATCATACACCCAACGTCCAGGCAATCCATATATTTAAAGTGTCCTAGATTGTGAATGAGGCAGCCAAATTTCGATACCGCTCTGGGGGCCAGTTCAATGCAGGCTCGCTCACAATCCGTTGTCCATCTATGGCTGTGGGTCATGGTGGCCATTACCATTCACAAAGTCCAGAAGGCTTCTTCTTAGCCGCGGCAGGAATCAAGGTACAGCCTTGGGTTCTTTATATAATCTGCTTTCTAATCATTTGGCACTGGCAGGTAGTTATACCGCGCTCCCCGATTCAGGCAAAGGGGCTACTTCTGGCGTCCATCCGCGACCCTAATCCGGTGATCTTTATGGAACCAAAGATTCTGTACCGCTCTGCAGGTATGTGGACTCCTCATACTGTTATTCATCTCATAAGCCGCGCGAATAGTGGAGCAAGTACCCGTTGATGACTACCAACTCCCGATCGGGCGTGCAGAGACGTTGGTATCCGGCTCAGATGTCACTCTGCTATCCTGGGGCACACCAATCTACCATTGCGAGACAGCCATGCACATGTTGAACTCGCCTCCGGAGACGCTTGCGCGTCACGTACCAGAATCATTACGCTCAGCTAAGGTGGAACTCGTCGACTTGCGCACCATTCTACCTTGGGATGTCGACGCCATCGTAGAGAGTGTCACCCGTACTGGTAGACTAGTGATAGTGCATGAAGCCGGCCGTACTGGTGGCGTCGGTGCCGAAATTAGCGCAGAGGTCCAGAAGCGGTGCTTCTTGAAGCTCGATGCTCCCGTCAAACTGGTTACGGGCTGGGAGTGAGTTGTTTTATATGTTGAAATCATGCACATTACACTCAACGTGATTCAAAGCACGCCCGTTCCCCTGGCGTTCGAAAAATTCTACACGCCGGATGCTCTGCGTGTTTTAGATGCACTTGTGGAGACGTTGTCTTACTGATCGGGTCGGATGGAATCATGAAGCATGATTTCTTGACGCCATTGATCTATTCTTTTACGGTCAACAATGGCAGGGCGGATCGTTGAGTTCATATACAAACTGTAATTTACACCAATGATCAGAATTAAATAGTATGCGGCACGAACCTACTCACTTGCCTAATTGGGATGTGTGATCGAGACGCGCCACCATGACCGTGGCGCGTCTCTTGCATAACTCCCCAGAACCGGAACTGGAACAACTCACATACTTCTCAGCGTTGCCCAAGGTCTGAAAGTCATAATCATATACCCATCCGAGAATACTTGCAAACATCTGAACAACTAACATGGATTGGCACGTCTTGTCTCAGCATACTAGGACCGTGCACTTACCTTTATGACAGCCTTGAACTAAACATACGACAATTAATACTAACGGATATCGCGGCAAACATTGGGGAGTCTAAAGAAGATCATGATGACCCTAGCGTGCTTTCCGCTATTGACCTAGTCACGTCGAAAGTGGAGACACGAGCAGTCGACGAGGGCAGCGAGGTAGAGGAAGCCCAGGAGGAGAGGGTCTTTATGGTGAGTAACTGCCACAACTATCGCTATGCAATGAGTACAGCTCGTTTTGTAGCCGAACTCAAGAGTGCAATGCAACATTGGTTTTGCGGAGCTTGCCGTGAATCTGCCCGACGCGCATGTGGACCAGACTGTTCCCGTCTTGATAGACATTCTGCGCGACGTCCCATACATCGACTTCGACCAGTGCCTTTTTTGGGAGGGTGAGCCCAGTGTTTCCGGACTACAATCGTAGCTCAGACTCTTACCGTGAATGCTCAGAATGGGCGCTACCCGACCAGCTGGTCTTCGCTACGGTCTCTGCGCTCCTGCGCATTGCGAGCTCCCATTCGCGATTCCGTTCCGACGCGATTAGTGCCATCGTCAGGTTCACAGACCAGATAGTGCAACAGCTAAAGGCGGGGGCGCGTGAGTGCTATCTGTGTGTCTAGACGTAGCTCCTCCCTGACTTGATTTGAGCAGCACAGGACATACTGACTCAATTCGCGCCTGCGTTCCATGGATTTTACAGAGCCGCCATATCGATACCTTTCGACTGGTCTCCTCAAGAGTGGTCTACTCTCGCTCAGCACCTCAACGTGCTCTTCGCGGCCGACGTGGTGGATCGCCTGAATCGACTATTGATCGAGCTCACGCCGACAGACGACGACGACGCAGACCAGATACATTATATCCGGACCCTCTTCACCCGCTACGTGTCCCGCGGGCGGCCTCTCAGCGGCTACTTCATCGTATGTTGCGTCACGGAAGCGCAGTGGACCATCCTCGCGCAGGCACTGTTCCCTGCAAATGTTTCTCCTGGCGCAGGCTACCCACAGTTTGTTGAAGCTGCTGCGGCGAACAAAGCATGGCAGACACTGTTGCGGCATGCCATCGCGAACTCTGTTGTCTCTGAGGAAAGCTGCAGGAAGACCCTCAAGTCCACTCTCGGGCATGCTATGCGCTCGTTCTCTGATCTTCTAGCTCAGATTCAGGAAATGGACGCAGAGCCTTCTGAGGATAGCTACGCATGGGAAACAATGTCCGAGAGTCTGGTGTGTTGTTTCTTTGTCAACGCTGTACGTCGTCCAATGGCTGACTTGCGGTGCAGAAACTGGCCGCAATCTGCTCAGCCGCACTAGGTGAGATGGACAAGAGTCTCTTCTCCCGTCTGAAGCTGCTCCTCGGGATCGATTCCCCAATGTGCGACAACCTTGTTCGGGAGGCTGCATTGAAATCAACTGCTATTCTAGTGCGGAAGTACGTCTACCCACAAGTGTGTCGTCCGTGTCATTGACTAACTTTGCAACCAGCTTCCCAGAAATCGCGTCTGAAATGGCAGGCCATCTCCGCCGTTGGGTTACATCGCCGCTATCCATCTTCGAGTTCGAATTTGTCTCCGGAACGCGAACGCCTCCCCCGTTAGTAGCAGCGGCGAAGTGTCTGTCTCTCTGTATCACTGTAAGTGCCTGAACTCAATCAGCCAATGAAGCTTATTCACCAAGACTCAGTTGGCACCGGGGGACGACCAAGGCATGTCGTATATGTATTCACTTTTGAATTACATTGCGGCCACTAGCAAGGATTTGCATGATGGGCTATCATCAGACGCCTCCTCTCTCAGTTTAGCCACCGACATCTCTACGCTACACTCTGTGGAGGTCGGCCTTCGAGGACTGTCAGATGACGAGAAAAGAACTGTCGGCATTAGTAGCATTTCCATCGCTACCAGATTGGCGTTAGAGTTCTGCTCCGAGGAGGTATGCGTTCTACAGTGTGGCCCAGGCCAGGTTCCAGACTAATACAATCGCAGGTGACCCGTTTGACCGTGTCAATGCTGCTGCAGAGGCTTCGAAGTGCTGAGCCTACCGTTGAGGCTGCTATCGCCTACAACCTCGTGGACTTGGCTTTGGTAGCTCCAGAAAGCACGTTTGTAGACATTATCAGAGCATTCTCCAATATCAATCGTTCTGCCAACATGGATGATCCCAGATTTTCAAACAATCAGGTGCGAAACAGCACTTCTTGGCAAAACCTATCTTAACCTGGTGTTGAACCAGGTTCTTGCTGCACAAACTAGGCTTGCACAGGAACTGCACCGAAGACCCGAACTATACGAACTTTATCTTACTGAACTATTGACACTGTTCGCAGATAAGGGCGTTGCGATACAAAACGTGGCCATATCCAATCATCATGCCAAGGTATTAACATCTCTACCCTTCATGCCTGACATCATGCCTAACGATTGTAGATGGAGGACATGATCGAGCAACTTGGTTCCCTCCTGTTGCCCATTGACGCGCTCCTGACCCATAAGGATTTCACGCTCGGCCCACCATCGTCAGATCTTGTTACCTTGTTCCGCAATATGTGGTTTCTCTGCGTTCTGTTTCAATTCACAAAAGCGGGCGATCAAGTGCAACATTCGGCGATGGATTGGCAACAACCAGCCTTGGCTCGAATAGCGATGAAGACCCCACCAATTGTTCTGGAGGAGGCACATGACACCATTGTCAGTGATCTCGAATACAACACGGTGATACGCCAGGAATACATAGAGACAGTGAGTTTGTTCGTCCATTATGCATTGCGATATATATTGAAGTCATACAGGTGATCGCGAGTCATCGAGCGCTGCTAGCGAATCATGTTCCCCTGCGCGTTGGTGAGATTCGCTACTTGATCCCCGGACAGGTGATCTTCCTCTTGTGCATGCATGATATGGAGAACATGCGTTCTGCTGCTGGACTACCCTCTTCTCTCGTCTCCTACTTCGTTAACAACGGACTCAACAAGAACACCGGATTGCACTCTTGTATGGAGTCGATTGCGGAGAAGGTTTGTAGTCTTTGGTCACACATTGCTTGTCTTTGCCCACTCAGTGTTGTGTCGTGTAGGTTATTCGAGATTGCATCATTGAACTTAGCGGCCAGGCAGCCAAACAGGCGCTTCCGCACGTCCTCCCTGCGGAGCTGAGGACCCTGCTCGTGTGTAGCACTCATCGCATAGCGAAAGCCCGAGAGATTGCTGCCAAGTATCTAAACCGCCTCATCACTTCGTTCCCGTCCTTGATGTGCGACCCGCCTTTGGTCTTTGCCATACTCGAAGTGTTGACTCTATTGCGTCGGGCTTGTGACAATGAGTTCATTGATGAGGTATGTGCTTCGCTCATGCTGTTCAGGCACTAGTAAATGACCATACATCAGGACAATCCGGTTTACACGTATCATTCTGATCGAGCCGACTTAACATTACAGCTTCCCGACAGCTACGAAGCTCGTAATGACATGCTGTTGCAGTTGAACCGAGACGCAAATAATTGGTTTGAGCTAGCGCTAGGTCGTGCGCCTGTCGAATTGCACTCTACATTACAGGCACGTCCGAGTCAGGGTTTGACAGAAGCATATCCGTTTCTGATGTTCACGGCATAGAAATATCTCGCAGTGAATCAAGTACTATCTGTCACCGATTCTTCAGAACTTGGCGCATCTATCGCCTTGGAGTACGGCAAGGCAATCGGACCCATTGATCGAAAGCTGAGTATGTGGCCGTTCTGCGGAATCAAAGAAATCAAACTCAATCATCAAGCAGCTTCGCTCTCGTCTTTGTCATCTCGGAGGCTCGACCGATCAAAAATGCTGGCAAGCCAAGTCGCATCCAAGGGCTACTTTGCAGGGGAGGTGACGGGATTCAGGTTCGGTCGGAGTGACTGTAAGACATTCTCATTACGTTCATCCGTTCCCGTAACTCACCTCACCTTAGTCTCTCAGCCTCCGAATGTTCTTGCTATGACAGACTTCGTGCCCGGCGACGAGTTGGAGAGGTTAAAGCAGAGAGTGACCAGTGTCATACAAGAGATCAGGGAGAAGAAGCATACGATGCCTGTCAAGGAACTGAAGCGGCTGCTCTTCCGATGTGCGGCCACTCTCATCTTCGTTGACAAGGTGCGATGTAGGGTGAATCTGTTTGAACCTATCACTAAATACATTCCTTCATAGTACGAGTATGATCTTTTGCATTATCTCGTCATGTTGCCTTTTGAAGCGTTCACTCCCTCTGCAATATCTGCTGGTATTGAAGCGTGGTCATGGGTGATAGCGGAGAAGCCTGATTACGAGATCGCACTTATGTCGGAGATCAGCTCTGCTTGGTTCCTCACAATCAAACACGAGAAGGGCATGTTCTCAAAGACATTGAAGTATGCTAATTTCCCCTTTTGATATGCGCTATTACTGATACGATACGTTGAAGCTATGCAGACCCGTTCTTACATCCTGTCGAATACAACCCTACGGATAAAACAATCATTGACCGTGGAATCGCCAGCGCCCGCCGGCTCCTCACTCCCCACATACTAATCTTGCAGTTGCTTTTCAGCAGGATGCAAGCTGCTAGATATAGGCGACCTGGCCTCATGATGCTACTGCAGCGGGTGGCACTAGCTTCTGCACGCGCCCATCGGCTTCTGAGGTCAGTGACCCTGCAGAGCAGAACTTATGTACTGACCAAAACTGTAGCACCCATCCCCTTGCTCGCGAAGCTCGATTTTCCTTCCTCTTGTTCGGCTTCGAGACACTTAAAAGCTCAAACTTGGATACCTTCTGCGAACATCAATTGCGTTACAGCCTTTACCGCGCTGCTTTCTCTTGGTTCAGCACACGACCACAGTACGTATTATAACATAATGAGAACTGAGCAACCATCTTACCATTGATTAGGTGGTCATATGGCTCGAATCATGTCCAGGTCGATGCGGATATCAAGCTGCTCTCAGAGTTCCTCGACTATCTTCAAGCGGACAGCATCAAGGGGTTCGTGGCGATTTCCAGCTTAAATCCCGTTATATCACCGTCTCAGGCGCCTCGTAAGTATCTGTTCTCTGCACTGTTGATGGCACTTATGTGCCTCCAGAGTACCTAGCATCCCTTAAGAACATCAACCTGCCACTACGACTTCTGGTGGAAAATGAGATCTTCCGCTTGACAGTCTGGTCAAACCCAGCTAATGAAGCCAAACGCGGCGCCGACCATATTGTTTCCATTGAGAAGACCATGGTCGATGTGCGTGATTTAGTCCTTGGTTACCATCATCTTCTCATGTTCACTTGCAGAGCGCCTGGACCAGTGCAACACGAAAAACGTGGGAGATTGATCCTGCAATCGCGGTCTTCCTCACAGAACGATTCAAGCATCCTGTGCTCGAGAGCGAAGTCGGTAGGCTGGTGCGCTCGAACACCCTCGACGTCTTGCACATCCCGGAAGCACTACGCTTCCTAGTCGGAGAGAGATTGGACCAGAATGTGCGGCGAGATCTGAAGGTTAGTTGCTCTGAAGTGATTCGTTTTTCATGCTGAGGATCCTCTAGTACATCTTGATCTGGGATACAGTGCCTCCGATTCTGGCCGTAAACTTCTTCGAGAAGCGATACAACAGTGATCCTGTCTTGCTGCAATATGCACACAGAGTGTTGGAGCAGCATCCCGTGGAAACGACGTTCTTTTTTGTCCCCCAAGTTGTCCAGGCATTGCGTTATGACGCTCTGGGTACGTGAGAAATTTCTTCTCATCACCACCTCCTGACGTCGTCGTAGGCTACGTTCAACACTTCATCTTTGAGACGGCGAAGATTTCACAACTGTTTTGCCATCAGATTATATGGAACATGAAGGCGAACTGTTTCAAGGATGACTCGGGTGAACAGGTAAATCCATCACTCGTTGCATTCAGACGACCGGTTCTAAGCCTCAAATTAGGAGGATCCGATGAAGCCGATACTCGATGACATGACCGATCGCGTCGTACGATCGCTGTCCGGTGAAGCAAGAACGTTCTATGACCGTGAATTTGGTTTCTTCAACGAGGTCACGTCTATATCTGGTAAGTTGAAACCTTTCATCAAGAAGACAAAACCGGAAAAGAAGGTGAGCGTTGAAATGGCACTCGAAGAATAAACTCACCTGTAACACAACCCTGTTCAGGCCAAGATCGACGAAGAAATGGCGAAGATTCAAGTTGAGATTGGGGTATATCTGCCCAGCAATCCGGATGGCGTTGTTGTAGACATAGACAAGAAGTCTGGGCGGCCATTGCAGAGCCACGCCAAGGTCCGTGTGCCCTCCCGTGGCTACGCAGACATCCCCATTTAGCTCCTCCAGGCACCCTTCATGGCAACTTTCAAAGTGCGCAAAGAGCGCGTCGAACTAAACGTTGATCCCGAGAACCTGATGGAAGGCGATGCGCAAGAGGAAGAGGTCAAGAAGGAATACGACGTGTGGCAACAAGCAATCTTCAAAGTTGGCGATGACTGTCGTCAAGACGTGCTTGCGCTACAGGTCATCGCTATGTTCAAGAACATCTTCACCAGTGTCGGCTTGACACTCTACCTCTATCCGTATAGGGTGACTGCCACCGCGCCGGGGGTGAGCTGTCTAGTATTCTTCGAGCTTCACGATCTGATCGCGCGAGTAGTGTGGTGTGATCGATGTCGTCCCGAACGCCACCTCGCGTGACGAGATGGGCAGGGCGAAAGTTAACGACCTGCTTGACTTTTTCATCGCCAAATACGGCGGGGAGGACACAATTGAATTCCAGAAAGCGCGGCTGAATTTCATTCAGTCTATGGCGGCGTACTCTGTGGTCTGCTATATTCTTCAAGTGAAGGACCGACACAACGGCAATATCATGATCGACGGAGAAGGCCATATTGTGCATATTGGTGTGGAATCTCCCTTCTGCTCGTCTTCATCGATTGCTGATGCATGGATCGCAGACTTCGGTTTTCTCTTCGACATAGATGAGTGCTACTTTTCTGAACTGCTATGAAATCTTGACATAGACTTTGAATCCGCCGTTTCTACGCCCTGGAGTAAGTATTTTGAATTTCTGAGCGTGATGAGCGTTGACAACGGTCCTGTAGGGTGTCAAATTTGAACCCAATTCTTTCAAGCTCACGCATGAGATGGTTGTCCTAATGGGCGGTCGTTACTCCCAGGGCTACCAGCTCTTTCAGAAGCTCACTGTGAAGGCCTTCTTGGCCATTCGCCCGCACGCGGAACAGCTGGTCAGCACTGTGCGCATGATGTTGGATACCCAGCTTCCTTCATTCAAGGGAGAACCGACGATCAAGCGGCTGAAAGATCGCTTCGCACTCGGGTTGAACGACCGTCAAGCCGCCGAATGGATGGTGGCGATCATACGGAATGCCCATGAGAACGTCCGGAGTACAGCCTACGATGAGTTCCAGAGGGTAAGTACAGTACTCCTCGTGTCACTATTCCCGGAACTCAGACACTTCTCTCACAGTTACAAAACGGTGAGTCTTTGTGGCTCGGTTGTGTACAAGCGAGATTCACGCTGCTGGCTAGGTATCCCGTACAAGTGACGTTGTCGAAGGGCATCTGGTACACCCACATATTGTTGTGTATTTTCTTTGCCTTAGATAGATATATACTTCATATTCACCATCTTAAATTCATTTTTACCACTGTACTGCGGGTGAGACTAAAGCACGTGGCGGTGATCGCGGAAGCAAAAAGGGCGTGATCGAGTTCATTGGAACCAGATTCTGTGGCCACTCGAAGATTGGACAAAGCGTGCTCGATTCTGTACGGACAATGGTCACTGCTTTGACTTGAAGTCGTGGCCTTTGACCGCCGAGTCTCGAGTATATAGCCATCCCCACGCATTGTCCGTCTTTTCGTGACACCCTTATTTCGCTTACTCTTCTGCAAACTATCCCTTCGCTCATTTGACATGGAGATCGAACTCGCCGACGTGTCCGTTGACGCGAGTGTGTGGGACGTGAAACGAGCCATCGGACATATCCTGCATAGCGATGACTTCTTCAATCCCACCGATCCTAAGGATCGTCCCGTGTAAGTCATCTAATAAGTGCAGGTCATGAGCAGCTAAATGAGATTGGCTTTAGCAATTTCCAAGTTAAACTGAATCCTGGGCATGGTGGCGTGCAGAACAACGGCACCGGTAAACTCATCCTGGGCTCGCGGAAGATTGGAGATAAATTCCTGAAATGGCTGCACGATGACGGGAATGAGGTGCGTATCAATACACGCAAGATGCGATTCTTTCGCAGCAAGAGCAAGCCCGCGCAAGGTTTAGCACTTACTCTGGAGAAGACACCTTATCTCGATCCCGATATCGAGGAGGAGAGGGAGCAGAAGCTGGAGAAACTGGATGTTGGTCTTCATGTCGACATCGTTCAGTTCGGTGTGTTTTACCGTCGCAAAGGAAGTCCAAAGAGTGTCCCCAGGGCTTTCTCTACCGAACTTGAGATCAGTCATGAAGATAAGGGTGCAGGTCTACTTTGGTTCGAGTACGACCACAAGCTGATTAGGGTGCAAGTACGTACTTCTCTCACTGTGGCCTTGGCCATGATTTGACGATGAACTCAGATGGGCGACAAAATGACGGAAGAGATAGCCCTCAATATTGTCATTTCGTTCGCAAACATCCGCAAAATTGCGATAGGCCTCGATTGGGGTAAACCATGTAAGCGATATCATGTTCTATCGCTTTCATGATATTCATACGTCTGTCTGAAAGTTCTTTGCTTCGATCTCTTAACCCCGCCAATACTCCAAAAAGAGCGCTTCAACCGCGAGTTGACAGAAAATTGGGGCGACAAACGGAAATTTCGCCAGAGGCTCAGTAGTCTCAACGAAGCGCACGCAGTTGTTGCTCCTTACGCACATCAGCTGCGGATGGTACTTCATGAAGAGAAGGATATCGTTGCCTTTGCCGAGCTCTGTACAGTAGCAGGGCTTCAGCCTCCCGTGCGGGCGAATGTCGAGGCGTCCTCGCGCGGATTCTTCCGCCCAAAGCCACTCCACACAGTCGAACTTTGGGTCCGTAAATTTAGCTGGCCCGTTGCTTTCCAGATCGAGGCGCTCCTTCGCAACGCCCTCGTCAACACCGATGACCTTCTTACCGAGTTATACAAGCCAATCAACGACCTCTGTCAGCAACATCCGACAGCTGCTGCAGATGCCCTGCGTCATTTCACAGAAGCTCTCCGTTCTCGGGATTCGTTTGAAAGCCCCCTGGAATGTTTCCACCGCGTCAAGCCGCGCGGTTTAGAACTTACGTCGACTACCCCGTCAGATGGACAGTTCCTCTGCCACCACGTCACCTTTACGCCAACGAGAATGATTCTGGAGGGCCCTTATGTGAGCCAGTCGAACCGTGTCCTTCGCCTTTATCAGCGCTTCCAGGACAACTTTCTAAGGGTCGACTTCAGGGACGAAGACCGCCTACAATACCGGTGGGCGCGCGACGTCGATGGGACATCGTTACTGTTCGATCGTGTTGGTGGCGTGCTCAAGAACGGCTTCGAGCTTGCAGGCCGTCATTTTGAATTCCTCGCGTATTCGTCTTCCGCTCTGCGTGAGCATGCGGTCTGGTTCATGCACCCCTTCGAGCACCCGGAGAAGGGGCCCATGACGGCGCAGAGGATTAGGGATTCACTTGGTGACTTCTCTGGGATCATCAGGCAGCCGTCGAAGTACGCCGCCCGGCTGGCACAGGCCTTTACCGCAACGGACCCTTCAGTGAAGATTAGACGCGAACAGTGGGATGAAATGCCAGATATGGGTGATAAACCATACCTGTATACTGACGGTGTTGGCACGATATCAGTTGAGCTCGGCGATATGATTTGGGCTGCGCTATGCAAGGACAAGCCTGATTTGATGCGTCGCGCTGTCAAGCCATCTGCGGTCAGTATTTAACGCCCACTATGATATGCACATGGCTGACCTTTTCGCAGTATCAAATCCGTTTCCTGGGTTAGCTTCTGATAATTTTCGATTTTTACCCGCATCTCATCATTCTATGCAGGTTATAAGGGTGTGGTCGCCATTGACGAGCAACTGCAAGGCATCAAGATGCGTCTGAGGGAATCAATGAACAAGTTCAAGGTCCACGAGGAGGAACTAGCGGAAATCGAGATTGCTCGTGCCTTCCATTACCCTGGTACCTCGTACCTGAACCGGTAAGAATCGCTCCGATGGCTTCAAAATCTATAATGTTGACGTACGCGATGACCTAGACCACTAATAATGATCCTCGAAGATCTTGGGGTTGAGAAGAAGTCCTTCATCGAGCTTCAGGAACTGGCCAAGGAGGACATTTTTACTGCCCATGACTCCATGGAGAAAACCATCAAGCTCATGAAAGCGCACAGCCTTGGCAAGAGCTATGGTCTCTCCTTCATCATAGAGTGGTTCCGGAAGCTGGGTCTGGGATTCAAGCATGAGAAAAACGTCCGGGCCCTTCAGGACCCATTCCTCGATCGCCTGATTCACTATGCGAAAAACCATGTCCTGCGCGATATAAAGCATGGCGCACGTATACCAATTCCCGAAAGCTATCTTCTGGTTGGTGTTGCGGACGAAGGTCCAGCGTACGAGGCGGCAGGCATGGAGAATGTTTTCAGCTTGACTAAAGGTCAAATTTATGGTATGTGCCGCATCATAACGCTAGGCTTTGCGCTGGTTATAAACCCGCTCGAACTTCCAGCTTGTATTCAAGACTCTCCGGACAGCGAACCAATATACCTCAAAGGTTAGTGTATCGTGCATGTTAAGTTAAAAAGAAGGCTGACATAGAAATGGTCGCCTCGAAGGTTCCGTCACGATCTCTCGTAGTCCGGCGGTACACCCAGGAGACAGTGAGAGCATGTCGCGACTTCAAACGCTCCGCTAACTCATTTTTCAGTTCAACGTGTGTTTGCGATTGGTGCCCCACCACCAGACAAGATATGCTTCTTTCGTAATTTGAAGAATGTGGTAGTACTTCCTTCCACTGGTCTGTCTATAATATGTCAAACGTGTGCTGTATGTTGATGCACTTTCTTAAGGTGGCCGATCTCTAGCATCTTGCCTAGGAGGAGGCGATCTCGATGGGTGCGAACAGCTCAGTCCATTTGGTTATTTGGCCGCCCTTCTGATAAGCATTTTACAGCGATCTCTACTCTGTCATTAAGTATGGCCCTCTACTGCCGACGGACCATGCGGACCCAGCATCGTACGAATCCGTGGGTACGCATACGATTGACCACGACAGCACTGTTGAGGACATCTGCGACTTCGTTGTGCAATACCTAGATTCAGATCTCTTAGTGAGCACGCTAATCCTGTCCATATATGTAGCTTGACACGGGCAAATTTTAGGGCCTGCTTTCTGACCGGCATCTCATCATAGCGGGTACGTCAACCAAATACAACTGGCTTCGAGATATTTCTCACGTTCAGAACTCTTCCGCGGTATACAGATCAATCAAAGGTAGTATATAGTACTTATATGCTGTTGCACTAAGACTCACCATATGGATGGTGGTGCCAGGATGGTGTCAGAGATCCCAAGTGCCTGGAGCTCGCCGCATTGTGTAGTCAAGCGGTCGACTACCCCAAGAATGGTGTGCCTGTGGACATCCATCACTCACCGCGGCTTCTTATCCCATACAAGCCTGACTGGCATCAGGTACGTGTCTTGGTCCAGAGTCACTGTGATTTCCTTACGTCCTTCTCAGGCCGAAGACGCTGCTCCTCGTACGACCGATTACTATGAGTCGTCGCGCGCACTTGGAGATCTCTTCCGTAACATCGCCATTGTCGATCCCACCACGCGCTCTCCCACTGCGGCCCCGATAAATGGAGCAGTCAAGCCCAAGGTCAAGCCCCTTTCGGACGCCATCTCCTCTGCCCTCAAGCCTTACATCCAAATGCACTTGCATCGCTTCCGCAATGAAGAGAGCGACGTAGGCGAAATGACGAAGCTCTTCCAGCGATATGTGGATGAGCTCCGGTACATTTGCATGACACACGCGCTCTCCGATGCGCCCGATGTTCGCCTAATGGAGGAGGAGGTTGCTGTCGGCACCATCATCGCGAAGTGCTCGCAGACGCGTTGGCGGACCGACCGCACGTTCCGCATGCGGCTCCATTCAGCGATGCTTACACGCGACGTTGATAATCAGCTTTTCAAGCAGACGGAGACCCCCGCCCCTGGCGAGCTCCGATATGGCCTGTCGCAGGCTTGGCTAGCGTGGGATTTCAGCATGAGGAACAAGACAGTCTTCGGTGCGAATAGCTTCGGGCTGATTGCTCTTAGGAATATCTTCAATATTTTGGACCTGGTGGGAAGCGTTGTTGAAGCTGAAGAGTGAGCTTGCTCGTTGTAAGTAGTCGTCATCTTGTATTGCCGTATATGTACTCTGCGAACATCAAAGTATTATTTCTTTTGTATCATGAGATATCATCAAAACTGCCGTGACCAGTGCAGCGTATGTGCACAATTTTGAACAATTCCACAGTACGTTCAAATGATCTGAGTTTACAAGTTTGACCAGACAACTAGGAAGCTTCATGACGATAGAGTCTTGTGCAATCGAAAGCAGACAGCATCAACAACATAGATCCCGAGACTCAGACCGTCCTTCCATCCCGCTTCGACCGTCTCCGAGATATGGTCGAGACTAAGGTGCGGATACACTCGTTCTTTAAGCATGACACAGCCAGGATACTTCTTAGTCAAGGCTCGCGTGGCGTGCAGTGGAGCTACCAAGAATGAAGTTGCAGTCGAGGGAACGGCCATCAGTTGCTCGACAATTGCCCCTGCGCCGCTGAGATCAGTAATGGTGAATTTGCCAGAGAGGACATCTGCGGTTTGTGACATGACGGTGAGTAAGAATACCATACGTCAGACAGCAGTCAATGCGCTACCTGATTCTGGGATTGCTAAGAGATGCCGTGGAGGCATGTATGTCTTCCAGTAGAATACCTTGACTATCTTGTCGCCTTGCGATGATGCCCACAGCTTTCCGATAACGTCATGCAAGTGGAAGAGAGAGGGGACAACTCCGCCTTGGTGCAGGATACCGAATAGCAGTACGAGCGCAAGATTGGTGATAATCCACGATACCTAGACGAATGAATCCCGGATGTCAGCTTGTCCAAAAGGATTTTCCTGCAAGTATACCAACCCAGAACAAGTTACCCGCACGCTGAATGCGGCCATCCAGTACCACGAGCACAATTGAAGGGACCACTAAAGGAACCAAAAAGCGCGGTTCCTGGTGTGGGAGTGCCGAGAGGATTGCCAACGAGGTAACAATCATGTACAGAGATGCTACGGCAGAATGAGCATTGAGACCTGCTGGAATGGCGAAACATACTTCGCTTCATGACGGCCCCTACATCCCCCTCGGCCCCCGAGTAGTGTCGTTGTGGTTTGAAAAGATCTCGAGCAGCAATAATGCCGTAAATAAGCATTCCGGGACCCACTATCATTGGTAGATTCACAACGACATGTAGCCATGCGGGATGATGCCCATGTTCGAGAGAAGATGGAGAGGAGTTGTACGACCAGAAATTGAGCGGCGTCAGGACCGGCCATGACAAGATGCCGCGAAAGTATAACGTGTCGACCAGGACGAAACCCGCAGCAAATATACTAGTTACAAGTGCTGGTAGCCTAATAAGTCGCCACCAGGATTTATCGTGCAAGGGGGCCTGTCTCGGGGTACTTGTTCTGCGTCGAGTCCACTTGTATGCCTCGAACACGACCGGAAGCATAAACGCAACCGACGTGATTCGGGTGAAGAACGCGAAGACGAGGATGAGTCCAAGGCGTGTCAGCTCGGCCGTGCCACGAGCTCGCTATATCAACTTCCGATCAATACGCGTGAAGCTTGACAAAAAAAAACCTGCCTTGTAGGAAGGTCTCATGGAAACGAGGCTATGTAGCACAACCATTGAGAGAGCGACGAAGACGGCCTCAATGGAGTTGGAGAACGGGCGCACTTGGAAAGTGAGCACGACATGAGACGATGCCAGGAGGATTAGGGCATAGAACCTGTCTCTATCATGTGGTATGACTTTACTGATGCTGTAGTCTTGGGCGCGCTGAGCGAACGCAGCCATAGAAGTAGATACAAGAACATACCAAGGGCGGACGAAAGGAGGAGAAACGACAACCGCTCCGCACGGAAAAGAGTGGAAGGAGCAATTGAGCCTGACCAGGAGATATTAGGAGGCGAACTTGCGATAAAAGCACGTTCGTTACCTCCCCACAAGAGACTGTAGACGACGCAGGGCACACCAGTGGTCACCGCTGGGGGTATAATAGAGCGAATGGGGAAAGCTGGCTCCCATTCCCAGGTCCGTAGTGTGTGCAGACCAAGGATTTGCCCTGTGTGACGGATATCGTGTTACGCCGCTGCTCTCGTTGTAGAAGACAATACAGTACCTGCGATAATTTCCCCATTCTGAAAATGTTCATCGGGATGGATGTAGCCTGTTCCACAAAGTGCCGCGCAGACCCGGAGGATCAGTAAAGTATAATAGATGTATGTTGGCTTCAGCAAGGCTCGGGACATGGTTTGGTGAACTATCCGAGCTCCGCGGTCATCCGATGCAGGTGCCTTGGCAAACTGTTCTCGGTCGACATCAAGGGGTAGGCGCTCCGTTGATTTCTGATATCAACTCTATGTAGGGGTGGTACAACCGGTGACCGGGGTCCCCAGATTCGCTTACTCGCTCGATTTCCGTAAACAACGTTCTGCAAGCGCAAATCCTCGAATTGAGCTTCTGGAAATTTGTAGCGTCATATACCAAACATAAATTTGGTCTCTGCGCACCTGAAATGTTGGTTCGACAGACAAGGCTTCGTGGGTGAAGAATACCAGGTGCAGCGCTTGTGCGCTTGTCGCATTCTTAGCGCCCATCTCGTCCTGAGCCCATTCCATCTTGCAATCTAATCAGATCTGTCACTTCGGACACTTTCAGAAGGTGGTTGCCCAAAGGCTGTTTGACGCAGTAGGCCACTGCTGCTTCCCACCGCCGTCTGGCAATGTCGGTCTCCAACCAGCGGCCAATATGCTACGCCGTCAATGCCCTCCGTGACATTCTGTTCGCAGCTCTCCTCCTGACATGTGCGTTGTCTCGCTGTGATGCATTCAGACTCGGTCCGCGTCAATTCTACGAGCTGTCCCCCGAAGCTATCTCCTCGCTAGTCTCTTCTCCCGATCCTGTGCGGAATATCGATCCGTCCAACCCATCCTCCCATCTTTCGCAACTTCTGATTCCACGTCCTCCTGGCACTGAGAATAACACCGCTGTCAAAGATTACCTCGTGTCTACACTGAAGGGCCTGAATTGGCACGTAGAGGAAGACGCGTTTTCAGATGTGACACCGTATGGAACGAAGCGTTTCACCAATGTCATTGCTACCAAGGACCGCTCTGCCCCTCGTCGCGTGATAGTCGCGGCTCACTTTGACAGCAAGTATTTCCCAAACTACCCTCAGAGTTCAGTGCGTGTTAGATCGTCTAAACCTGAGGAGTATGCCTCATTTTGCTGACCGGGAGGGTAGTAGTTTGTAGGTGCCACAGACTCTGCAGCACCATGCGCGTTCATGCTTGACCTTGCCGAGACGTTGAACCCATTTCTGGAGCAACGGCAGGAGAGGCTGGAGGCTGGCGAGGAAGACGATGAAGACGTCGCCGAGACTACACTCCAGCTCGTCTTCTTTGACGGGGAAGAGGCGTTCAAGGACTGGACTGCCACTGATTCGATATATGGCGCCAGGTATGTCATACTGTCTCGTTTTCGGCAACGTCTTTGGCTCATCAATGTAGACATTTGGCACAGAAATGGGCGAACACCTATGTAGAGCCTAACACCAAGAGACGTCTGCTCCCATCGTACGAGACGGAGCTGTCCACGATCGAGCACTTGATTCTACTCGATCTACTCGGCGCACCCAATCCGCAGATCCGCTCGAGCTTCATGGACACTGCCTGGCTCTTCGACGCGATGGCGTCCGCCGAGCAGCGTCTCGGAGCGAGCGGGGCGTTTGCATATGACGGTGCCCAATCTGCGGACAAGTGGTCAAGTTTCTTCGTCCCACGCCATCGTCTGGTGAACTCCGGAGGAATCGAGGATGACCATATCCCGTTTCTGAGGCTGGGAGTCAGTGTCCTACATGTCATAGCAAATCCGTTCCCGTCCGTCTGGCACACACTTAAGGTATGCAAGCACTGCAATTCTCCTACAATTCGCATTCACACAATCTGATCGTCCAGGACGATGTTACGGCTCTGGACGTACCCACGATGCGTCGCTGGAATCTCATCCTTCGCGTTTTTGTGAGTGAATACCTCGGACTTCGCCCGAAGATAGCGTCAAAATCGGATTCGTCTGACGCTGTCGAGGAGATGCGCCGAGTAGCTGACGAACTTGTGAGGGATTCGTGAATACACCTATAACCGTCTCTAATATTTGCTCAGTAGCCGTGGGATTCTGTGCATTCTCAAAACAATGGGACTGTTGCATCATGAACTCCCATTATTAAGAATACGCGTTCAAATAAATTATACCTTGCGTGTGAGGATCATTATCTGAGAGCAGGAATGCCAAACAAGTAGTCCACTCGAAGAGAAGCACAGGATATTCTACACATGAACCACGACGTAAGACGAACATGACTATTCATAAGTGTGCAATGAACAGACTAAAGCAAATCTCGAAGTTGTAGGTAGTGTCTCAACACAGAGGCTGGTACTTCAGGACAGTAATAGAGACTTGTAGTGCTTGATCAGAGCGGTGGCGTCCGTCGCCAGCTATTAAAATGCGCATATATGCGCCTGATGAACTTGATAAACTCAGCTATGAATTGTACAGTGCTTACTTTCTGCTTCTCCAGGTTTTCGTCCATGTGCGCCTTAGCGTTGAGGATGAGTCTACGACGAGATCTCTGGCGTTCGGCGATATGTTCTTCCACTGTCGTGGCATGCATGGAACGCATATATACACGTTGAACAGCGATTTAATGAAGTCACTCACACATAGCGCTTGCTTCGTTGATCTGCTCAGCCCGACGATGGGAGAGATCTTCGATGATCGTCGGATAGGTCCCCAGGAGATTTTGAATAATTTCCTGGTGACGGCGTTATCAGTGTGCAAAAGCTTCACCGCCTCTGAGAGAAGGCCGGAAAGTTCGGAAAGCTCGTACATCATGGTTTTCCCAGAGTCTTGAGAGATCCTTGAAATTATTCTCCTGCGACGTTTCTTGTGCCTTCAGCTCGGAAATCTTGGCGAGGCATTGATCTCTGCAATTGCTTCGTTTGTACCCCGCTGCTGACCGACAGAGATATATCACGTACATGTATGCCATGCCATCGCGGACAACTGCATCCACGTTCTTCCGCGCGTCTGTGAAGAGGGCATTTTTCTTGTTATGAAAGACAGTTGCACGACTAGATGTCTTTGATGCCTTGCGCTCTAACGCACAAGACGCTCAGGCTGCGTATTAGGAAATCAACTAGAGACACTTACTCTGAAATTCTTGCAGCATGGTGAGCATCTCCATCATGCCGCTGTCCAAAGTTCATATTATTATCGACTATATGCGGCGGAAATGCTGCTGTACGGCTCTCACTTTTCGTCATCGCCATTTATTACCACGTCGTCGGTATCATCTTCTATTTCATCTCCGAGTCCAGCTTTAGAATCAATGCTTTGGAAGGCGACATGTGCCCGAGTCTTCTGTCTCGATGTCAACTTAGTGGAAGCTACCATCGACGATATCACAGTGAGCCCCACGTAGCTACGCATACATGCACGTCGCATACCTGTAGCATTCGTGGCATTGGGTTTGCGAGGCATGGCGATACTCGAGCTATGACTGAAAATCGGAGGAAGTAAGCGCAGGATGTCGCTGCTGTTCAAGCAGGTCGCGGGACGTCAAATACGAAGCTTCGACGTCACTTTTGGGCATTTGACGTGCATCAGTCGGTCGAAGAGATCCCGATTCCTCAACGGAATTCCGGCCAGAAAATCAGCGCTCAGGAGTTGCGAGCTAGTTGACTGCGTTACCAGTATCATGAGGAGACCGGCCCATGTATTCCATCAGTAATTTACAAATTTATTCCGCAATATGCATTTATGAGCCGAGCAACGCGTTGATACGAGCATCAAAGCCTTCATTCCGAATAGGCATTTCTGGGGTGTGAAACGGATTCTTCATAACCGCATCAGCATATGCTTCGTAGACCTTCTGCAGAACACTGTCTGCGGTAGGCTCAGCAAGCGATGTAAGCAAAACAAATTTGGTACCTAACAATAACGCATAAGACGGGGAATTATGAATAACAACGCGACTCAAAGCGTACCGGTGGCGGTCAGGAGAATGGTCAATTTAAATGTTTCGCCCGAGATGGTTTGAGCACCAGAGCTCGCGCCTGTGGGTGACAGTCGGCTCGTAATGGCATGAATACCGTGCAGGGTACCAGCAAGCACTAGATACTCGTTCGAGGTCAGGTGGGGTAGTCCATCTGCTCCGTCGTCAGATCCGTTAATTAGGGAACAGTTCACGAGTGAGAACCTCCGAAGTTCCGTTGGTACACAAGCCCTCCAGCTTTGTTTATGACCTGGACCGACGTTTCAGGTATAGCTATGAAGCAACTCTTGCACACGTACCCAAAGACCCCAGATAGCCATGATAGTGAGAGCATGTGAGCGTAACGCGTCCCGACGCGTCAGGACGCGTCGCGTTTTGAAACCCCGCTTCGATCTCGATCGGCACTCCCATTATCCTCGCCCGCACCCTTCCCTCGGGATTCCTCTCTACCATCACTATGCAAGCACAAGTTTCTAGGACGGACCAAGCACAGGTATTATGTACGCGCTCATGCCCCACTCTTTTCCTCATCGAACGTGTGTTAGGCTTTGACATCTCAGCAAAGCCTGCAATCTATTCAGACCCTTCTAAAAGCGGGCCTCGGCTGTGTCACTTATTTGAGGTAGGCTATCGCGCATATACACATCAATATTGTGTAGCCGCTGATGCACAATACCAAGGAATCTCCTTCCTGTAGACAACTTCTCTGAAAGTGCGCTTGATCTCATGGACCCACTGGGCGCATATATTGACCCTTCATTAGGCTACCTCACATCCGGTTCCGAATCTCTATCATCACAGCCTTCCATCGGGTCTCAGGGATCATATGCGTCTGAAAATGGGAAGCAGAATGTCAGCGGCTTCAAAATCATGACCGTCACGCGTGGGTTCACGGAGGAAGCGGACAAACTATTAGACTTCTTGGTAGGACTCTATCGTCGCGAATGACTAAGATAAACGGCTGCTTATAGGGATACGCGATTGCAGGAGCATGGTATCTTCGATGCTCTGCAAAAGCAGTACTTGCGGAGCTTCATATTCGCGGTGTACCTAGTAAGTGGATCAACTAGATAACCATAGTGTAAACGTATTCACGCTGCTTATATAGGATAGCCATGATCCGGGCAAGTAAGTGCATGCGCATATACCATGACAATTGGCATGCGACCTTAAGTACACCCCTCTTTTCAGTATCGTAGAAGCGTATACGTTCAACTTCAATGTATGCGCACTGACTCCCCTTCTGCATTGCATCTCAAAGGCTGACCATCGTGCTAGTATTACAAGGTACCAGGAACAGACGTCAGTGTCCCCGTAATGTCACTGGATGCCGAACTGCAAAACCTGTCTCTTTCCGGAGCGAAGAAGATGCGGGATCCTGTATCAGAGGCGGCAGCAGAAGGCAGAGTGCCTACTCTTGGTGAAGTAAAGCGTAGTCTTAAAGTCTGCAAATGCACAGTTATCTACTACATGAAAGGACAACTCATATCTGGTACAGGCATTAATCAAAAATCTAATTCAAGCAACAACGCAGATGGACCCTTTGCCGAGTGAGTATTTGAAGTTGCTTGATTCCTCTACCTAACATCCTACACCGCCGTAGAGCGCCGATATGCTACCTTCAAGCTATTCTATTACGACCACACCCCAGACGATTACGAGCCGGCCCACTTTCGCCCTGGAGACGCACAGAAGGACAAATGGTTCTTCAGCACGCACAATAAGGATGAAGTTCCCGAACGATGCAGCGTTGGCTCGCTAAAAACTGGTCACCACGCTGTTGACGTTCGTGTAGCTTCCGTTTCTGGGTACCTGCCCTCGTCCGAAGACAATGATGCGCCATTCCTCGGAACCACTACCGGACATGTACATGCGGCGCCCGCGCTGACACCTGTGGAAGAGGCGGCGATGAGGTTGCAACAAGTACAGTTGCAACGTGAGGACGCGCTAGCGAGACATGTGGTGTGGGATGCGGATGATGGTTTGTGCGATATTGATGCCGATGGCGAAGAAGACCCCGAATATGCTGCAGGTAAGGCTGCGGTAGCGGTTATGCAGGCTCGTCATAGCTGACGCGCTGACGGTTGCAGGCTCTGACGACTCCAACGAAAGCGTATCACTTGGAAGCTGGAGAGTTCATGATTCTGGCGTGGAGTTCCTTGAGCCCATCGGGATACGCGACGAAGATGGGCAGATTGTCCCCTTTCCTAAAGATGAGGCGCAACGATGCCCCGCCGAGGAGGTCCAAGCCGAGGAAGCGCAATACGCCGGAAGACATGACAATGTGCCGAATCATGTCGCGCAGTTGGTGAGTTCGCGCTGAACACCCGCTCCACATGAGAACTGACCAGGTCTAGGCTGAAGGAATATCACAACGTGGAGGCATTGTTGCACAGACACAACCCATCGAGCACACTCAAGTCATAGAATCTCCTGCGGTTGCGGCTTCTCTAATATCATCCCCCTCACCATCGCCTACTCCTCAGCCAAAGGGGCGCAATCCCAGAAGCAGAAGAATTATATCTCCAATGGCGTCCATACCGCCATCAGACATTGCGCTATCCACAGCCTCGAGCCAAAATCCGGAAATAGAGTCAATAGATACCCAGATGGTCCAACAACTTATCGTCAATAAATGCGTTACAGGAGGCGACTCAGAGATGCTGGGTCAGTGCAATAATCGCGCCCGTGGCTCTGTGGCTGACCATCTTGCCGTTAGAAATTGATACTCAAGTGATTCCATCAAGCGTAGAGGACCCTATTGATTCTTTCCAAAGCATGGGAGATGCGGATGTGCAACAGGAAGCAATGGAGACAAGCGAGTCTGACGATATGCTGGATAAGCCACAGGACAAGCCTCCATGCGGGGAAAACCTCGAATGTGAATGCGGCGTACCTGTAAGTGCCCCTATTCCATGCTTTGAAAAAGACATCTGATATTTCGTTAGTTGGAAGACAGTGACACTTGCTTCTGCGACGGTGGATGCAAGCGTTGGTTCCACACATGGTGCGTGATAATAGACCGCAATATTTAAGCTGGAAATCCAACCATCCCAACCAGGTGTATGGGCTATCATTCGGCAAAAGACAGTTGCATCCCCACACAGTTCATTTGCTTCGATTGCCGGGTCAAGGCTGACGAGAATTGGGACCTCATTATGGTGCATGATTTATACCCCAGAATGATTGCGCGGTTCAGGGATCTGGCAATCTTCCGGTAGGCTTTCCCGTTCGTGTCATTTATGAATAAGCTCCTCACGAAGATGTCACTCTCGGCCTGTACAGACGAGCGATCAAGATAGCCGAAATGCACAATCCAGAGGGACTGTCAGCATTCACAAAATTATTAGGTACGTTATCTTCTATCGACTTCTTGTCGTATTTAAGTGGAACGTTGTACAGGATGCGACTCTACTGTAGCTGGTCAACAATTCAAGAGGCTCGAGACAGAAGGTAATAAGGTCCTCATACATTTTCCCTCAGGGATTGACCGTATAATTAGGCTTCATCACAAGTGTGACGAAGGAGGTCGATGACTTCGGTCTCGAGACCATCGTTCGCGGCAAGAAGGGAAAGAGTAAAATCAATGCAGGTCCCAAGACCAGACAGTCGCAGCGTCGAAAAACCCTTCAAAAACCAAGATACGTATTTGTGAAAGCATCTACGAACAATCAAGCCTACAAGGATTACTTCGATCCTAATCAAGAAGTCGAGAAGCGGCTTCTTGGGTTATCTGATCTGGTCTTTCTCCATTTGACTTTGTATCGACCCCTGCTAATGGACCTCCCTGCTAGAAACCAAGACGCAAGTCACAAAGGAGGAAAGTGGTACAAGATCCGGACGCGAAGATGTACATGTGTCCACCGCTGTGTATGTACTTTGCTGATCGGCCTTGTATTGCTGCAGGGATCATATCGATGCTGTGCAAACACCGCCATGCGCATCGGAGACCGCAGGCGGGTCTATGTATCAAAACTGTGCTGGTTCTCAGACCCAAGAGGAGATTCAAGTACCGGAACCTGTCGTCCATCCTGGCACAGGGCAGACCACCTGTGATCAAGGTCGGAAGCGGAAGAGCAACACTCTTGAACAGCTGACAAAAACGACCAAGAAAATGAAGATTTCCGTTGGGCCGGGCGTCGACCTCGGCGATTGAACTGCTTCCGGCTGCCGCGTACTGCTCTCTGTCTGCTGCCGTATTTGCCTCGTTGCCTCGGCTCTGAACTTTTGCAACATCCTCTGCTGTGTTCTATCTAATGGCCGTTCCTGCTGATTCTCGGTGCTTCGTACTGCCCGCTTCTGTGTACTTCGCTGTATGTCAATGTAACCCTGTGATGTGCGGCTAACGCATTGCGCCATGTCTTATCTCAGCGTGTGTCAGTGAGTTCCAGTCATGGTTCGAGATCGTGGAATGAGTCGGATGGGACCTAGACTGTCTTAGCAAGCGCCGACATGGTATGACCTGCACGCGTCTGGATTAAGACAAGAGCAGGTCTATTAGTCGCTACTAGCGCGAATGAGCGTGGTTGCAGGGTACTGATATTCCACGTCGCCCAGAAATCGGATAGACCCGTTGCCATTTTGAAGGTTATATGGACTGAAACTGCCTCTTGCTGCCCTGACGCAGCTGAAAATGGTGTACCGGCGTCCTATAAGAGCTACCTGCACATTTGATAAAGGGAGGTCCCTGTAGACGGCTAACATTGCTCGTGTGTTCAACCAAGGTTACAATACCAACATCCCGCATGATTGTGTAAGTGAGCGGCTCATACTCTGCAAAAGTGGATAACGTCGCCTATTCATGACAGCAGACGTAAAACGTTTATTTTATCCCATGAGAACGTACCGCGGTCGCTGTACGTACTCTGTGTATGCGCAAAACTCCGGTGGAAGCTGATGAAGCATTTGACTCTAGCTGCCGTTTGGTTCTAGACGATAGCATGACCCGTCCGACGTCAGAAATCTCCGCACAACACTGTGTCCTCGTGTCGAACAGGCCACGAGCAGGCGCCGCGAAGCCGCCGACAATACAATTGACTCGCCCGCGGATATGACGGGAGCATTTGTCGCTACACACGCGCAGCCAGAAGGCGTTTAGACAAGGCAGGTTGTTATCTGCTTTGCGACCAGGCTGAGTTAGATACTCACGCTAACAAGTCAGAGAGCGGTTCGATGTGCCTTTAGTTTGTGAACGTGGAATGGATTGACATTGGTTTTTCCCAAGATTCCAGGGCATGAACGGCAATCGCGGGCCAGGTACAACGATTCGGATTGCTGCGCATGCCGTCCTCCAACCTAAAACTGTCCGCAGCTACAGTCTGGCATATGAAATACGTGCCTTATTTCTAGGGACGTTTTGGTGCCTGACTACGGTAACGAGCCCAGGCGGTGGTCCGCAATGACTGTGGTGGGGCGCGGCGTCTGGGGGAAATTGTGGGACCCTCACCTCCACAGAATTCACCGCATGTTTCTCCGGAGAACCTTGAGTGGTGACAAATGAGTGGATAGCGGGGGTCTACCGCTTGGTTAGACCAAGTAGTGTCAGATAGCATCGGTGTCTGGTTCCCAGGTGTGAATACATATTATTCATGGAAGTGCATTGACCGATGCTGACGTTCCCAACGAGACCACCTTAGAGCGTCGGCCAAGCACAACCAAGCGGCACCGGGATCGGGAGTGGGGCCGTCTGTATTCAAGTCGGGTTTCATGGGAGGATGCAGATGCGGCCCTGGCGCTCTTTTCGTAAGTTCGAAGAGGAAGCATGCTTGTTTACACCTACCCGGACGCGAGGATGGACGCTCATGAATTGAGACGCCACCAGTGGCGGGGTCAGTTGGCGAGTCTGGCCCCGATCTGGGAAGCGGATCTTCGATGGAGGACCTGCCCTGAATGGGAAGAGATAAAATGGCGATAGGGAGATAACGTGCCGTTATCCCCTCATGATTTGGCAACTCGTCGTACCTCGCACCCACAGGCGATGAACTGCATCGTGAGGCCTCGCAGGAGATGAAGTAAGGGAGCAGGCATAGACTACTGCACCTCCGTATCTCCCTGGGTCCTAGGACACGGGCCTGGGGTCGTTGAATGTGGTGTACATAATTTTCCGCTCGATTAGATTGATTGGGACATGTTTTCGAAGTGCCGAGTTTAAATCGTGCCAGCGAGAGATCTTGCGCCGTGAAGATCGCCTTTGTGCTTCCCATGGGCAGCTGATAAGTAGATACGGATGCCATCAGTGAAGCTGAAGGTTTGCGGCAGCGTTACAGTCAACGGGTGCAGAGACGGAGAGAGCAACGTGTAGATTGAATAGGGAAGCAGACCTCGGCGACAGTACCCGGCGAATGTTCCAGGCTGATGCAACTTGATTGCGTTCAGCGAGTTGGGCGATTTTCATCCACGCTGTAGTATTCCTTCCTGTTCATCGGCTCTTTCCATTTCCATTCCACACTACCCGCGTCTCCTTCGCGATCCTCTTCACGCCCGACCCTACACTTGAGCTTGCTCTTACACATGCCCTACAAGCTCTCCGCGACGCTGAAGGGCCACTCCGCCGATGTGCGTCCATACTGCGCTCCTGTCGCGTCGACCTAGGTGCTCACGCCTTACAGGTTCGGGCAGTAGTGTCCCCGACCAGCGATCTGGTCATCTCCGCATCGCGCGACTCCACCGCGATCTCCTGGTCCAGGGCCTCTGCAGATGCAGGCTTCACCCAGACCGCTGTGCTACACGCAGGCTCACGCTATGTCAACGCAGTCGCATACCTCCAGCCCTCCCCGGACGCTCCCGCAGGTGAGCAATGATCCCTGGACGCGACATCGAGGGACTCACAAGCGGAGGGGCTGTCTAGGATACGCGGTAACAGGAGGTCAAGACACAATCATCAATGTGTTCTCCCTGGCGAATACCACAGGCGAGCCAAACTTCTCTCTGATCGGACACACGGACAATGTATGCGCCCTGGACACCACGCCGGACGGCACGATCATCTCAGGATCTTGGGATCGGTACGTAATCCTGAACCGAACCCTTTGATATCATTATATCATCATTCACTGTGCGCAGAACTGCGAAAGTCTGGAAAGACTTCAAGCTAGTATTTGATCTGACTGGACACCAGCAATCCGTGTGGGCCGTGCTGGCGGTAGACGGACGACAATTCCTCACAGGTACGTCGGCATCGTGGGTGCCAACGTTCTGCGATTCGAATGCCGTATGATGTGAAGGTTCTGCCGACAACACTGTCAAGCTCTGGAACCAGCATAAGAACGTGCGGACGTACCCAGGGCATACGCAAGCCGTCCGTGGACTAGCGCTGATTACAGATATCGGCTTTGCATCATGTTCTAATGATGGGTGAGCGGATACTGCAATTCATCTTTTGGCATTCACGAATGAGACATTGCCTTCAGTGAAATCCGCATATGGACGATGGAAGGCGATGTCGTGTACACCGTGACCGGGCATACCTCGTTTGTTTACAGCCTTTCTGTACTGCCCAACGGCGACATCATCTCTGGCGGTGAAGACCGCACGGTCCGCATCTGGAGGGGTGCGCATTGCCTACACACCATCTCCAGACGCACGGAATTCATTCGCTGATGCTGTATCGCGCAGACGGAGAATGCGCACAGACAATCGTTCACCCGGCCATCTCGGTCTGGTCAGTCTCGACAATGCCGAACGGAGACATCGTCACGGGCTGCAGCGACGGTGTCGTACGCATTTTTACTGCTGAGGAGTCGCGTTACTTGCCCGGCGACCAACTCAAGGCATACGAGGACCAGGTCGCTAGCCAGGCGCTGCCTGCACAGCAAGTTGGCGACGTGAAGAAATCAGATCTGCCTGGACTGGAAGCCCTGTCACAGCCAGGTAAGCCCTATATATGCGCGTTTCCCGCGCAGTTTGAACACGGCACATAGGCAAAAAATCTGGTGAGGTCAAGATGGTTCGAGACGGCGATAATGTTACTGCACATCAGGTATGCATTGGATTATATTCTGTGACAGAATTCTAAGATTCTCTCAAGTGGGATAGTGCTACGTCTAGCTGGCAGAAGATTGGAGACGTCGTGGACGCTGTAGGTTCTGGTCGGAAGCAACTCTACAAGGGAAAAGAGTACGACTATGTCTTCGATGTCGATGTCCAGGAGGGCATGCCTCCACTCAAATTGCCATATAATGCAAATGGTATGTGTGACAGCCGGGGCTCTGCACCGTACCTGATGAAGGTTTCAGAGAATCCATACACTGCCGCCCAGCGGTTCCTCGAATCGCACGATCTTCCCATGACATATTTGGACCAGGTAGTCAAATTTATCGAACAGAACGCCGGCGGCGTTAATCTGGGCGGCGGGGGTGGACAATTTGTGGACCCTTACACAGGTGTGATTGATTTGAATAGCGGAAGACTTAGCTCATTTCCGCGTAGGCGCTTCCAGGTACCAGCCTGCGTCCACTGCAGCGGGAAGCGGAGGCTCAGAGTTTATGGATCCATTCACTGGTGAACTTTATTCGTGCCATCACTCGTTCTCAAGTCTCATTTTTCGCATTCAGGGGCTTCAAGATATCGGGCTGCACCGAGTACTCCGCCAGCTGTGCCGTCCACGGCGTCCAGCGACCCTTGGACAGGTGGGTCCCGGTACTCAAGAGCCACATCAGCTGCAGCAGCGAGACGGCCATCCACAGCAACACGTGGGAAAATAATCCCCGTGGTGAGTTGTATCATAGTTCATAACCACCCTGTCTCATTGAACATCCGAATAATTACAGCGCAAACCTCTAGCGTTCCGACAAGCCAATGTGTCTGCGATGCAGGGGAAGCTTCACCAACTTGATCAGGCATTAAGAAATGAGATTGTATGTTGTCCTGATTTTCGGATAGTGCGGCAATCTCATTGTGATTTGGTATCCGTGAAGTCTACATCTTCATTGTCCATGTACCCACAAGAAATGAGCTTGGTGGATGAAGCGTTCAAGTACCTGGCACAAGTCATCTCCCATCTAGCCCATTGGACGAATCCACCGGACACCACAAATCCGCTTAACGCTTCGCACCTTAACGCGATTATATCGCTCCTAGAGCGGTGGCCACGAGAAACACTCTACCCAGGTAGATGTCGAGACTCCACGCCTCGGTGCATGCCGTTGCTGACTAAAAGAAATCACGAATCATAGTGATGGACCTGGCCCGACTGCTCATTGCCTTCTGCCCGAGCTACTCTGAGGACCGTGTGCTAAAGCAGCGGTTCTGCGATGCGATGGCCAATGCAGCATTGGCGTATGATCCATGGGAGATGCCCCTGCCAAAAGGGCGGGAGACGAACATGCTATTCCTCTACCGTGCATTGGCCAACACCTTCCACGAGCCGGAAGAGATCGACGTACCGTTCGTGCACAGGGTAAGTCGCGTATTATACGGGAACGTTCCACTGAGTCATCTCACCGCCGTTAGATCTTCAATGGGTTTAGCGAGGCGCCATATGGCGATCTATCCAAGACGTTACGTGTTGCAATGACTACGACGCTACTCAAGTACGTGCTATATAGATAGGCAGCGACATGGATGCGGTGACGACTCATTGATATTCTATTCAGCATCAGCTGCATCGGCCTTCGAGAGCCATTGGACCTCGATATCAAGTCAAAGCTCTTCCGCCTTGTCATTAAAGTGAGTCGCAGCGAATCACGCAACTGCAACATTCACTGACGTGGGATTGCACGCAGACGCTACAAGCCGAGAGATCAGAGTCAGAAGCAGCATATCGTTCTCTGGTGGCTCTCGGTAACATTGTAAGCGGCGTACTGCGTTTCGCCGTGGCATTACCGGTTCATGATTTGCACCTACAGATATACGCATCGAAAGAGCAAGGGCAAGCAATTGATGCTAGCCTGATTAGACCATATCTCTCTGCCCTTCCCAGTGCGTTCCCCGAAGAACGCATCAAGGACGTTACGAAAGAGATTGTAGACCTACTATGATAGTGTATATAGGTGTCCCATATACGGCCCTCATTGTTCATATGTCTCACCGATTGGCAGCAGCTTGGGCTTTGCGATGATTCTTCGTGTACCGAATAGATCACTGACAGAGGACAGGTATACGGACGACTGTACTACGACACTCTCACTATAACGTTGTTCTTGTTCCTTCATCGTTTAGCGTTTCTAGTGGCAGCACAATGTAAACGATGCAAGACTGCAGGGTTACATACACCCAGTAGTCGGATTTCGGATTTTTTGAGAACCCACTGTACAACAAGTTGCGCACACATGTCATAGACTCCAGCCTGATTAGGGTTACACATTTTCTCGTCTTGACATCGATGGGCCGTATCGTCGTCAAGGTGTACATCGTCCGCCATGGAGAGACGGACGAGAATCGGAAGGGTATCATGCAGGGACAGCTGGACACACAGCTGAATGCTGCCGGTGTAGAGCAAGCACAGATGGCGGCGAACGCGTTAGAACGAGTGCAGTTCAAGAAGGCATTCAGCAGCGATCTAGATCGAGCAGTCAAGGTGCGATCGCGCTCCCTGGGGCACGACCGAATGCAGAGCTCAAGTTAAATGTAACCAGACTGCAGAGATAATCATCGCAAAGCATCCAGGTGTAGCTTTGGAGACAAAGGCCGAGTTACGGGAAAGAGTGCGTTAACAGACCAGTATTACGCACTGCTCGTTCCGTTATTTACCTGATGTCTCGACAGCATCTCGGTGATTGGCAGGGACAGACAATCACCACACGGGGCTCAACGGCCCCAGCAAATGCGGAGCCCGTCAGCGACTTCAGCTTGCGAGCTGCGCGATGGTGGAAGACAACGATTCTGGGATATGCCCAATCCGCGCTTTTGAATGGAGAAGAGCGAACAGATCCTGCTTGCGTGTTGGCCGTGTCCCACGGAGGCTACATTTCCCGATTAATCGCAAACCTAGTTGAGTTAGATGGGGTTAAGGTCGCAGAGGGTGTCGCGGTGAATTCGAAGTGCTGGAACGCGTCGATCTCGGTCATCGACATATACGAGGATGGGGAGAGCGAACTAGTGACTTATTCAGATACGACGCACCTCAAGGTGGACCTTGTCCAGACAAATGCGGATGTCATCACGGATAAGTAGACCATAGAATAGAATTCTAGAAATAGAGACATGAAGTAGAGGTCGGTAGCATAAGTACTTCATTAGTGATATGTTCGTGACGTCAATGGGTCGATGGAAGGATACCTCGTATACCGATTACGACAGATGGGCTGGTGATTGAAGATGAATGAATACATCGTTACAGATAAAATTGAACTGCAGATCGCATATGATATGATGAATACACTGAGAATGAAGATCACAGAGGATAGACTCATAGCATGCAAATGCAACCACGGACGGACACCTATAACAGACTAGGATCCTGCACATCGCGAGGCCCTGAGGAAGCCTTGCCCTTGCCTTTGCCCTTCTTGGATTTTTCGTATTGATCTACTTGCGTCTGGGACAACAGACTGACATGCGGCATGAACACGACAGCCCTACAGTAGAGCGTCACACACTCACTTATCCAATGCAGTCTGGTTCACCTCGGGACTCTTGCCGTCCCCGACGAGGACCTTGACACCGACACTTGGGACACCGTCTACAACGAGGTATATAAACCCAGGACCGGGTGGATAGACGCCCTCACCGGGAGGGCCGGTAATTGTGAGCGTGTGCTGGTCCTGGGACAATGACGAGACGAGGTGCACCAGGCGGGAGTTTGCGTGAACGGTATGGGTCACAAAGCCGAGATCCATCAGAGCGACTGTCCCATTCCTGAGTCAATGCGCGTGCCTATAGTCTTGTTCGCCCTTACCTTGGACATCTGCATTGGCCGGTGCCGATGATGGTAGCTGAACACTGAGCTTTACGCTCTCGCTGAAGCCAAGCAAGCTCGGAACCCCGCCTGTAATCTCAGGTCTCTCCATAGACATATAAGGTGGGTTGAGCCACTCCACTCTATACTCCGTCCCGTACGCCACTTCCGTGCGGTCCAGGTTCGGATTGCTCCCAGCAATCATGATGTTGCCCTTCGGCGTCAGCGTCGCAACCGAGTGATACATCCTCGGGATGCTGCTCGTGGGCATCCCGCTCACCAAGAACCGCTCCCCAAGCGGAAGAGATGACCGGTACAGGACGGGCGTAAGCACTGGGTTGTCCGCGTTCGACGCGCCCACCTGCCCTACGACGTTCCCGTAGCCCGAGATACCTGTCCCGGCGCCGTTAACGATGACAACGTCGCCTGTTGGCAGTAGCACCGCGTCGGGCATGTGGCGCGCTTGCGGCATCTGCTCAACCTGCCAACCTGCGGAGATCCCATCGTCTGTCAGAAGGAGTCGCACACACTGTGCGGACGCAGGGTCCTGCGCGGAGATCTGGTATCCGGGTTGCGTGTCATCGACAGTCGAGCCGCCGCAGATGAGCACCTCTGGCGCATAGTCATTCGTGGGGGAGAGCGGGAGCAGGATCGCGGTGCCTGCCATAGGATATGTGACACGCACGCCATTCGGGATGCGAGGCAGGCGGCGCTCAGTGTTGCGCCGCCAGTCGTAGATCATTGCGTCCTGGTTTGCGGCCATGAAGACGGTCTCATCTGGGAGCGAGAATGCGATAGGGAACAAATTCGCGTTGAGAGTGTCCACAAGGAATGGGAGATGGATCTGCAGCCCGTCTGAGCCGGCGACGTTCTTCGGAGGCCAATATTCGATGGTGGGGTTATTGACCGTGGCGTTATTGATCCAGCCGCCTTTGCGTGAGCCTCCGATGATCATGGCGCTTCCGTCAGAGATACGCAGAACTGTGTTGTACCAGCGGGGGCTCGTTGTCCGGATACGGTCGTGGTTCTCGTAGATTATACAGTTTTCCACGTCCTCTGAGTTACAGGGCTCGAAGATGCGAACAGCCTGGAGTCCGTCTAAATCGCCGAAGTCGGCGGCAGAAGTGTGGTCCTCAACGACAGGGTTCCCACCTACATTGACCAGAGTGCCGTTGCTAAGAAAAGTGCCGCCAGCACAGAAGGAGTTGGACTCCACCGCCAGGGGTTTCAAGGCATTTGTGTCCAGGTTGTAAAGGGCGGCCCAAGCAGGATGCCCATAGATACTCAGCGGATTGTGTTCCACTTTGTCGAAAATGAGAGCATGAGAGTCCGAGATGACAGTTAGCTGCATCGCCGAGACACCAGTGATGCCTTCCTGCACAAGAGACCACTCGGAGGCAGGATTCGGCTCCGAAGCAAGACTAAACAGCGGTGGATAGTCTGAGAATGGCTGGGCAGAGTCATCCAGATAGTTGGAGCGATGTACAGTAGAGTAGGCGTGAGGAACCATTAGGACAATAAGAGCGTCTACATCCATAACAAACCCTTTTGCTTCGGCTCTGTTCTGGCCGGTGTTGACAATCTTGAGGGTATGCCTGCCTAGACGTAGCTGATGACTCCCGAAAATACGCTGTTGCTTCAGCGGCGTTGAGCTCCAAGCGTCGACTTCTTGCACTTTCTTGCCATCTATATGGACTTGTGAAATACCGTGTCTTTGGTCTTGATTGCCAAACCATTCAATTCCGGTTCCAAAGAAAGTGAAAGTCATGGAAGCCCCGCGCTCAGACGTTGACCGCAGGGTGTTAAACACAAATGCAGAGGAGAAAGAGTCGGTCCATTGACCACTGTAATGAAGTAGAGGAGACGAAGAGTCATAGCTTTTGGCTCCGGAAGGCAAATAGTAAGGGGTGAACGGCTGAGGATCTGAAGCACCCGGGGTGACAACTCCGTTCCAAGCACTCTCAGCAGCATCATTCAGCGAGACCAAGGCGGCCAACACCCAGAACAGAGCAGATATACGCTGGAACATGGCTGTCGAGCCGTAAGGAGACTTGATCAACGGGGTGTTCCAAATTCGCGTCGTGGTCAAACAACGCGCCAACAACGCGTGGTCATGTGATTGAGCCCAACGTCTGCGTGAGCGCCGTAAGGGAGCCTGGTCACTTCTACACCTTCGCGCATCGGCACTCAGCGGCCACTTAGACCATATCGAACCATGATCTACATCGAGCGGTAGCGTCAGTCAATGAATGACGAAAGTCACCATCTCAGAGTTTCATATAGCAACGACTGTGTACACATATCAGGGTAATGCTGTAAGGGAAGCTATGGCCAAAAGAAATACACTCCTGGACAATATTACAATGCTCGCTGGCGCATGCGGCTGCTCACCGTCCGCAGACCCGCGTAGACCTTCCCCGGAGGTGACCCCAGGATGAGCGATACAATCGCATCACGAGCAATCTTGATATTTTGGAACGAGCCCAGAATATGAATCTTGCTGTAGAGAAAGTCTTGTTCATATTCTCATCGTGCGCAGATAACGAGGCGAACGTACGTATCGGCAAGCACAATTCGAGTTCGACTCGCATTCTCAATTGTGAACTTAGTCTTGCCATCCTGACCGGCAATGCGACCTGCAAACATACCCAAAGGGGGGAGTTCAGTATCCGTGCGTTCTACAACAATCATCAGACACTAACCAATGGCCCGAGACAGGTGATCGCCGTGGAGTGTCTTCACGTCCTTAATCTCGAAAGAATCCAAGTATAGGTCGTCAAGACGGAGAAGCGCAATGGCGTCCTAGTTGCACCGTCCTCCAATCAGAGCCATGAGGGGATGGTGAAGCGGAGCACTCACGTTCACATCGAAACCCAGGGCGTACGACTTCACGAAATCGGCACCCTTCTGGATCGCACCAACGTCTTGGGTATGTTTCGATGTCTACATACTGTCAGCACTTTCTTCTCGCATTCAGGATCCATGCAAGCGTACCCGGATCTCCACACTTTTTCGCTGCACATTCATCCGGACTTGTAGCTGCAGCATCTCGGTCAACGGCGAAAAGATGTGCACCCAGTCCTTTTTCAAAGGGGTCATGCGGTGTGGGGGTATAGGTATCCGCCTCGTCTCAGACTTCAGCGTCGTTCGCTGTGCGGACGCTGGGAGCGGGGGGAAAGCGGGGGCGGCGGTTTGTTCGGGCAGGGTGGAGGAGTCTGTCTCGATCATAACAGCGTCGTCTTCGTACGCCTGCAGCTCAACCGGTGCTGATTGTGCATCCGTGGATGGAATGCTCTCCGTGATATCAGCAACAGTGCCATCCATATCGTCGTCCTGGTCGTTATGCGCCGAAGCATTTGTAGGCTTTGCTGATGCCTTCTTGGACAGCTTGCGCCTGTTCTTTTTGTGAGGAGCGGCAGATGTGCTGGGTTGTGCGTGTATTACTACCATGGTGAGATGTTGAGAAACTGCCGTGTGTCCCGGTGGGTATATAGGAGCGAGGCGAGGCAGAGAGGAGAGAGCGTGCACTTGCAGGGAGGCCGGAAATTGTTGTTCGGCAATATCCGATCGACGATCGGTGGTCTATCTCCTGCAGGCGTTCTTACTCTGGTTGTTCTCACTCTGCGCCATGGCCACCTCCGGACAGGCTGGATCCGTACAAAATATCAGCGAGGGTAGACCACAAGGTCTTGCTATTCCTAATTTTTGGCCATCGCACAGGACCTCACAGAATCATAGCTCTACAGACCCTTCTCAGCTCTATTTCTCCAGAGGACCCGCTTACTGTTCAAGGGCAGAAAATGACTCCTGGACAGGTCAAAAAGATCTCCGAAAAGCTTGGTGAAATTCTAGGAGATGCCGCCGATGTAGGTGACCAGAGGCGCAACGAGAAGGGTGAGGTGCGGTTGCCTACCCTGCAGGTTTCTGCAGACATTGATTATCGCAACCGTTTCTTGTTATGTTCAGCTCGTAAATGAGGAGGGGCTACCAATCGTGGATATCGTCGAACCCGTAAGGGAGACATCAACCACCTATCCACCGCCGGCAGACTTATTCGATGATCCTGATCTTCTACCCCCTTGGGCCCTCTCAGACGCGGAAAAGGCTCGACGTCGTACCGAGCGCGAACGCATCCTCGATATGCTCGAGGAAGAAGAAGATATCGAACGGGACCGCGAAGAGGCCGCAGAACGTGAGCGTCATCGTGCGCAACTGGAGACGCGTAAAGAGGCGGCCAAGGCCGAGCTCGACGCGTTGCGGAAGGCAAAGGAGCTGCAAAAGAAGATGGGCAAGGCACTTCTCAGAAACGTGATTGAGACCAAGGAAAGGGAGGAAAAGGACGCCATTGCAAGGCAGCGTGAGGAGGAGGCAGAGCGGGAGAGCAAGCGTAATCTGAAACCGAAGAAGAGCGTCACATTCGTGGACCCGCTTATGGACGACGAGGCTGCTACGCCCACAACACCAAAAGCAGAGATGGGCGATGTATCACTGGCGAGGCTCCAACGAAAAGGAAAGAGCACTCTGCTCAGCAAAACACAAATGGACAAGCAGCCGATGAAAATGCAGGTTGTGGAGCGCCATCCTATCGGCCTCCGTGACCATTTATCCGCCCTGCAGCCCCAGGACCACGACTCCGACGATGAGTCCGAGCCCGGCTCGCCTGTCCCCGCCGATTCTGACGAAGGCGAGGTCATCTACTCCGACGCGTCTGATGATGAGCACGGTGATGTGCGGCGTGCTCCAATATCATCAGATCCCGACTCGGATGGCTCGGAACACATGAGCGATGATGGGGAGCCAGTACATTGGGAAGAGGACGAATTCGATTTTGCCCGCCACCAGCGCGAGGTTGCGCTTGCGTACTACGAAAAGCGAGCTACGATCGGCGCAACAGCTGCCAGTGCAATGAGAGCACATACGCACAATGAAGGCGAGAACGAGTGGGATCAACCGGTCAGTTCCCATTTCTCTGTCCTGGAAGTGTCATCTTATTTGCTGTATAGGAAGTCCCACTCGAGGCAACTCTCGCATCGGCACCCCCGAAACCCGCCTCATCGCGCTTCAAAGCGGCTCGTAGCACGAGCACACTCGCATCTCATTCTCTCGGTCCTGCAGTATTGCCTTCCTCTCAGTCATCTTCTCTCCGAAGCTCGCTGCGTATGGGCAAGTTGGAGGATGATCACTTGGTCGGTGAGGAGAGTGACGACGATGAAGCGGAAGCTCGGGCGATTGTGGAACTACTATCTAAAGGAGAATTCACTAACATAGGTCCCCAGTCCACTGCGTTCCCCGGACATGCGACGAGCAGTATACCTACAGCATTGCCAGCGACAGAGTCTAGCGAAACGCCTGTGTCACAGCGAAAACCCTCGAAGGCATCCAAATTCAAATTGTCTCTCGCCCAGCCTCAGGAACTGTCTAAGCCCGGCCAGCCCTCCTCCGCCCTGGACACGCCAGTGTCTACAATGGAGCGATCATCGCCCAAACTCACCTCGCCAGGTCCAGGTACGCCTATAGCCGTGCCAACTTCCTCTTCGCGGCAGCCTGGACGAGCTCCTAGTGCGAGTGCATCTCTGGGTCTTACAGGCTCCCCGAGAACGCAGCCAGGCCAGGCACAGATGCCCAGCATGATCGTAGAATCGCCCTCCTTCCGTCCACCAGGCAGGGCGCCTCCTCGCGTCGTGACGTCGTCGCCGTTGACCAAACCTTCGCCGATGGCCACCGATTCGCCATCATATAAGTCACCGCCAGATTCTGCCAGCACAGTGGTGGCGTCACCCTCATCTCAATCCGTGGTCATCGGTTCGCAGTCCTTCCAGAGTCCCGCTACGCCGACTGTCACCTCGTCTTTGTCGCTCCCTGCGTCTCCAGCTCGGCAGTCTGCTTCAAGAGCAGATGGAAACGCGTTTACGAGGTCCGAAGCTCCGACTGCACCTGCTGTTGTGATGGTCGCCGAGGTAAAGGAGTCGAGCCAGAATGCTCAACGGACTGGTGCAGGAGGGCGAGAGAAGAAGGTTTCGCGGTTCCTCGCTGAGCGAATGTAGGCTATGGGTGCTCTCCTTGTTCTGATTGTAGCCATAGCATAGACTTGGATGCCTAGTGATGTTGTGTGTTGTGTCGGTCAATCTGCTGTGAATGTGCTATTGCACCAATGTGATCGAGTGTGCGCCACCCGTTTTGATGGGAGCGTCAGTCGCGTCCGTGTCCTCGACGCGTGCACCTCAGCATCAAACGACTCGCATGCAGCGTTCTACCCTTCTTGCACTGGTCTTTCGCATTGGACTTGCGCTCATGACGCGTACGTTCTTCCAGCCCGACGAATTCTTCCAGTCTCTTGAAGTCGCGCATCGTCTTGTCTTCGGTTATGGTCACCTCACCTGGGAATGGTTGTCTCCAAACCCCATTCGCGGCATCATTTATCCAGCGTTGAACGTACCCATCTACTGGGGCTTGAAACTGCTGCACCTTGACCATACTGATCTACTGGTAGGTATGTACGCATGCACAAGGGATGCATTATTGAGGCGCTGAAAGAAAACAGATATGGGCACCTAAGGTGCTCCACGGCGCCCTGGCTGCATGCACAGATATATGGCTCTGCGAGCTCGCAAGGCGGGTGGCGGGTGAGAGATATGTGTTCACTGCAGTGAGTGCAGTGTCATTGCACGGAATACGCTTGCCTTTCTGAAAGCACACCTAGCTCTATCTCTCACTGACGTCTGTGTTTCATGGATTGTCACTCTCGAGATCGATGTCCAATTCCCTTGAGACGTCCTTGACAACCATCGCATTGTGCTTCTTCCCGTGGGACGCGTCCCAAGACATCAAAATGTGAGGTGTCTTCTACAGAGTCTCTTTCTAGAAATGCTTACATTCTCGTCAGGGACGAAATTCGTAAAATGCTCTTCTTCGCGGCGCTCGCGTGTGTTGTAAGACCGACAAATGCACTCTTATGGGTGTACATGATGAGTGCATTATTGTGGCGACTGCGTCGGCATCCAAATCACTTGACATCGGTGATTGTCTATGCGTTTGCAATAGGGTAGAGGGCCCGCTTGTCCTCAGAAGATCATAGCTCACGGCTATATGCTACAGATCGGTAACTCTGCTCTCGACGGTCGCACTAGACTCTGCATACTACGGCGCCTTGACCCTCACACCATTGAATTTTCTCCGCACCAACCTCTCGTCCGTGTCCCTGTTCTATGGGTCTAGTCCCTGGCATTACTACATCTCACAAGCTCTACCTATCCTGTGTTCGATGGCGTTGCCTTATGTGCTGCAAGGTGCCTGGCAGGCAGCACACACGACTGGTCTAGCCTCAAAGACGATGCTGTCGCTCGTCGTCTGGACCATCGGGGTCTATTCCCTGGCAGGGCACAAAGAATGGCGCTTCATACATCCATTACTACCTCTGATGCACGTTCTTGCGGCAAAAGCGATCGTAGACACAAATCCGACTCGTCGTGGTTCATCGATCTTCAGCAAATACTACCGGCAAGTAGTCCTGCTTGGTCTCCCGGCAATAGTATACGTCTCGGTCTTCCATTCTCGGGCTCAGATTGACGTTATGCACTATCTGCGACGTCTTCCCTCGGAAGAAGCGCACTCTGTCGGCTTCCTCGTTCCTTGCCATTCCACGCCTTGGCAAGCGTATTTGCATAGACCGGACCTGGCCGATCCCGGGCGACTCTGGGCCTTGGGCTGCGAGCCGCCTCTATCGTGAGTACAGATCTCGCCGTATATAGCTTTGCCTGTGCTGACGACGCGCGTCGGTCCAGAGGGCAGGACGTAACTGTGTATCAGGACCAGACCGACGTATTCTACGCCTCGCCGGCAAATTACCTTCAAACACACTTCCCGCGTGACGTAGACCCCGCGTTCCCCCCTTCGGAGATGCCCTGTACCGTACCCGGGGCGCCAACCTTACCGGGTCTGGAATGGCGCCATGAGTGGCCACAGAATCTGGTAGTCTTTGGTGCCCTGTTGGATGACGCTGAGGTGCGCGGCATTTTGGAAGAGAAGGAATACCGTGAGGTCTGGAAGAGCGAGTCGGGGTGGGAGGGTGATCGGAGGAGACAGGGAGGGGTCCGGGTTTGGCGAGTGCGGCCTGTCGAGCTAGAGTGATGATGATGCCCGCTTGCAGTTTTAACGTTGCGCTCGCACCCGGCTTTTGCTTGCCTCGTACATAGCCTATGAACGCCGTGGTATATATGCCTCGAGACCGCTAAATAGACAGGTCAAGTAGCTCTCCGCTACAGCATCATACATTCCACATCTAGCGTTTGTACTGCCATGACGGTCACCCTCCCACCCGAGCTATGGATGCACATCTTCCGCTTGTCGACCATCTCTCCGTTGACCTATCGCCTCCGCGCAACCACCTACCACCCATTCAAGACTGCACCCCTCATCGCGCAGGACGATGTTGAAGCACTCAAGACCAAGTCCGCGCTCATCCTCGTGTGCAAGCAATGGCGCGCGCTCGCGCTCGATCTCCTTTATGAGGACATCTCACTCGGCCGCCCCGAGAGGCTGCCCAAGCTCCTCGCTGACATTAAGGGAGACGATATAGACACTCCTGCAAGCGGACGGTGGGTACGCCGTGCAAACCTGCCTTACTCCAGCTCCGCGACAGTGACCCCGCGCCCGCTCGTCGCCGTACGCATCCTGGAGTCATGCCCCCGCCTAGAGGTCCTCATCCGTATAGGGCCCTTCCGACCCGAAGCCGACCTACGCTTCGAGTTCCCTACGGACTGTCCGCCACTACCCTCATTGAAGCGGCTCGACTGGTGGCATGTCAATGAGGCCGCTCGCTCCGGCGGCATCAACCGCCTGGGCGACGTCCTGCAAGCCGCGCCGAATCTCGAGTACCTCTCGCTCGGCGGGTACCTCATATTCTGCCACATGCAGCCTGCAGACATATCTCTGCCGCAGCTTACGACGCTCCGCATCCTGCGCATGAACGTGCTGTGTGTCGCGCAGACGTGCCGCTGGTCGATGCCTGCTCTGCGCAACTTGATTATCGACACTGTCGAGGATATCGGCATCATGGACGGCTTCTGGGGGACGTTCGGCGAGCAGATCCGCACCGTCGAGCTCGGACATAGTCTCAGCTACTATGTGTACGACACGCTCTCGTACATCCTTCCCGGCTGCCCGCGCCTCGAGGTGCTGAACTACTACGTCCACTTCACTGCGGTGCCTACAGCACTGAGCAAGACGTCTAACACGCTCACCACTATTGGTTTGCATGCCCATCCCAATTTGTTGCTACCTCCGGAAAGCTCGGAATACTGGAAACGCATTCAGGACCACTTCGCCATGCTTTGCGGGCCTTCGTTCTCTGCGCTGAAAAGGGTCATACTATATGGGGCTTGGGACACGGTTATAGACGACATCCGATACCCCTTCTTGATTCAACCTCTGTTGGACCGTAAATGTAGTATCGAACGCGCCTCAGATTGATAGGCTGTGGTATATGCGTAGATCTCGGTTGTCCGTATGGTTGTTTGACTTGACTTTCTGGTCCGGCTGCTACACTATATACACGTACTCTGGTACTAGTGATTTCCGAATGGGCATGTTGTCTTCCTATTATACATGTCGTGTAGATGATTATTATGGTTCCTTGATTAAGATATAGTCCTATTGCTAAGAAACCTTGTCTGCCGACGTGATGTGCGAATACCAAATGATACATGAGTTTCAGCCGAAAACATTCGAAGTGCCGTCATACGAGCGATGCTTTGTTTGTTTGCATTGAGTCTGAGCCGAAAGCACAGAGGGAGCTAGCGAGCTACGACCTCCCGCGTTGTGAGGAAGCATATTGGGTGTTGGTGGAGGGTGCGTGGCGTCCATTCGGGTGACGAGGGGTATTCTCGTTCGCATCTGCCTGTCACTGCTGCCTGGGGTGCAGTTCATGTATGGGATATGTGAGGAGGGGAGGGCCGACATACAGAGAGCCTACAGTTTGCTGTTCTGGGTGGGGAAAGTCGTCCATCGTCGGTTGCACGGCGGCTGACGGGAAAGGCCGTCCGATCGAGCCACCTTGGGAGAGGCAGAAATGAATTGGAGGCGAACAAGAGGGAACAGCGAGGACGTACGTCGATTATCTGATTGAGACGTTCCCGGGACAACCTGCTGCGAGAATTCTCCCGACCATCGACGGCCACTGACGGGCCTTGTAGTCGAATGGGAGTTCATACCGGAAGCGCTCGCTGCGTGGCTGAGGCATACTTCACATAGCGTGCAGCCAGGGGGGACCGGCCGCGTGCACGAAGCACACGTCGACCGTGCAGAATTGTTTGGAGGAATCGTCGACAATGGGAACTGCTGACCACTATCCCAGCTGCTTCTCGAGGGCACAGGGCTCGTCGATGGCGGAGTCATGTCCATGGGGCCAAATATCAAATCTGAGCTACCATCGCTGCGCTCGCTACCATCCGATTGAGGGCGAGAGCTCCTGCCGGAGCTGGAAGAGGACTCTGCGAGATCGACATGACTGTGCGCGTGGCTGGATGCCGTCGAATGACCAGGGATCGGTATGGGATTACTTTGACCTGTTCGGGTGGCCATGGGTTGCAACTTTGCGTTGAATGCGGGTGGTAAGTTGTAGGTCGGTGTTGGGGGATGGATGGGGCCGGTTCGAAAGTAAAAGCGAGCTTTATATAATGGGAGCTATCCCGCCTCTCCCCGCTACAGATCCCCGACACCTTCTACTTTGGGTGGAAGCTGGTGTGGCTGCGCAGCATTCTCCCACAGTGGCATGCCTTTTGAGCGAAGAGCAGAAGCGGAAAGTCATGTAGCACAAAGTGGGGAACTTTCCGCCAGCGCGATGTCGGAGCCTGGGATCGGGAGTGGATCAGATTAATGGAACTCAGGAAATCAGATGCATCCTTGCACTGGTGAAGGGCGTATGTGGGTCCGCGGCAGACCAGCGGCGGAGAACCTGGTAGAAAATGTTCACCAAAAGGGCAGGCAAAAACCGTATACACCAGCGCTTAATAAGCAGCCAAAGTGAGATATGTCAGTGCAGTTGGCGGCCTCTTCGGCCAAATGACGGAAGTTGAGATTTGGAACATACGTTACTGTCGGCAAAGTGCGAGCGATGACGGTGAACAATTGGTGGCAGACCCTGCACACGCAAAGTCGGACGCACTACCACTGATCATGAGCGCTAGTCGTCTAGAGCTTGACCGTATAATTGTATGCCGAAAACTTCGGTGAAGGATTTATTCCAAATTCCGAATGGTGCGTGAGACTGATGTTCGCTCGCTGCACCTTCCATTCTGCATTCGAAGACGGCAGTGACAGATTCACGAGTGTTGGGCAAACCAGCGGCTTGCCTGCCGGCTGACTGAGTGGGCGCAGTGGCTGGGTGGACTGAGCCAATCGTCAGCAAATAACGGGGATAGCCTGACAATTGACAATAAGGCACTCACAGAGTTGTGTACGTTGGTAGAAGGCGGGAGTGGAGCACAGGAATGACATAGCATACGTGTCACAAACAGCCTCCACTGCTGCCACGGAGACATGAAGCGAGAGGCAATGAAGGGCGTTGTCTAAGCTTAGGAACAATACGCTCAAAGTAGGCCACAAGATTGGCTTCGCCTTTTGGACAAGAACCTCATCGGACCGGTCTGAACGTTATAAGTGGGGTGCCACGTGCTGACGTCTTGGCTAGGGCATTCACCGAGACCGACGATTTTCCTCGTCGAGTCAGATGCAGAGCGCCGGTAAAATTGACTACCCTGTCTCTTTCGCGTGCGTTTTTGTGACACCACCGACACACCTTGTCGCGAGCGTCACATCTTTTTGACAGTAAAAGTCTACTAGCTTAACTCAACAACACTCTGCTCTCCTCGTCGACGTCTGGCAACCCTCGAGTCTGATCAACTCGAAATTCCGACTTGTCGAGACCTTCAAGACCGATTAGCATCTCATCTCCAACTGAGATGCCTTACAACCTGCGATCTCGCCGGGCTTACTCGTCGCCGGCCGCGCCTGCGTCCAGCCCGATGGTACCTGGTAAGTTCCAAGTTGCTAAAACTGAGAACGTTGATCCTGCGCTTGACAGGGAGGACGGTCTCTCGGACCACGACAGCGTCTACTCCGGTGGGCGCTCGTCAACGAGTGTTCGGCGCGGTCTGCTATACAGCCGCGTCGTCACTCCAGAACAGTCGGCGGCGCCTGGCGCCCCGACAGAGGGCTCCGCTGTCAGCTCAGTCGACATGAGCTTGGATTCAGTGCGCGGCACCGACCTCGGTCGGAAAGCGGCACTGTACGCCAGAGGTGTGGAGGGCGCGTTCCTTCCTACCGACGGTGATTATCCGGACAACGGGGGACGCTGGCACACTGTTACGCGCTCCCGCCGCAGCCGGAGCCTTGATCCTATGGACAAGGATAATGTGTATAGGTTAGCTACCAAGGAAAATACACATGTTTTGACAACCAACCAGAGGGAAGTCATTAGGACTGCCGAGGGTGAGCTTCGCCCGGCAGAGCAGGAACACATCAACAGACGGTTCCGAGTGGTTCACGAGAGACGCAATCGCGAGCGTCCTGAATCAAAAGATGAGGGACCATCCATGAGGATGGACAAAGGCAAGGGTATTGATCCTCGCAATTGGGGTAATGCAGAGATCGCTCTGGAGGATCTTGACATAGAAGCTCAGAAACGAGCCTACGCGATCCTGGCCAATCCAATGGCCTTGTTCTTGAATGAGGCAGGCAATCCATTGAGTATTGACAAGCAACGGGAGGCCCTGGAATATTGGGGCAGTCTTCATAAGGTGCCCCAGTCTGGCGTGAGTGTTTCTACAAAAAACAATGGTCATTGTCGCGACTTGAGGTTAAGCGACGGGAGAAAACTGAAAGGCTGGGGGCGTCCGACTAGATCTTACCAAAGCGATGGTGAGCAACGCTCAAACCTAAGGCTAGGGACAAGAAAATGTATTAGTTAGTAAGTAAGAAGATGATACAAAGGGAGGCTTACTGACCTAGGGACAAGAGGTTGAAACTGAGGTCCCTAGGGCAGCAGAGGCCGGCTTATATACATGGGGAGATAAGGGCAGGCTGTGCGCGCTGGTCTGTGCGCAGCATGCTGACGCGGCCCCGGGGGCCGGTGAGTCAGAGAGGCTGTGTCAGCGGAGCCCGAGCTGTGCCGCGCACTGCCGTCCTATCTAATCAGATCGTACAGTAGATAATGACGCGTCCATATCGGGCATGTAGTACAGAGGTCGCGGGTTCGAGCCCGCGAAAAGGAAAAAATTAAAAAAACGGCTAGACGCCGTACCAAGTCACGACATTACCCCTCCCTCAATGGCGCATGACCTCATGCGAGGCACCCTTGCCCATCTCCCACCCAGAGCGGCAGCATGCTTCAGTCAGCGGCAAAGGCATCGGCTGGAAGTTGAGACCACCAAAGATAGCGGCATTGAGGCGGCGAGGGGCGTTCGGATTCTTCCGGTGGAAGTTGGCTATGAGGGCCGGCGCATTGGCAACATTGCGCGCCGGTTCCCATGACGTGTGCGAGTCGTCATAACCTTTCCATTTGACGAGGTACTGCAGTTGACGCCGGAAGATCCTCGAATCCTTGATCCGCTCAACCTCGTACTCCTCATCGCCCTCAACCTCGATCGCAGGCGGCTCCTCCGGCTCCCGGCCCGGGATATCGCTACGCGTGTACTTGCTAAGCAAGGAGACATGGAACACCGGGTGCACCGGCACCGACTTCGGCAGGATTAGTTCGTAATCCAGGTCTCCGAGCTTTCGCCGCACGGCATAAGGCCCGAGGCGCTTGGGACTGAGCTTCTTGCTCAGCTGTTTCAGCTTAAGGTTCCGGGCATCAAGCCAGACCTTGTCCCCCGGCGCGAAGACCGGTGCCTGTTGCACGTGCTTGTCGTAGTACACCTTCATGCGCTCGGCCGACAGCTCGAGCGCAGAGTGCGTATCATCGCAAATCTCCTTCAGGATCTTGAGCCGATCAGCGGCCGCAGGCATCGCAGACATCGGATTGATCCGCACTTGGATCTCAGGATTGTACCCTTGATGCAGGAAGAATGGGGAGTGCCCGGTCGCGGAGTGAACTCGGTTGTTCAATGCGAATTCCGCGAGCGGCAATTGCTTCGCCCAATCATCCTGCCTGTGGCTTGTGAAAGCACGCAGGTACTGCTCAATCTCCTGATTCCAGCGCTCAGTCTGGCCGTCCGTCTGAGGGTGGAACGCTGTAGACAGCGCCGGTTCGATCCCCAGTCCCTTGTACACCGCATGGAGATATTTCGAAGCGAACTGGGGACCTCGGTCTGATATGACCTTGGCCGGGGCCCCATGATGCTTGAACACATCGCGGATGTACAGGTCTGCCACACCTTCTGCCGTTAAGGTCTCATGACAGGCCGAGAAGTGGACCTGCTTTGTGAAGCGGTCGGCGGTAACCAGGATCGAGTCAAACCCATCAGACTTTGGCAAGCCGACGATCATATCCGTGGTGATGATCTGCCACGGGCGTTCGGGGATCTCGTTCGGCTTCAGCGGACCCTGGGGTTTAGCTGGGAATGTCTTGGTACGGTTGCACACGTCGCAGGTGCTTACGTACTCATTGACGAATTTAGACATCCCAGGCCACCAGTAGTTCCGCGATACGAGTTCCAGGGTTTTGGCGCGACCGCCATGACCGGCGATCGGCGAGTCGTGGTGGATCTTAACGATATCCCG